CAACCACTGTATTGCCTCCTGACCCGGTCACACTTGCTCAATGGCAGAAACACGAGAACCTTGCAAAATACTTGCTTACCCAGCGCATTCCAGATTCAACCGCATTACATGTATGGAACATGCCCGATGTTGTTGCAATGTGGAAGGAGATCATGTGTGAATACACTGAGAAGGGTGCTTGTGCACAGACAGACCTTCACACAAAATTCCTGGAGTTGAAATGTCCTGCCGGAGGCAATATTCACCAGTTTCTAGATGAGCTGTATGCTAAGTGTGACAAATCGTCAGTGGTAGGTGTCCAGATTGAAGAAAAAGACTATCAGTCCACCATAATTCAATCCCTTCCAAATCACCTCACTAGTTTTGCCTCTGGGCAACTGGCTACTGCTCAACTCTATAGCTGTTAGGTACCGTGCCGACTCAGGAAGCAGAGGGGTCAGGGCTTGGCTTCAGCTCTTGCACTGCGCCCTTAGCCAAGTACGTGCCCCAAATTTGGAGCGGGTCCGACATTGTCCAATGGTAGGACAAGTGGACCACTTTTGTCCGCTTTGAGGGTCGGGGAGTAAGAGCTACTAGCGGTGGGCCGACTAGGAGCGGAGCGGAAAAGGCGGGGAGTGATGCGGAGAGTGGATAGGAGCAGGGGGAAATGTTGGTAGGGGCAGGGAAGGCGGAGGACAATGCGGAGGGGCGAAGGAGGATATTTGATAGGGGCGGAGTAATAAGGGAAAGACTTAGAGCACAGCTCTAAGTCAGAGCGGAGGGTCGGAGGGTCGGAGGTGACAACAAGTTGAGACTTGTGTCCAGAGGAGGCAAGGTCCTACTGAGAATTCTCACAAGATGTAACTGCGAGAAAACAAGTAATATTAAGACTGAGGAAAATATCTAAGTATATGATATGTTATATACTACTATGTATGAGGCAGTGACCAGGATAACTATGTTGTAAAGCTATGTACCAAGGATATAGTTTGTAAGTATTTTACACAGGCGAAGACATAAGTCAGAGCAGATATCAATATGTACGCATTGGATCAGCGATCGGGCGGTAATAGGAATTACCGGTGATCTGGAAGTCAGGGTCTATGTACCAAAGGGGAAAGTATATATCTAAAAGAGGAAAGAGATCCAGTTGAATGGAGAGGTTATGGAAGGGGATGGTTGAGCGGTTGAGCGGAAGCGTAGGGTGGAATGCAGACTTGTGATTGGACGGAGCGGAGGATGGATGGAGCAGAGGGGGTCGGAAAGCGGAGTGGATATCAATATCGGAGTGGTCGGATCAGGTATATGACAATAGCCCCACCAAGACCATCGACCCTGACATCCTTATCTTGCTTATCATCAAAGAATCTGAATGGTGGAACAGAAAGGATGGTCGAATGCCATGAAACCATGCCAGTGCCAAGCTAAGTGGTGTTGATGAGGCTATGGGAGTAACAGATTCGTCATTTTGAGGGTGAGGAAGCAGAGGAGGTTCTAGAGGAGGAAACTGTGGTGGAAGAGGAATTGGGAGACCTCGTCCCCCTTGCTGGAACTGTGGTTCATGCAAACACTTCAAGGCACAGTGTCCTGAGCCGGACAAAAGTCAGTCCACAGGAACCACTCATGCAACCAATGGGTCAGCCCATGCAGCTGCCAATTCTGACTCTGAGAGTGACAGAGTGTTCACTATCGATGAGCTATCAGACTTGGACACTGAAAGCTCGGTCACTGAAAAGAGTTCAGTACCGGACTTGCTTACCCTCTCTGAATCCTCCTACAATGATGATTACCCCCTCAACTTAATGTCAGACAATGAAGAACTTTTCTCTGAAGTAGGAGAGGATGCAGCGTCCTTAGACGACCCAGGCTGGACCTCGATCAGAAGTTTCAGCAATGATGAGGTTGTTGCCAAAGTGAGCAACAAGTGCAAAAATGACGGACCTATTACTGAACTCTATGACTCTGGTTCCACCTGCCACATCTCCCCATTCAAAGAGAACTTCGACACTCTCTCTACCATACCCCTGAAATCTTTCACCACCACCAACAAACAATTGTTCAATGCTGTGGGAGTTGGTGAAATGGTAATAGAAGTACCAAATGGTGTCAATGTGTTGAAACTGTCATATCCCGTACCTCCGGACCCAGAATTCCAGATTCTCCCCTATGAAAGTCTGGGTCTCCATCCTTTTCTCTGTCCTGTTGTCCGCCCGGCGCTTTGCTTTCATCTCCGGACTCACATTTATCTCCTTTTAGAATGTTGCTCTCTGGTTACTGGTTCTACACCTTTCCATTTTGCTTACTGATCTGTCTGTCTGCACTTCATCTCCGACTTCATTTCTTTGATCTGTTGTACTCTTACTGATAGACTTTCTATATGCTTTGGGCATAGCTTTTACTTTGCTGACTGATTACTTACATGATACCTATAGTATATAAACTCCTGTAATACTCTGGTACCTCCTCAGTTCAAATATCATCTTAGTTCCTGCTCATTCCTGTTTCTCCGGACTCGAGTCTGATCTCTTGTCCACCTCTGAGTCTTAGGTCTAATCCTTAAGACTATATCTCTGGCTCTACCTTAGGGTAGTCTATCTCTGTTCCATTTCTACTCCAGACTTGTCCGAAGTAGTCTTACTCTATTTACTCCTATCCTTCCGGAGTTCTGCCAAACTCCCCCTGTGTCTGACCTCTGGACCTACCCGGACTTCTGTTGGACTTCCCTTCTGCCTCTCAGAAATTAAGGGCACGTACTTGGGTAAGGGGTGCAGCACACGAGCTGAAGCCAAGCCCTTTGAGTTACTCTTCCCTTGAGCATGACCTTAACAGAACTTTGACTCACTGAAGTTCTCTACTCATCTGAAGTGGGATACACCCTTGTCTCTATTGGACGCCTTGACGAGCTTGGCTATTCAGCCACCTTCATGAATGGGATATGCATCCTTCAAGACCCTACTGAAGAAGTAATTGGGCAGATTCCCAAGACATCCAAGGGGCTATACTGTGTCATACATGATGAACACAGTGGAAGCGTACATGCTGCAATGGAAACCGTAACTGTCATAGAACTCCATAGATGCATAGGGCATATTGCCCCTAGCACTGCTCATTGCCTTGCTGAAAACAGGTTAGTGTCAGGAGTAAAGGTAGATCTCTCCTTGGGCAAACCCACCTTCTGTGAATCGTGTGTCTATGCTAAAGCCATATGAAAGTCTGTCAAAAAAGTTTGTGCAGGGGAACGAGCAAGCAAATTCACTGAAGAGGTTCACACCAACCTCTGGGGACCTGCACCGGTTGCCACACTCGGAGGCCGTATGTACTACATCAGCTTCACCGATGACAAAACCCGCCTCACTTACCTGCACCTTCTTCACTGAAAGAGTAACACTTTTGACACATACAGAGAGTTTGAGGCATGGTGCAAGACCCAGCACAATGCCAAGGTCAAGACATTGCACTCCAATTGTGGAGGGGAGTACCTAGGCAAGACTTTTACCATGCATCTCAAAGCTGCAGGGACCAAGCAAAAACTCACTGTTCATGACATGCCACAACACAATGGTGTTGCTGAGCGACTTAACCGCATGCTGGGAGAAAAGGTACGAGCAATGCTCCATGACAGCGGCTTGCCATGCACCCTTTGGGGTGAAGCTGTAAGGCATGCAGTGTGGCTGAAGAACAGCACACCAATGAGAGCTCTCAATGGTGGGACACCACTCAAGGCTGCCACTGGGAGGAAGCCTGACTTAAGCTGTGCTTGGCCATGGGGCTCAAAGGTTTGGATTCATTTGGAAGCTGGCAACAAGCTTGGTGGACAAGTCCAAGAAGGTCGCTGGGTGGGCATTGACAAAGCCAGTGAGAATGGCTGCCGAGTCTTCTGGCCTGCAAAATGTAAGGTCACTGTTGAATGAAACACTTACTGGGACCCTGCAGAGGTTGTGACAATACCTCACAAGGGGGAGGAAGAAGATCAAAGCCCAAACACAATGATATCATCGCCAGTACACTCACCTCCTAGCCCTATCCCACTAGAAACAATCCCCAAAGCCCCACTGACCATCCCCCTATCCAAAATTCCCATCTTATTGACTTTGCTGACTTTTTATGGCATTTTAATCCATTAAAATGGCCCAACTACACGGGCCCATTATAATACATTGTGGTCAAACAGTCAGCATTTTGATGAGCATTACCACACCATTTTTATGTACATCAAAATGATGATGTAATGAGCATTTTAATGGTACCTACTGAGTGTTAATGCGCATTTTAATGGTACCCACTGAGTATTAATGGGCATTTTCATGGCATCCCCATAGTCTCAATGCACATTTTAAGGTTATCAGCTGAATTTTAATGCCCATTCTAACATATAACAAATTTAAGTTTGATGACAACTGGGAGCCAAGCATTGTGCGATCAGATTGTACTAGTTACAGGAAGCATGTATAACTGTGAAATAAATGTTATATCGCAGTGTGACAAGAGGAGCGGCAAGTAGCTACAGAATCATTGGTCAATTTGGTTTTTTTCCTGCCCCTGGATGCCTTTGCCTGAGATTTGGTACCAGTAAGTCCACTGGCAGTAGCTGGTAATACATCCTCACTCCCTTCAAGATGATCCTGGGTATCCACCGAAGTCTCTGCATGTAGTGCCATGGGAGTTGGGAGACATGGAGTTGAAATAGAAGGCTGTGGGTCAGGATCATTGCAGATGACAGGTGCTGCAACTTCTAGTCGAAGAGTGTTGGCACCAGTGGGCATGGCTGCCACACTTGTAGGTCCAGAGGTTGCAGCAGAATGGTGCGTGTCTTCATTAGCCTGCACTGGCAGGTCAACAAATTCCAATGGTTTGTTGTCCGAGTCTGAATCACTGGCATCAAGCATGGCCATCATGTGATCAAGTGATTCAGTGACGTTCTCCACAGTGCATGGAGCATTGTTGGATGGCTGCATCTTTGTAATACCATCAAAGACGTACCTGTTGATTTGCTCAACAACAGATTTGATGCACTGGTGGGTTCACTTGATGATGATGAATTTCTTGACTGTCTGAAAGATAGAGTGATAGGCAATTGAGGAAATAGCGCCAATACCATCGCCTGAAAATTCCTGATCTGGGGATAGGATAAAGATGGTCTGCAGGACGTGATGAGTGTGAGTGTACATTTAGAGTACCAAAACCCTACTGATGTGACACCGAATGCAATCAGCCCAGGAGTGCAGTTCGTAAGCTGCCATATTTTGGCATAGGGAGGTGGTCCACCATGCACTTTGGGACACAATGTCATCTTTCCACATATTGCAACCTTGATAACCTTCAAAACAAAACAAGAACTTACCTTTGCAATGACTGTCCAGTTTCTGAAAATTTTCTTCTCATTCATGACATGGGCAGGGTAAAGTATGGGTGCCTTGAAGATATCATATGCTTTTCCCTTGCCTGCTTCCCATCCGATCAGGTCTGTGACCTGTGGGAGGGAAGTATGGTCATATTTTGAAATGAAAAACTCATTTGGCATGTTGAAGATACCACCTGCAACAGTACACAGGCTGTTTAGAAATGGAGAATGAGCTTGCTGCATTCCACTCCCAAACTATGAGGCTTTAGTTACAATGACTTGAAATAGGAAAAACTATGCACCTGGTTGACGAACACATGTGGTTGATGGATGCATAGAGTTCAGTGACAAGTGTGTCCTTTTCTGTCAACTTCTTTGCATAACGATTTGGGTCCGAGAAGTCAGCTGGAGGATCAGGACAGTCGGTTTGAAAAATGACTTTATTGGGGAGATGTTTCTCCCTGATAAAGTATACTTCTTTGCCAAGCCTAAAATAAGTTTGTTGATGTCGCTAGTCTTCAATGAATCAGAAGCTGCAACTGTCATATACCTGATCCGACCGCTCCGATATTAATATCCGCTCTGCTTTCTGACCCCCTCCGCTCCATCCATCCTCCGCTCCGTCCAATCATCATCCGCATCCGCCCCTACACTTCCACTTGACCGCCCAACTGGTCCCCTTCCATAATGTCTCCATTCAACTGGAACCTCTTTCCCCTTTTAGATATATACTTTCCCCTTCAGTACATAGACCCTTACTTCTGGATCACCGGTAATTCCTATTACCGCTCGATCACTGATCCGACGCGTACATATTGATATCCGCTCCGACTTGTGTCTTCGCCTGTGTAAAGTACTTACAAACTATATCCTTGGTACATAGCTTTACAACATAGTTATCCTGATCACTGCCTCATACATAGAAGTATATAACATATCCTGTACTTAGATATTTTCCCCAGTCTTAATATTACTTGTCTTCTCGCAGTTACTACTTGTGAGAATTCTCAGTAGGACCTTGCCTCCTCTGGACACAAGTCTCAACTTGCTGTCGCCTCTGACCCTCCAACCCTCTGCTCCGACTTAGAGCCGTGCTCTAAGTGCTCCCCTTAATTCTCCGCCCCTACCAATATTCCCCTTATCCCTTTCCCCATCCTCCGCATTATCCTCTGCCTTCCCCGCTCCTACCAAACCTTCCCCCTATTCCTATCCACCCTCCGCATCACTCCCCACCTTCTCCACTCCACTCCTAGTCGGCCTGCTGCTAGTAGCTCTTACTTCCCGACCCTCAAAGTGGACCAAAGCGGTCCACTCGTCCTATCGTTGGACAATGTTGGACCCACTCCAAATTCGGGGCACATACTCAGCTAAGGGTGCAGCGCAAGAGCTGAAGCCAAGCCCCAACCCCTCTGCCTCTTGAGATGGTATGGTACCTAACAATAACACAGAGAAGACATACATTGCAGCATGATTCATGTCAATGTGCGATCCTAGTACACATTGTGAGCCTACACAGTGACATGCGGACAGATCAAATCTTGTGATTCAGAGACAGAATAAGGTCACTTACATCTGTAAAACAGTGAACATTTGAAATTGACACAAGGCTGTTGAATGAGGACCCTTCAAGTTGCTTCATATGGTACAGGTGAAGCAAAACATACTGGTATGCATGCAATTGATGTAATGGCTCAGAGCATAATAAGCTGTGGAAGGAGTGAGAAGTATTGGCAGGTTAGCCAACAATGAATGCAAACAGCCAGAGAGAAAATCACCATTTCAGTAGCAGACCAATACACATCGGCACAATTGATGGTTGGACTTCACCACAGCGTGAACCAATGGTTAGGAATCTGGTTAAGATTGGACCTCTGTGCATTGGTAAGTCTCCTGTATCGCATCAACTCTTCAAATCCAGATGCCTTCTCCCAGAAGAGACCCCCCAGGTGGGGAAGTAAGTGCCTTTGAAGAGCATGTGCTCCAAGATACCCTCAACACCAGTGCAGAAATAGTGTCAACACGGTAGTTGTTCAGTTGCCAGAGCTTTCCATTGTGGTGCTGAGACGTCCACCACAAGGAGTTGCTGTAATGGTATTTCATTAGCCGACAATCAAACCAGACAGCTAGAGAGTAACTCACTGTTTCAGCAGCTGGTACTGCTTCCAATCTGTACACACACGCCAACCTTGGTCATACACCAAAGTGTGATGATCCTTTTGGAAGAGGGTGTTGATATGAGGAATATCACGGTCCCAGCTATCCTACAGATCTCCAAGAGTGAGGCGACAATTCTGGGCATTGGCCTCTCAGACCAAACACGAGCTGAATCCAAGAACTCTGCCTCCCATGGCTGTACAAGTTCGGAATCAACTGGTCCTCTTCATGCGTCATACCAGCATGGAAGTGTGTAACTGTTCAAATGAATTGACATGAGCGAGAGAATGGTTATCAAAAAAGTGAGTGAACAAACCTCCAACGTCGGTTTGCTTGAACCATCGCAAATCACTTTGTGGGATGAGAACATGACCCATCAAAAGCATTCCAAGGACCACCAAGCTCCTTTGGCATGTAGAAGACAACAGGTGGGAAATGGGATGGCATCTTACTGTTCAAGCTGATCTTGACATGGGTTTGAATCTTGTTCTCTGCTTTGACAAGGGAGTCCAAAAGCTCATTTGTGTGGATGACAGCCTTGCAATAGTAAGTCATCAAACCGATCAGAGCAGTGTTCCACTTGTTGACAATCTTCAAGAAAGTGGTGAAGCTGGAGCTCACCAGGACCTGACGAATAAGGTTGTTGAACTGCTGGACACCATCATTGGGGACATGGAGGAGCACCTGCGCAGTTCTCTCTTTTGTCTGCTCATTGGTCAGGTTCCACACAGAGTCCTTAAATGAGAACTGCTCACCACCCATCGTCCTAATCTTGGGTAGGATGCAAACCTCAAAGCTGCATATTGAGAACAACAACTGTGGGTTGTCCTTCGAGTAGACACTGACAAAGGTGTCTTCCCACTCGATGGTTATGAGTGAGCGTGGCAAGCTGTTCTTGACATTCCAGAAGACTGCTCTTCCAAGGTTGATGTCATGTTTGATGAGACGCATATGACAATCTCGAGGTCAGCAGCGCTTGTTGTTGTACCCAATAACATTGCTGTTAGTTGGGTCAGGGTTAGCACTCAGATAGCGCTGGATGAGGTTCCTTGCCTCATCAGCGCTGAAGTGAAAGAGGATGTGCAAGCAATCAATGTAATGGGAGTATAAGTGGATGGGGTGATGAGTATCTGTCACAGAGTTGTGATACTGCAAGAAATTATTGGGCATCTGAGGAGGACCTGCCATTTCACTAGCTACAAGTCAAGAATGAGGAGATCAAGGACAAGACCATAGTACTAGAAGACAAAGGTCAAGAACTGAGGACCACAGATGAGACCAAATGTGTTCATGTGTGCCATGTCCTTGTAGGTTAGCACCGTGCCATTCTTTGCAGTGATGTAGTCTGCCAAGTTGTGATCAAGAATGAGATGGAGGAGACAGTTTAGGAGGGTCAGGTCAGTCTTCTCATGCACCTTGGAGAAGACAGTCTCCATCATTACATTGCACTCACCCCCGCTTGTACTTACTGCCAATATAAGATCCTTCATTGCAACCTCAACCTTGATCCACTCATCGTCTGTAAGAGTGGGTCAGACAAAGTGTGACTCTGTGATGGTCAACTTGTCCAGGGGTAAGATAATCTTCGCCTTCTCATTGTTGATGTGCAAGCCTGCCACTTGAGTCCCAGTACTGCAAAGACAGTGTTTGATTCTGAGGAACAAATGACTAAGTCAGTGGTGTTCCTGGACTGAGTATAAGCACATGTACTTGGCCTGGAGGTGTTGAAGAAACTCTTCAATTGTCAGAGCTGTGTCAAAGAAGCTCTGCAATTGTCAGAACTGCATTGAAGAAGCTCTTTGGTTGTTGGAACTGCACAGATTTTATGCAAATGGGTGAACAGGTTCATCTGGTAGAGCACGGCAATGTTCTGCTTTAGGATAGCAGGAAATACTATTACTACTAGTACAAAAGTCATTGTACATCTGTGAAGGACCAGCATGTAAATATTGTTGCAAGGGAAGGATGAGGAGACCAAAACATACTAGTACTGAGAATGGCCTGGTTCACAATGATTGAGCTTGGAGAGCCATGACTCAAAGGAACATGTCAGTGTCCACAGTGTGAATGACAAAGTAATCTCCAGCCATTTCAGGATCGCTGGCAAGAGCAGCGCCCCAAACAATTGACCAGACAGAAATGATTTCAGAGGATGAGCGAGGTTTGGCTCGTACATGCCATATTCAGATATCATTATCTCGTCTTCAATGACTACTGGCAATACCAACATCATAGGGATGAATAAGGGTGAGAGGGAAATCAGTGCCACCAATCAAGCAGCTGCACATGTATACAAGGCGAGCGAAAAATTGCTTGTCGGCAGTTTTCACCATGACACAGTTGTACCTCGGCAATCCATAGAATTGTGAGTTGCACCGAAGCAAGTCTCGGTGCAGGTGCCAGTCAATCATTGATTCATAGTTTACCCACAAGAACCAAAACTTGGTAATCTGATAGAAATGTATCAGTACTATCAATTGGGTGAAGTAAATTAGCATACCATATCCTCTGCGTGCAGATGAATGTGCCTTCTGTCTGGCAAGGGAATGTTATTTTGTGGTAAGAAACCATTCAGCTTCATCCAAAAGTCAGTGAAGGCCCTGTCTGTCCCGTGTGAGTGCATGATATCCGAAAAAGAGTGATTGCCTTGCCTTGAACCTAAATGCACATGTATAGTAGTAGAATCTACCCTTGGCTTGGAGATTCCAGTGTCACCCAGGGCTTCATTGGTCTCAGTATCATGAGTATCTTGTTGATTGTACTGGTCAAGTTCATTGAGTTCAGTACACATAGATGTTGAGGTCAGAAGCCATTCATCATAGCACAGAATCTGTAATGATAAAACCATGATTAGACTGAATTTATAAGATGATATAGTTATAGGCGACGAACCTGAGAAGCAACATTCTTGAAATTTGTGCGTTGAAGGTAGATTTTTTGCAAAGAGCCGTTGTGGGTACAACAAGTGCAGCAGTGAGAAATCAATCTACTACAAAGTTGGGTCTTTGCTGCCTGCTGCCTTACTTGAGAACAAGCATGTTCGACCCTAAAGGGGATTGCTACTGGGGAGTGCTAGTCTCTGCCTAAACGACCATAATCAACCCTACCACAGGTAGGATGAGGATCCGCCAAAATGCGGAACAAGCAGAACAAGTGGAACTCAAGTGGAACAAGTGGAAATCAAGCGGAATGAATCGGAATGAAGCAGAACTCAAACGGAAACAATGCAGAACATACAGATTCATCGGAACTTGTGGATCAAGTCGAAGGAAGTATATCACAAGGTTAGATTGATAGTGGGCATAAGTCAAAGCGGTCCTCTAGTAAGGTGAAGGAAAAGTCGGAGAAAAGTTGGAAGGTAAAAGATGAGATTTGATAAAAAAAACACCCAAGCCCTGAGTACCACTACTTATAGGGAAGATTATTTTCAAGGAACACTGAGGTACAGGTAGTAAATTTCTCAGGAAGCAGAAGTGAAGGCAGGCAGTGCACATGGGTGCAATACTCTGCAATAGGGGTCCATGCCATAAGGGCATGTGTCAATGCAATCTGGATAATGTTAGAAGCAATGGGAAGAGAGATACAGCGTACCAATGAACCTGGAAGGATGGGGACAGGACATGTGAAGGTTGTCCGACGATGCATGGGAATATCGGATAGTGTAGGCAAGTTCTGAAGGATGCACGGGAATGCAGAACACATTGGATGATGCATGGGAAACACAGAATGTGCGGAATATGCGGAACTGATGTGAGATGATGCGGAATCAACAGGGTTTTACACCTCAGTGGGAGTACTCCCCACACCAGGGGGAGCTGTGACTAATTTAAAAGTCACAACAGTTTGGTGATGTACTATTAATTTAAAAGGACAGACAATGAATCAAGCTTCAAAACACACTTGTGCACTCCAAAAGGCATCAGCAGTCCATGGTTCATCTATGAAGTGGACAAACCTTTCTCTGTTGAATTTGGAAAGATGTTGAGCGTCAAATACAAAGTGAGGGGCAAGATGTCTGTCTCACAATAAGTCAAGCACCCAATTCCAGAGAGGGTGGTAGTGCATGTCAAATTTGTGCACTGTTTGTTCATGCAGAACAAACACTTTATCATTCTGAAACTGCGCACTATATGATCAGCTTGTTACAATTATTAGTTGTAGATAGTACTTACTTTGGTATACTGCTATGAAGCAAGCTCCCACAGCAAGCAAACTTTGTCGTGACTTTGCAGTGTGAATGTATCATTGCCACTGACAACCTGATGAACAACATTGAGTAGGCGATTGGTCTGATCCTTTGTCATCACAGCTTCAAGTGCAATCTCTGCTATTTCAAAATCAAGCCATGTGCGAAAGGGCTCCCATGGTGAACTGTTACGAGGTACATAATCTTCCGTTGGGCAGCTGCAGGAGAACTCAGAGAAGCAATGTACAGTGGAGGGGAGTTGGCTGTGAGGATGGTATTCAACTTGGATATCATCAAGCTCACGAGCAGGCTCGTTGGGACTGTGATCAGCATTGTCGAAATCAGGACTGATGTTGTGGAAGTCGGATAACACTGTGTCATGGTCCATTGGTGGGTGTCATTGAGGTGATCACCCTTGCATATTAATATCTAACAGGTGGCACACACTGTTAGTACATTATGAATGAATTCAAATTGAACATATCAGTATCTGTTGCCCAGATAGCAGTGGCACCTGCTATATTACAATCAGTATAAAAAGTGCAGTACAGTCATTGAAAACATAAGCGCTCACCTGCAGCAGATGACTGCATGTCCTCAAAACATCTTAGATTATCACAAAGTTCTGTGAAAAAAATTTCATCTATCTATCAAGCACATCATACAACTGATTTGAGTGCTTACCCTTCTTTTCAGCTTTCCAAACTATATCAGCAAATTCCTTGTCTTCCAGCCGTTCCTGTTCTTTCTTTGCACAAGACTTTGAATGAGATCCTAACCTGCGTGTGCAGACATTCGCCCCACATCAATCGCACATCACAAGGTCTGATGCCTGTTGTTTTGACTTGGGCATCATTATGTATATCAGTAGCAGATGAACGGTGAGCAAGTTGATTGGAGTGGTAATCTATCAATAAGGCATATTGAAGGCTTATCCGATTCAGAATCAGAATTGCATCAGAATGACTCGTAATATTATTGAAACTCCGCCTAAGGTATGGTAATGAGCTCATAATCTAGGTCAAAATGATTCTGAGGCACATTACAACATGTGACCATTATGATACCAGTAAAAGATCTCCAACACTATTTGACCGCACCCTAATGCGCATACATTGAGATAGAATCGTTAAATTCCCAGGCAATAGTGTCATTATGATCTATTAATTACCTATCATTTTAGAAGGTACATGATACATCCTGGCCTTTGAGTGAAACTGTAAGATGATGATACATCAGTCACAGAGGGTGATACATTACCTACCGCCAAAGATCAATGTATTGAATTCTATGATACATCACCTACCACCAGAGATTGGTATATTGAATTTTATGATACATCATACTACCATGTGAATGATATATTATCAGCCCTAGTAGAAGTGGGCCCATTTCTGAGATTATGATATATCACTGGTAGGTTAACAAAACTTGATATATAACCTGCTATGATAGTACTCCTACTCGGCACTCTAGCCAGTGGATATCACCTCCTAGCACATGGATGCATCCGCGTGCTAGGAGGTGATATATCACAAGTACCTTTCTGACCCATGGAATTAGTGTGCTTGGAGTCCAAACAACGCATCTTCAATGATGCACAACTCTTTCCCCCCTGTCGTCCTCCTTCTTCCTCTCCAGCACACAGCACACAGAACACCTGCATTCATATGTGTGCTGCCTCCATTGGATTCCCGGTTCTCCTGTTTTCTCTCACTAGGCTTACGTGATATATCACCATATGTCAGTGAAATGTTAATAATACTGACTGTTAGCAGTAGACAATACACATCAAAGTTCATTGATGCAGGCAGGGTTCACAGGGACACAACAACAATCTCAATATTAACAGCTCGGACAGGGTTATGGGTATACTAGTATAGTAGGCAAGCAGGCATGAGTATGAGGCCCATATCAACATCATTTATGGGATTTTTTCCTCATCTCTGAAGCACTAGGCTGTACCAAGTTCCGCTTCCTCTTGAGCACTGCTTTTGTTACTCGCTGTGGGCTGGCATTGCCAATTTCATTGGCTTCCTTTGCTTGGGTTGAGGGACGTCCCTCACATCCTGAGTGCCTAGCCTTAGTTGTGACTGTCTGTTCCAAAAGTGTTGATGGCTCCAAATCAGGTGCCAATGTGCCCTGGTCAGCTTCAAGTGGTAAGGCTTGGGTGAAGAGAGTGGCAAGGAAGGCTCAGGCAAGGAGAGTGGGCCGAGTGGCAAGGAAAGCTCAGGTGAAGCAAGTGGCATGGAAGGCTTGGGTGGAGGGAGCAGTAAGGAAGGCTTGGGTGAAGTGAGTGGCAAGGAAGGCTCGGGTGAAGCAAGCGGTAAGGAAGGCTTGGGTGAAGCAAGCGGTAAGGAAGGCTTGGGTGAAGCAAGCAGTAAGGAAGGCTTGGGCATAGTGAGCAGTAAGGAAGGCTTGGGCATAGCGAGTGGTAAGGAGGGCTCAGGCATAGCGAGCGGTAAGGAAGGCTCAGGTGAAGGGAGTGGCAAGGAAAGCAGGGGTAAAGAGAGTGGCAGAGAGGGTTGTGGTGAAAAAACTACTGGGGAAGGCTGGCGAAGATGGAGCAGTGGAGTTGTACCGGTAAGCAACAGATTGCGTGTGGGCAACAAATTAGTGTCATCTGAAAATGAAAATTGCAGCAGTATGAATGGTTCCTGTGCTTGAGGGAGTGCAGTAGACATAGTCAGATTTTCACCAGACACAAACTCCTTTCTCCAGGCAGTGATTGGTGAGTCTGGGTGCATTGGAGCTGCTGGATCATAAGAATACAGGTCAGGATGCAGGCGACCTTGCCATCTGTTCAATTGTGGTGTGATGTTGAAGTCGATGTCCTCAAAATGTGCAGGCCTCTGAGGTAGTGGCAGGCCGACATTGGATGCATGCTGCTGATCTAACAGATCATATAGCAAGATGAGGTCTGTGATAAATAAAGGAGGAGAACTGCATCCAGATGTCAAAATGAGGTCAGTGGTTGATGGAGGTGTACTGGGTATAGATGTGGGAACCGAAGTTCCCTTTGAAGACCCACCTATTCATATATCAGTTGTAGACCTACAAACCGACTAAAAATCATACATACCATAGATGCAATTCAGATGTCTTTTGAATGGTAATAAATACTGTTCATGGAAGTTAGACGTTGATGCCTTAAAGCTCAGACCATCTGGGGTTTTGCCATGGTGATAACTGACAAGTTGTGCAAATAAGATCAACCATATGACTAATACGTAAGGAAGACTACATGCCTCAATGTCATGATATCACCTTCACACAAAGGATCTGGTCCACCCATGATGAGTGAGTAATGCCATCCACCAGTCAAAGTTGAGAGTTCCTCAAATATCTGACCAAGGACAATTGGCAGCTCTTGAATTGCACTTCCAAGAAGAAATCAGTTGAAGTCTAACAAATCCTGAGGAATTAGTTACCAGTAAATCTCCTCTTTTGTTTGATCATTCCCCGCTGCGACAGAACCTAACTTTCTGGCAGCATTAATACATTGAGTCTCAATGCAAACCCCATCCTTCATATCTTCTGACTCCTTTGCAAAACATTCACTCGTGTGTTGCCAGACAGCACGAAGCCTCTGGTCAGGTAATGCAAGCTTGTTTTCCCTGATGTCGTCTGAAACCAAGGGCTTGACTTTTGATTAATAGTGAAGTTGTGAGTACACCTTGACTTCTTTCAGGTCTCGAGTGCCTTGTGCACGCTGTCCAAGGAATGTAGATAGGACTTTGCTCATCAAAGTCCTGCCTGGTCTAGTCTTTCCTTTGGTGTTGTTTCAAAACCACTCCTGCAATTTCTGTGTAATGGCTAATCAGTATTCCGACCTATAATTAGCTCAGTGTCAAGAAACGCACTTTACGTCGATGTTTTATGGTGTCCTTGAGTACCTCGGCAAGTTCTGCATCCAAGTTACTCTGTTTTTCAACACCACTGATAGGAATTATAGTGTTTTCATGGTCCAGCTTGGCAATGATCTTGTTGATGGCCCCATCTGAGACAAGACTAGATTGGTCGATGTTGGCATTGTTGTCATCAGGTGAGTTTTCTGATCCTATGGGCCAAACTCTCATATGTTCTGGGAACTCACTGAACCACTTGGGGTATATAGCAGCTCAAAAAACTGGACCAACTTTTTCTCTTTTTGCATCTGTAGGTATGTTGGAACCTCATTTTGCAGCTGTCATATTCCATACCTCTGGATCCGGAATTCCAGATCTACTTCATTAAAGTCCGGTCCTCCGTCTTACTATTCCATCTGGCGCTCCACCTTCATCTCCGCACTCACCCCTGACTCCTTTTAGATTAGCTATTGCTCCAGTTACCGGTTATGTCCTATTCCGCTATGCTTACTGATCCGTCCATTCTTACTTCATTTCCAACTTCACTGCTTTGATCCGTTACACTTAGTGTCACGAATCCCAAATACAAACCATTTTTCATTTCTCAGTTTTCCTTCGGCTACTTCCAGTACCCGAGCCGGTCACATGACTCCTCGTCATAGGTCACCCATTGCTTCTCCGATTGGCTCCCCTACTCCACGGGCTAGAACAATCTTGCTTCCCAAAGAAGAACCGGTCGGAGCTTGGGTTTCTATTTAGTTGCTGTATTACTCATTTGCTTATATATCATGAAGTCATACTTACTCATCTGCAGTATCGTACGACTCTTTTCTCATTGGCTGATTTCTTTCAGACTCCTACTCAATTTTATGTATAAAAGTAGGGTGGTTAGTGTAAGAGCTCCTTAGACTTAACCTCTTCATTTCCTACTGTTGTAGTGACCTAGACGTTTACGCTCAATTCTATCACGTTTCTCATCATCTTTGACCGAGTCCTAGTGGTTGTGAACTCTCCTTCATCATTATTGGTGAACGTGGGTCATAACACTTAGTAATAGACTTTCCACATGCTTCGTACATAGCCCTTACCTTTGCTGACTGATTTACTTACATGATACCTACAGTATATAAACCCCTGTAATACTCCAGAACTCCTCAGTTTGAATATCATCTTAGTTCTGCTCATTCCTGCAATCTCCGGACTTGAGTCTCACCTCTTGTCCACCTCCGAGTCTTAGGGGTTAAACCTTAGGACTACTTCTCCAGCTCTACCTTAGGGTAGTCTAACCTCTGTTCTGTTTCTACTCCGGACTCCCGTAGTAGCCTTACTCCGTCCCCATATAGTCTTCCGGAGTTCCGCCGAACTCCACTAACTTCTGTCCTCCGGAATTCCCCGGACTTCCATTGGACTTCCCCTCTGTCCCCCGGAAATTAAGGGCATGTACTCGGGTAAGGGGCGCAGCACACGATGTGGGTACAACAAGTGCAGCGGAGTGAAGTCAATCTACTACACAGTTGGGTCTTTGCTGCCTATTGCCTCGCTTGGGAACAAGTGCGTTTGACCCTTAAGGGGATTGCTACTGGGGAATACTAGTCTCTGTCTAAAACAACCCTATAGGATGAAAGATCCGCAAAAGCGGATGAAACGGATAGGATGCAAAACGTACAGATTTGTCGGATGGAGCGGATGGCACTTGCGGATCAGACAGGATGTGAATCAAAGTCAAAGGAAGTTCATTAAAGGTTGGATGGATAGTGGGTATAAGTCAAAGCGACCTTCTGGTAAGGTGCAGGAAAAGTGGGAGGAAGTTACATTCATTAAGTATTTTTCGAAAACCTCCATGCTTATAGGGTACAGTATTTTCAAGGAACATAGAGATATAGGTAGCGAGTCTAGACTGTGCCATAAGCTATCCAAAAAATACTGGAGTGTGAGAGGATATGTCTGTGTTCAGTCAGTAACAAGAAAATGCGTGTGAGTACGTACCAATGAGGTAGAATGGACATGGACAGGACGGATGCAGCGGATGCGTGAGCTATAGGGGGAGATCCGAAGGTATCCGCATGTCATCCGAAAAGCGGATGGGTATCGGATGGAATGGATAGGTGTTGGATGGATGTCGGATGGATGCCTGATGCATCGGAAAAGTGGTGGATATGAGCCTAGTGTAGGGATACTCCCTACAACGAGCTGAAGCCGAAGCCCTTTGAGTAACCTCTCCCTTGAGCACGACCTTAACAGCAGCCAAGTAAGCTGTTCGGCACTTGTCCATCTTGGAGGGGCCTTGCAATGTTAGTGTGATGTTCATCTGTATGTTTTTTTCGCTCACATTTGTCCAGTGTGCTTTTGTAGCAGGTTCCTTTCAGGTTCTAGACCAAGCATGAACTTTTTCACCTTAGCATTATTAAGGTCAAGTTTTTTTTTCAGATTTGACCAATCAATACCTGTCAAACGGCAAGTGGTATAAATACTATTCTCTTCCCTGCAACTTGACCTTGCCACTTTGTTCAGACTTGTGAACATGTCCCAGCCAGATATCTGGTGCCTCCACAATTGCTGTGTCCAAATGCTACCCCATCCTTGTTTCACACTTGAACAGTTCATCGAGGCCATTCAGTTGGTTCAGTGTGACCATGGTAAGCTATTTTCTTTGGTTCTCCATAATGTTTGCTGGTACTGACACACTTTTGCAAAGTTCCACAACCATTTGCTTGACCCTATTGACCAGAAGGTGAAGAATGCATACTTCACACTGCACAATCTGGTACATACAGTGTATCTACTGCATTTTTTTTCCGCTCACACTACTTATAGGCTCTCACTGGGATGTGATGGATGGTCTGGGTGACAACCCCACAGATGTTGACACCTCCATCAAAGACATTTGGATTGGTGCCACCAATGATGCCACCAACGATGTTCTGCCTGGTTCCCAGCCCGAGTATCATTCTAGTGAGGGGGAAGAATTGGAGGCTGCCAATGCAAGTGCCAAGACACTCATCAACTTTGACCCTGCCAGTCAGTTTAATTGGTTCGTAACTGTTGGTCATTATGGAGTTGGATTGTTCAGTGACATGTAGGCTCCTTCATTTATTTGATCTGTACTGTCTCTAATGATACCTATTGAGCTATACTGCACGTAAACTCTGCTCTGCTGGCACATCAGTGCATTATTTTACTATGCTCCATGAAGCCCAGGTGCACTTCAAGGATGTTTTCAATGTATGGTGCAGTGAGGCAGCTTGATATCTCTGCACTGTAGATACTATGTCATTCGTGTATACTAAAAATATCATGTGATGTGCTCAATGAGCTTTATATACCCTTTTTCCAGTGTATTGCTGCTAGATCTGGCATCCAATCAGCCTTCATGCATGAGTTGGATGTGAGTCTTATAACACCCAACAGACAACCATTGATCAATTGGTCCTGGTAACATTTGTGCTCAACCTGGATATGCTCCATAATATTGGTGCACTTGGTACCAAGGTATTTCAGCATGCCGAGAGTGATTGACATGGGCACAGCATGATATATCATGGTGAAAGACACACAACTCTCTGAGACACCCTATGATGTCTGGTGAATGTGCGTTTTTTCTCATTCATCCAAATGATTGATGTGACCGGTTGACATGTAGGTAAGTACAGCAAGCAGTACAAGTATTCTGCACATTGAGATTATTTGTTGTCGAGTACATGGTATTATATAGTATATACAAATCAAATCCATCTGTCCTGAAGTGTGGCTCCCAATGTGTTTGATATGGTGAACTGTATGCAAACACTGACCTTACTTACCCATATCATTAATGCCACCAAAATACAAGTCCGAGGAAGATCATTGTAATGCTAGATTGCAAAGCAAACAAGCTCACTATGCAAGGTTAGGTTTAATCACTATCTCTAGAATCAATGGTCATTGTATTCATTGTGCTCTAGAAACAAGACTACAGAGCAAGCCAAGTCATGAAATCATTGAAGGGAGTCTCATATGATTGATGTATGTCTTTCTCGAGATGGTCATAGTGCACATCTTTGCTGATTTGCGAAGTCCATCATCTCAAACTTTCACAGCCTCGACATGTTATACATTGAGCTTGGCTACAAAGCAGGAGTTCCTGAGCATAATACCCTCCGGAATCGCTTTCTCGCAGTACTCCAATGCATTGACACAGAAGGATGGGATGTCATATCCCCCAAGCTCAAAGATGTGTGCACTTATATGCACAATTTGCACCAGTGCATTACCTTGCTGTCAGAGACTGTACAGCTATGTGCACCGGGGATCAGACACAATACTCTATTGCAGCAGTGTGAGGAATTGCTCTGTTTGACAACATGACGGCTTGCTGCAGAAAGGGAACTCACCACTCTTATAGATCAGCCTAGTGGTACTGAAGCCTATGATGACATTATGTTAGCAGGTTTACTTAGCTGGCAAATGCCATCTGAATGAGTCGCTCATTTGTTATTTTACTGCATGTAGTCACATTCAAATTGGAGTCTGGACTCTGCTTAGAAGTAACACCCATCTGGCAAAATCTGCCATTTGATTCAACACCATTGTCGACTATGGTTACTAGTCAAAAACAGCAAGCACTCTGTGAGGAATGAGACAAACAATACTCCACAACCAACTCACCAGGAACAGCAGCGCAAACACACCAGCTTCGAGGCAGAATCCAGTGGTCGTCTTGCAGCTTCTTCTGTTTACTATATGATTCCACATTCACCCGCCAAATGCCAATTTGAAGAGTCTGACTTAGAAGATGCACACAATGATGAATTCAACTTTTCATCGCTTAATAGCTTCAATGAGGATCTCTACAATACATCTACCAAGTCTCACACACAAAAGCACCCTGCTGGGGTAAGTTGTATGTCAGTTGAGATTGCTGTGGCGATTCTAACTATGTTCTCATTAGGACAATCCTTTATGTGTATGGAACTCTGATGCCAACCTGTTTTTGCTGGAGTTTCTTCACTTGGAGGGCTGTGGTGACTTTGCACAAGCAATGTGTTTCTGTGGCAAAGCAAACCCAATATTTTGGTGTGAAGACTGTCATGGCACAGATCTGATGTGCCATACATGTACTGTCTGTGTACATGAGAGGCAACCGCTTCACAGAATGGAGGTATGTGCACTATTTGTGCATGAACAACAATCTGAACAATGTTGCAGTGTTGGAATGGTACTTCATTTCAGGTCACCACATTGAAGGCCTTGGGAGTCCGCTTCCAACTTGGGCATCCCATTGGTATTTGATGTATCAATCCAATGTCTGCATCCAACAATGACTTCATCATCCTTGACTGGAATGGTGTCCATGAAGTTGGACTCGATTTCTGCGGATGTGAGTCTGCTCAGCCACACATTACCCAATTGCTATGTGTTCACCTCTTTCCCTCAACTACAACAGACCCTAAATCAGCCGCCACATTTCATGTGCTGGAATATTTTCAAATGCTGTCCTTCAAATTTAAAGCCTCAGTATGGGAATTTTATAATACCATTGCTCGCCTCACAGATAACACAGGCATCTTGGTCCTAAAGGTAGGCAACATGTCTTACATCTAAGTTCATCCTCACTGATGGTATTATTCAGGATTGTTATGAGTCTTTCCTCCAAATGATATGTGAATGGCGCTTCATAATGCAAATGAAATGCTGCGGCCAGGGTCATCATCCCGGAGGCATTAAAAAAATAGAAGCAAGCACTTGCGCTGTGTTATGCCCTGCCTGTCCCCACCCAAGCAAAAATTTACCTGTTAGGTAGGAAAATGCTCCACTAGAATTCCGGTAAGAATGTCTGATGAATTTTTAACCTTGATTCTTACCCTCGCCACAGATTTTTGTATGTGTTGTGGGTACAACAAGTGCAGCAGTGAGAAATCAATCTACTACACAGTTGAGTCTTTGCTGCCTGCTGCCTTACTTGAGAACAAGCATGTTCGACCCTAAAGGGGATTGCTACTGGGGAGTGCTAGTCTCTGCCTAAACGACCCTAATCAACCCTACCACAGGTAGGATGAGGATCCGCAAAAATGTGGAACAAGCGGAACTCAAGCGGAATGAAACAGAATGAAGCGGAACTCAAATGGATACAATGCGGAACATACAGATTGAGTCAATGGAAGTATATCACAAGGTTAGATTGATAGTGGGCATAAGTCAAAGTGGTCCTCTAGTAAGGTGAAGGAAAAATCAGAGAAAAGTTGGAGAAAAGTCGGAAGGTAAAAGATGAGATTCGATAAAAAACACCCAAGCCCTGAGTACCACTACTTAAAGGGAAGATTACTTTCAAGGAACACTGAGGTACAGGTAGTAAGTTCTCAGGAAGTGGAAGTGAAGGCAGGCAATGCACAAGGGCGCAATACTCTGCAATAGGGGTCCATGCCATAAGGGCATGTGTCAATGTGATCCGGATAATGTTAGAAGCAATGGGAAGAGAGATACAGCGTACCAATGAACCTAGAAGGATGGGGACAGGACATGCGAAGGTTGTCCAACAATGCGCAGGAATGCAGAACACATTGGATAGTGTGGGCACATTCCAAAGGATGCACGGGAATGCAGAACCCATCGGACAATGCGTGGGAAACGCGGAATATGCGGAACTGATGTGAGGCAATGCGGAAAGGACGGGGTTTTATGCCTACAGTGGGAGTATTCCCCACAGCATTATTCCTTGCTATTGATGCAAATTTCCGACTCATTCACCGTAATGTATCATCAGATGCCGTTGATCCCAGACTGAATCATGGATATGCATTTTTTGTTGAAGAGACTGAATACAAGGATATACTGGCTTTATGCAACAGGGTGGGCAATGCCCAGGAGGTAAGTCAAACACAATTGCCCAAGTCACTGCACTGACCATGATCAAATGTAGAAGAGCATGTGTTCTAGCCACTCTGCAGTCAACCTGGCGGATACAAGGGCTTTGCATGGACTTGCAGCAACGGGTGCAGGAACCATTGATTGTGCATGGCACAACTTTAAATGCCCTTGTTCAGTTGGCAATTTGCAAAAGGGGGAGAGGTGCATTCGTTCATTGATCATGTCATAGTCATGTTTCTGAACCCACTGTTGATAGGTACATCAACATGGATTATCTGTTTTTTTTTCAAGCATGCATTCTTCACACGGTGTTCACATCCTCAACATATCTTATGACATTGCCTGTCAATGGAACAAAAACCTTTGGTCACACATGTCAGCATTCCCACACAAATATCATATCAACCACCATGAAAAGGTCATTACATTCCTTGTACCTAAATTTCACCTACCAGCACACATCACTAGTTGTCAAACCAGGTTCTCGTTCAACTTTATCAAGGGTGTTGGGTAGATGGATGGCGAAGCTCTAGAGTGTGTGGGTGGGCAGATATTAACCTTCTTGCTACAAGTACTCGTGAGATGGGACCCGGATCCAGGTGAGACACCATAGATGACCACTTTAACAATTGGAATTGGAAGAAAGTCTGTGCTATGGGTGAGTGATTATTCTATTGATTAGTGTTCAAAGCTAAGCTACTCCCACAGGCACCATTCTTCTCCAAAAATATAAGGCTGCGGTACCTGAGGCTGAAGAACATGCTCGTGATCTTGACAAATTTGAGGCTGCCCTTGATGCAGACCAATTAGCTGGGTGGAGAACAGATATCAAGATGTGGGAGTTGGACCACTCTTTGCCAAACCCATTTGAAGTGAAGGTGGGGGCTAGTAAGTGCTGTTTTGTGCCTAAACATTTATGTTGCTAATGGGTAATTTAACAGTGGTGACCCAGGCTGCTGTGCATCTGGCATTATCAAAGACTGAGGCAGAAGAAATCGAGCGTGGTGAACACATGTCCCTGGACAATGATGTATCACCATTGGTCCTTATCTCGTCAGGAATAGAACTAGAGGGTCAGCAGTGCATATACACATTATTTTTCACACTCACAGCTGACTCGGCTCTACCTAGATGATGTGTTGAGTTTGAGGGGAAGAGCATCAGACAGCATGCCACGGACACTCAAAAAGTCAAGATACTTCAGTGCATCAATACCCTCCGCCACAGAATTGATACCTGGTCCCATGTACAACTGCTGTACATGCCCTGTGTCTCCTGCCTGCAATCACTCAATGACATTACCTCCAAGGACAAGGTCCACAAGATCAATCTTTTTCTTCCTTCTTCACTACCCTCAAGTTTCCCATGTGATGTTCACTTGCTAAGGTATGAATGGGATTTATGTGAAGCCCAAGCAAATGATGCTCTCAGCGACCTCCACACTGTCATCAATATGACCTACCACCTCTACAAGTACAAGGATGCTTTTGTCCGAGGTCAGCACATGAATACTCATGCTCAAGGTATTATCCATTCAGCTGAAAGCCAAATCAATGCAATATTGGTCAAGTACACTGCCACCAGAGATGCACTTGTAATACTTGCATCAAAACTCAGTAAGAATGGTGATTGGCAGCAGATATTGAAGCCACTGGACAGGATGAAGGATGCAGTCCCACTCAAACATGATGAAGGGAAGACAATTGACCAACAGAATATTTCATGGATATGGAAAATGGCCAGGGTTTCCAACAATCAGGAGGAAGGACTACAGGATTGTAAGTCTTCAATTATAATATGTATACCTTGGTTAATATGCTGTAGTGCTATACATGGAATGGTGTAAGGCAAGGGCTTGAGCTCACCGGTGGGAGGAGGAAGTACTGCTTTTGCATGAGGAAATGCACCATGTTCTTGCTTTCTTTGAGTGGCAGGCTGGATGGTGGGATATGCAAGGCACACAATACCAATTTGTCTCACATGAATTCATGGAGGGGGCACTCGCATATGCACATCGCCAGGCTACACTATGTCATAGAATGTCTACACACTTCAGGTCATTGTAGGAAGCCATCCCATCATGGACTCCCACTAGTGTCACCATGCCTCTCACATATACACCATAGTACAAATATTTCAGCACATATATGATTTCATTCATGACAGAGGTGTATCATCTATGTCCTATGCTCACACTGCACAATGGTTTCAGGTACAACACCAGGCTGATATATCATGTAATGGAATGCTGGATAGACAGAACGCGAAAGTGATATATCAGCTACACAAGTACCATCACAAGCCTGTAGTAGACAGGCTGATATATCAGCCGCTAGAAAGACTGTCACAACAACACAAGTGATGTATCAGCCTGCAGGTAACAAGAAAAGCAAACAAAATAGACAGACCTAGTAATGTATCAGCCTGCAGGTCACAGGAAAAGCAGATAGACGCTAATGATATATCAGCCTGCAGGTAACAAGAAAAGCAAATGAAATAGACAGACCTAGTGATATATCAGCCTGCTGGTCACAGGAAAAGCAGACAGACGCTAATGATATATCAGCCTGCAGGTAATGAGAAAAGCAAACAAAATAGACAGACCTAGTGATATATCAGCCGCTGGAAAATGTTATAACAACACAAGAGTGATGTATCAGCCTGCAGGTCACAGGAAAAGCAGATAGACACTAATGATATATCAGCCTGCAGGTAACAAGAAAAGCAAATGAAATAGACAGACCTAGTGATATATCAGCCTGCTGGTCACAGGAAAAGCAGACAGACGCTAATGATATATCAGCCTGCAGGTAATGAGAAAAGCAAACAAAATAGATAGACCTAGTGATATATCAGCCTGCTGGTCATGAGAAAATCAACTAGAAAGACAGTGTTATAACAAAATGACAGTGATGTATCAGAGAAAAGCGGACAGACTCAGTCACGTGATATACAGGACACATTGATACATCTCTCACAAGTAGAACTTATACCAGTGTATAGGTGGGTGGTGTGATACATTACCATGTAAGGATGAAAGGTGTGGATGTATCACCTACCTTCTACAATTACAGTATATGATACATCATACTGCCAGGAAGTTTTCAAATTCCCATATTTTCTCATTGATGATTTTGTCACTTTTGTTAATGACGAGTAAGTTGCTACCAAGTTATTACTAGATGTCCACTAGAGTTCACGCATTTTTGGGGTAACATCTATTACTCCACAACACACAAACATAAAAATTTAATTCTTTGACAGTTCAATAGCCTGACATCAAAAGTACAACATCTGCTAGTTTTTCTTTTGAAAATCAACATGATGAGTCTGGCGGAGAGTTACCACGCAGAAAAGTGCATTTTCCCTAGAGTTCACGCACTTTGTCACACCATGTCACCCGTCTGCCACAATGCCTTTTCACACTCCAGTGTCCACAACCGTTCATATGTACTACTATCATTCTGGGTAATCTGCAACTTTTTCAGCAAATCTTTTGTAACTCGTCAACCACTTCATATTATCTTCCAATAATTTAGAGTGTTGTAGATTCGTACCACCTCTATATAGATCTTATTTTTGCTCATTTTTAGGATGTTGTGGTGTGGTGTTGGATGAAAGCCAAGAAAATTCAGGGTCTGACTGCTAATCTGCAAAATATGGTCACGTCGTGTCACACCTCAGCGCAGCACCGGCACCGTCAACTTTGACTCTCCGCAGCTCTCAATCTGTTGGCATTCAGTCGTCGAACTTGAGCTTGAAGCTTGAAGTTGAAGTTGTGCGAAGCTCTGAATATACTGAATACAGCAATACATTATTATTAAGTATCACGGTTCATGTAGTTATTGTGATTGTACTGGTGATATGGTCCTGAATAGAGTTGACAGCCTGCAACATCATACATCTGTGCCTCATCACCAACTCAAACATCTGCTCTACCAGCCGGTGCAAAGTGAGGAATAGGTGGAGGCTGATGCTGATGTGCGGAATGGTGCATGGGATAATATGGGGGTGCATACCTGGGTGGGGGAAGATCCATGTGCAACATCAAGGGTTGACTCAGAGGGATAGGCTGTGGTTGATAGCCACCACAGCAGTGAAGTTGGCTTCATGAGTCATGTCTTCTTTGGCTTTCTTCTGACGGGTAGTACGCCTGCAGTTTGGTGCCATTGTAACAAGGATGTGAGAATGATGCAAGAGGAGACGACACAACACAATGCAATGCAATGCAAGACTTGGTGTGGAGAGTGCAGATGCCGTGCACTGCCCGAGTGTGCCGTAGAGGAGATTGAATTTATTACACTCTCTCCTATCTGCTGTCACATTTTCATACATGTTGTCAATTCTTCCTCTATAGCATCTTAAAACAACAGGATGACCTTTATCAAAATTGTGTTCTGGAATCCTGACGAGGTGATTGTTATGCTCTAGGTATAACTTTGTGAACATATCTGTAGGATCTATGGGATCTGGATGATTTATGTTCCTGCATGGTCACAAATTACCACTATTTCATCTCTCACAGCTGCAACACTCAAGAAATTTTCATTCTACTTGGACAGTACATCATCTATAAGTAGTCTACATATGCCTGAATTTTTTTGAAGTGAGTCGAGCAGCGTGTTGAGGTGTTTTGAACATTTTGCATATTACATGCTAGTTGCAGATTACTGGGAATGATAGTAGTGTGTTGCAGGACTTCAATTTGGCATTGCGGAGTTTCAATTTACACGGTCTCGATGTAACACTTTGGATAGATTGTCACGTCTGAGGCATATTTCTTTTATTGCAGATGATCCTGACAAGCATGTGGCCCCAGAGAAATTTGTTTTAGTATTCTCTCATCGTGTATAACCATCATACCGCATTCCAGAATTTTATGTGGTAATCTGACCTTTAGAGCGAGCCTTCTATGCCAAAAACTAGCCTCCAGCACCAATAAGTTGGCCATGGAACGAGATCTACTTCGATTTTCTTCAAACAAAAATCATGGCACTGTGTATTATGTTGGGGAGGACCTAAATGCGACACATAAGGATTCCGTGCAGAATTGCGTGTGCTAGAGTCAATGCGCGAACTCTTGGGACACACGGACTGGTGGGACTATCTAGTACAAGTCATGGGTGGTCGACCGCTCCGGAGTATGAATTCTTTTTATAGACTCACTCCGAGACTGTTACACTTGAAGCCAACTTGTTCAACATACATCACAGCTATTACTCAGCTAGTGAAGTTGGGGACTTTAAAACACTAAGGTCTTCATTAACTGAAGGATTTAAGGTATTTCCATGCATGAAGCAGCTGCAGGAATCACAATTGACTTGAGTTCAAGTATCAGGTACTTCCGGCTCTGTCGCTCAGTGGATCGTGCATGTTACACGCACGGCGTACGTGTACTTGACAGTACTCTGCGTATCATAAAAGCAGACATCCATCTAACTTCCACCTCCCCAAAGTCGCATCATGTGGGTGGGCACACATTTCTGATTCTTGGCATCCTCGCAATTCATGTCCGATTCTAACAGCTTTGATCACCACATGGTTGATTGACTTTGTGTATCAGTAGTTGCGGCTGTGGCCACAAGCATCCAAGTAGGAAGCCTACACACGCTCTTTTCGGTCATAAGGTAAGAGAACAGCAATAACTTTCATTGGTAAATAGATAGGTATCATGGTACTTTTACTGACGAGTGCATAGCAGGCAACGCACTGACAAGAATAACGTTCAAAGTATGGCATTACTATCTCAGAGAGCACCTGCATCCTCACGCCATAATCCGTTCAAGCGTTGACATTGATAGGAGTGCAGCCAAGGTTGATGACACCATTCTGCAGAGGGTACGTTAGTTGAGATCTAAAGTCGTGGAACATTTGGCACTCACGTAGCTGTTGTCCTCGCAGCACAGTGGCTGCTGGTTGGCGACACAGCCACTTGAAGTGCCGACGACGGTGACGCCGGAGCATGTGAGACCCACAACAGCGCCAACCTTTGCAACAGCATCGACGATGCCGTACTCAGGGTACATCCACTGAGCCGTTGAATACTACAAGTTTTTTAATGAGAACTTCATTGCAGGTCTTGCAAAATTCAGAACTCACGCTGGTAGAGCTCTCGCAGCACTGAATGGTACCAGTGTCACACTGGCTGCTCTGAGCAACAGCAAAGAGGGCAAACGGAAGGAGAGCGAGAATGCTGGCGATCATTTTAGGTGATAAAAGCTGATTGAGAATGGTCTACTGAGCTCGGTGGGTGGAGATGATAGGATGCTTGAGAGGATACTGGTTCGTCTTTTTTGCCTTGCTTTTATGCATTCTCTGTTGATCAGGCTGTACGGTTACGAAACATTCAAAGGTGAAAATTTTCAATCCAGGCTTCGGATTCTGATCAACAGATCTGTAGTCCCATGTCACTTGGTATTACTCAGTGAGTCAGCAGTACGTTGTCCATCTTCGGCGATAGCATTCAATCCTCGTAGGAGGCTAATTACGCTGCTCTGCCGTACATCCTGCCAGATGATGGGCCAGAACGGCCTGCGATCGCACGCAGAGTCTACAAGTAGCCTATTGGACGCTCGCTCTCGTCACACTCAAAATTAAAATGATTCTTCGGATCGGCATTTGTAGTCACAAGTACTGGTGCCCGAAACAAATTCCTGATATTATTGGGAACTGGACAACACCGTCATCTCCGGAAGTTGCGATTGCAACGGAGGGAGCAGATCACATGTGTGATAACATTTTTGCTGCGTCCGTCTTGATTGAAGGCTAAGTACATCTCCAGAGTATCAGTGGACATGACAGCCTCTTTAATTTCGTGCCATAAAGGGACCGATTGGCGGGCGTCAGCGCTAATCATGCCAGTGCACAACAAAAGTTTGTCGTTGACCGTAGCGTCGATCTAGTGCCGATCAGTCGTCGGCAGCAGCATCCCTGTCCACCTTGAAGGCTGCGGGGTACGATGCCGTGGGAGACATCGCATGTTTTGCCGAATTTTTTACTGGAACATGCTAGACAAGATGAAACACCCGACCATCCCTCGCTGTGTGGAACGCGCAGGTAATGTAGCTCACTGTTGTAGAATTCTGTCGCCCTGCCCACCATTCCTATCCTAGCCGCTCTCTACTGTGTCCTCTTCGTATCATAATCAGTATATTTCAATAGACCTGCTCGTCTTGTCTTTGTCTTTCCATCGGGTCGTGTCTTCCTGTGCCTTTCTCCCCTCCGCGGTCACCGGCTAGTTCTGCAGACGCGGCAGATCCGATCATCATCTGGCCGCTCTGTCGCCCCGCTCTGTTTTTACACAACAAATACAACCAAGTAATTTTTAGCGGTGGTGTCTGTGGAAAGAAAGTTCTTTTTTTCTAGCTGGGGGAAACCGCAGTGATGTACAACATGATATCGCGGCAGATATTTCTGATACATGTTTGTTTATAGCAGACACAATGTTTCCTTCATCATCACGGTAATCTGTCGGTTTTCTAGTCCGATGTGCGAGCAAGTCACTGGAGATTGGCCACTCATAAATGAATACTTTGAGTGTTCCGAACTGGCCAGGTTGGTCCACTTTCGAGGATTAATACGTCCTGAGCATGTTCGATCGTGCGCCGCGGAACGATCGCAAACATTCCGGACGTACAACGTTATTCATGAAACTCTGGCTCTTCCTTGAAGCCAAATGTCCGTGGTATCTTCACTCCCTAGCGGTGAACGTGTTATAACACCTGATAGTGCGCATCGACAATCGACGCCATGTTTCGAAGCATTGCGATGTATCAAAACCCAGGGGTGAGATGCCTCGATAGGGTCGATGGCTTACGAGTCAAATATTTGGTTTGAAGCCATCGATGTTAGCCGGTGAACGCACGATGTCACGGAGTTCCGGATGAAAGTTGCCACTGTTGTCAGCAGAAGAAAAACGGGAATATCGAGAAGACCTTACTTTCGTTATTCGGAGTAGGTCTTTAGCAACCCGCACTATCTTCAAGGTGTCAACAAGGATCGTCGGGATCTAGAGCTCTCCCATGATTCACAAAAGAGGTGAAAGAGTACATCCCAGACAATTCATCCAGGACGGAGAGCCAGTTCAATATCTGGCAGCCCGAAACAACGCCATTCTCAACGTCCGCGCTCTTTTTTGCATGCAACCATACGACGCCTTCACGAGGTCTGCTCGACGTTACGCTCAGCGTCTGCTTATGCCGTCCTGTAGCCTCAACACCATGACTAGGAGACTCACCAGGGCCTCGAAGAAAGATTGTATCATCTCGTCCTGATATATGATTGAGGGCCAGGCTGTGCTTGATAGCTCGTTATGACGATGGTTACATAGGGTGAATGTCCCGATTATACGTAGAAGTACGAGTAAAATTTCCATTTGAGAATAATCATAAGGAACAAATGTAAAAACGCACGTTCAATCATCGCCACCAAAAGTCGACAGCGACAAACCTTCCGTATCGCAGAGTCCATAGTAAAGGATAAACGACGTTGTCACGACCATTCGGTTGATACTATTACCAAGTAAGAAAGTGGGGATCGACGAGCTGTCTGCTAGTCTTCATCTTATCCTCAGTCAAGCGGTCTCTCTTGTAATGAGCACAAAACAGATTGAGACGATGGCATGATAGTGTAATACCTGTTCGGCATGCTCGCGTAAGTGGCAAGAGGACATCGGGTAGAGATCCAGCTTCCCAGAGCACTGGCAACCTAGAATTGTATAACCAAATCGAGCGCTTCCATAACATATCGCAGACAAGGAAGTATGCATTGTGCAATGCAGCAGGAATGGTGGGTATGGCTGTGATCAATCAGGCGAAGATCTCCACAGACTCGGAGATCCGAGTCCACCGAGTCGAGGCTGCCACTGGTTGTGAATAATTTGTATCTGTGTTAGTGCTCACCAGAACGGCAGGACCTACAGCATGGGACGTCAAAATGCAAGGTCAACGTTAGGATAGGCTGTCGCCATAAGTAATGCAATGATAAACTTTGCAATGTAGGGTGAACAAAGCTCAGGGTACTTACAAAGTAGAAGGCAAGAACCGGTTCGCTTAAGCGGGCCGATCAGGCCGCAGCCAGTGAAGTCACGAAGAACTTAGAAGGTCCAAGAGCAGAAACCAAGGTTGGTATCAATGACCACGAGTCTATAAGAGACACGAACGTGCACAAAAACATTGGAGGATACTACTAAGTGTTACGACTAACCTCGCGGGAACTTACGGTGGTAGTAAAGTTAATACCTATTGTCTCCCGTTGTCAGACCTTGAGGAAGGAAGACTAGTCTCGATGGCCCCGCGACTACGGACACTTACCCGGCGTACACTTACCCTCCTGACTTTTTCTACCGCAACAGCAGCAGGCGCTGGATATTTCTACCTCAACTCCGGTCCTGCCTATCCCCAAACAACACACGAGTCTCGACGTCCACCACCACCATGGTCTCCTCCTTCCCGCACAGCAATGATCAACGCCCTAAAGCGCAGTGCTGATCCAAAACAGGGCGAAGAGGACACCCAGTTTGATATATTGGTCGTAGGAGGAGGCGCCACTGGTGCCGGCGTTGCTGTCGATGCTGCAAGTCGTGGGCTACGAGTAGCCTTGGTCGAGAGGGAAGATTTTGCCAGTGGTCAGTCTATTCACTTCCTTCCATTAAACCTTACTACATACGTCTGTTAACAGGTACGTCCTCCAAGTCCACAAAACTTGTCCATGGCGGAGTGCGCTATCTCCAAAAAGCCGTCTTCGAGCTTGACTACGAACAGTACAAACTCGTTCGCGAGGCTCTGCGCGAACGGAAGGTCTTCCTACAGACTGCACCTTATTTGAGCCATATGCTCCCTATCATGCTGCCTATTTATAAGTGCGTCATTGTTCCGTTCGCAACCCAGATCCAATTTCCCCATCTATTCTCCCCTCCAGTGGTCACGTCACTGACGTATATTCAGGTACTGGCAAGTCCCATACTACTGGTCCGGATGCAAACTTTACGACCTCCTCGCGGGTAAGGAGAACATGGAATCATCCTACCTCATGTCCAAGGGCAAGGCACTCGAACAGTTCCCCATGCTCAAAAGCGACGGACTCGTCGGTGCCGTAGTCTACTACGATGGTATGTCCCAATCTAATCCATTCTACCCTCATCCTTACCCCCCTCAGGCCAACACAACGACTCCCGCATGAACATTGCCCTCATCCTCACAGCCATCAAAGCAGGTGCAACCGCCGCCAACTACTGTGGCGTCACCTCCCTCCACAAAGACCCTACCACAGGCCTCATCACAGGTGCCCGCGTAAAGGACCACATCGCAGGAGGTGAATTCGACGTTAAAGCCAAGGTGTGTTCTCCTATTCCACCCCGAATCACAACTCACACTCCCACTAGGTCATCATCAACGCCACGGGCCCATACACCGACTCCCTTCTCTCCCTCTCCACACCCACACATAAACCCATCGTGCGCGCTAGCTCAGGCGTGCACATAGCCCTCCCCTCCTACTACGCCCCCAAAGGCATGGGTCTCCTCGACCCCGCAACAAGTGACGGCCGCGTCGTCTTCTTCCTCCCATGGGAAGGCGGTGTCATCGCAGGCACTACAGACGAGCCATATGACATGCGCGCGCATATCAAACCCCAGGATGAAAAAGACGCGTATTTGAGCGGAGACCATATTCTCCCGCGCGAACATGAGATCCAGTGGGTCATAGACGAGGTGCGTGGGTATCTCAGTGGAGATATCAAGGTGCGGCGCGGGGATGTGCTTTCTGCGTGGTCGGGACTGCGGCCGCTTATCTCATCGGGTGCGGCGGGCGGTACGGAGGCGTTGGTGAGGAGCCACGTGGTCAAGGTGGATGAGGGTGGTATGGTGACCATTGCGGGTGGGAAGTGGACGACCTATCGGGCGATGGCAGAAGAGGCAGTTGATAAAGCGATAGAGGTGGGTTCTGGGTTGAGGGAGAAGGCTGGGAGGTGCCAGACGGAAGAGCTAAGACTTGTAGGAAGCGAAGGCTGGGATCGCAACATGTTTATCGGGCTGATTCAACGTGTGAGTATCAGTATTTTCCCCTCCAATACATTCCGCTTTGCTCTTACTCTTCCTGATGCACCCCGCAGTACGGCCTCGACCCAGAAGTCGCACAACACCTCTCTTCATCCTACGGCTCACAAGCATGGACGCTCCTATCATCCGCGTCTCAAACGCCTGATCCACACCGCCCTCTCTCCATACCATATCCCTTCACGCACTCCGAAATCACATACGCACTCACCCACGAATATGCACAAAAGCCACTCGACGTGCTCCTGCGGCGCACACGTCTAGGCTTCGTCGACGCACGTGCAGCACTCAGCGCCCTACCAGAAGTCATACACGTCATGGGCGACACGCTCGGGTGGGATACCAGGCACAGAGCGGAAGAAGCGAGGAGAGCGGAGGAAGTGCTGCGCGGGATGGGTGCAGGCGGACGAGTGGAAGCGGGTACAGCTTTATCAGGAGAGTCAGGAGAGGGCTGGTTGCGCATGGGAGAGGTGCAGCGGCGCGTGTGTGCGCTATTTGGATGTTCTGCGGCTTCAAGTTTGCGCCAGGTTGTTACTGTGACCTATCCGCGTGCGTTGTTTGAGCCGGGGGAGATTGAGGCGCTGCGGGAGGTGTTTGGGCAGCATGCGTTGGTGCCTGGTAATTCAATTTCTGGCTCTGGCTCTGGCTCTGGTATCGGGACGCAGGAGCAGGAGTTGAAGATGCCTGTGTCAAGGATACAAGAAGCCTTGCATTCTATTGCGGGGCTTGGGTATGCTTACGACAGTATACGGGAGTCGGATTTACGATATGTCCTAAGGGAGGCGGGGCTTTCCGACGTACCTGAGGGGAAGGGGAGGAGGGGTGTGGTGGATTTTGAGGAATTTGTCGAGGTTCGTTCTTGTTCCATCTCCCACTTCCATTCCATCTCTCGTTTCATCCATCGTTTCATCTCCCATCTCATCTCCATCCCTCACCTACCCTCATCACGCTGTTCGTGCTCATACTCATATAAACATTAACCTCACAGATCTGTGGAGATTTGAAAGACGTATCCATCGCACCTGCTGTGAGTAAGAAGGGCGTGCAGAGGAGGAGGATACCTGTTGAGAAGAGCGGTGGTGGTGTTTGAGGTTTGATGTTAGCCTTGCGTCTGGGCTCTTTGCCATAGAGCATTCAATAGGTTTTACAACTTTACATGTACAGTATTAAGTTCTACAGCTATTCGCGGAAGTGGAGAGCTTGTGTGGTAGATCCCCGACCTCCACGTTAGTGGGGGAGGAGGAGTACGTCTAATTTCCTCTACTTTCCTCTGCAACCCACTTTAATTAATTACATGATCGAACCCCATTCACACCATGTTTAGATGTTTTAAAGTGAAGGTTGCATATCCCTCTTGGGTCAGAATCCGGACAAAATCTGCCAAAATCTATCCGCACAAGTTTGGGCCTCCGCCAACCTGGGTTCCACAAGTATTATCAGGGGTCCTGCAGAGATATGGTAAAAGTAGTGGTGGCAGTGCCCGCTGGCAGTGTGATGCTTATATAAGCTATCCACACTACAGTACCGGCATCACTTTTTCGACACCTTCGTACCAGCTTTTTTTTTATATCAACGAACTATCGGATACTTCCCAAAAGCCAAATAACTTAAAAATATATGTAATCTGATTTTTTTGAAATTAAGCGCCCATGTTTCAATTTGTGAATCGATTTTTTATTTTATTCCGCTTGTCAGTCTGTTCAGATTTGCCTGGGCTTTCTCTACAGTTATATCTCGCCAAAAAAGCATCCGAACGAGCCAAAGCAAAGCAACAGGCGGGCCAGTTGACATCTGTATACATACGAAGGGTATCTCCGAGGATGTTGTATTGGACAGGGGCATCAAAAATAATTGCATTGATGGAGGCTTAGACACCTCACAGAGCTTGTATATACACTTCTAAACATTGTTTACACTTACCCGAAGGCCCCTACAGGCCTCCACCAGCGCTAAAAGGAGGCATGCTTCATTTTTTGATGATGAAATTTTCGAACTTCAGATTTTGGTCTAACTGTTTAACGGGTAATATGATCATCAATACATGAAACTGAGTCTATTCCACTGCTCTATTGAAAACGATGGAATTTTGAAGTTGCGGTAGCAAATATATGTTGAGTATGTTTGACATGCCGAAAAAGGTATTCGAGCACTGTAGGATCGACATGTCCTCGATTCAAGGATTACGGAGATTGTCGTTTGGGATGTCCCGACGTCCGATGGACGTGCAGATCTCTGACGAGCAACGCGAAGCCAAGGCCGTCAACCGGAGATTCATTCCTGCCCCAAGACCCCATCGTGCCGCACATCTCCCTTTGAGTTCGAGTCAGCGGAGATTGCCATGCATTTTGGCTCAACTGTTTTCGCCTGAAGTACTAAGGCATCTAAAGCGAGCAACGCCTTTTAAAACACCTGCCTGCTACTTTGGCTTTGCCTCATTCCCTTGTACAAATTCCATCATGTTTACTGCCCACTCCATCATGTTTGCGCTGCTCAGCTTCCTCGCTGGCGCCAATGCGTGTAGTCAAGTGCCCAGCCACATTCAAGGACAACGGCATTACCTTTAAAGTGATCGCTACCAGCCCAGAGAGCGGGGGCACAAATTGCATGTGCGTTGCACCCACACATCTTCGTTGAACAAAGTAACTGAGAGGCCAGCAGATACAGCGCTGGGACTGCAGACAGCGTAACAACCTGTTTCTATTCCACCGTAAGTGCTTTCTGGATGTTGTGTAGCTCGTTGTTCTCGGTTAACATGCTAGCGATGGCATCAAAAGACCGGCCGGTCGGAAGGGGGGATTCCGTCTTGTCCGCGCCAAGCAGCCGTATTGAAGGGTCACTGCCCAAAGTGATGTGAAAAGGTGGGGGAGACGAAGCAACCGACAGGGGGAGCGATGTTTGTCTGCAGACATCCGGGTGTACGCCAGTGCTTAGACAACATCTATTATAAGAATCTCCAAACAGTCTAGTCTTGCCTCGGCCAGTTGCATCATCCCTATTAGAATCATCCTGCAAATCAGCCTATCAATGCCATGGTAATCAACCAACCTCATCAGGATTGTCTGTTCTCTCCGCGCCCGGTTCCTCCTGCAATCCAAGCTCCGGACTCAGAGCGCTCGTCCCAGATCATGCACGCAGCCGAGCAGTCTGGCAGAGCTACATCTGTGAGGGGCCTCTCTTTATGTTCACAATTTGAAGTTTTCCCTAGCTTAAGTGAGCACTCTCATTGGTGGAGAGGACTAGAAGTTCGAGACTATACCAAACAGGGATCGTTCAACGATAGTTTTTCGACGGGTCCAACTTGTAGACCCTCCCGTGTAAACTTAGACTAGCTAGAGATAGTTTGTCTGATGTGTCATAATTAGACGAATTAGAAGGCTAGCACTGAGCGCTGAGCAGGACTGTAATTTAAGGAAGTTGGAACAGTCATAGTACTATCGGATACCACAACTTCGGACAACCACTTGTTCGGATAGTCACACAATGTAACAGAGTACTCGGTTCTCTTCCTCTCGTCACTCACTTACTAACATCACTCGCGGAAATTTCGCCGGGTCTAAATGCAACATCACATAATCAAGACGCCAGGACTCCGGCGCTGCCGACTACGGACATTGAGCAGACCATCTTGAGAGCAGACGTTCAATCTTTTGAGTACTTGGCTGCTGAGGGGATCTCCTATCACCGGTTGGACAGGGTCACAATGACTGAAAGTGTGCGGTTATCCCAGGAAGTGTTTTGGATACAGCAATGAAGGAAGTGAGCGTCTCAGTGACCAGACACTCACTATAACTTTTGTATTTCATTCCTCACCACGAGCCATTCAAATTCATCTTCAAAAAAAAATCAGCTATTAGCTTTGGTACATATTTATCATGATACTGGTCAATAATGGTCTCCCCTAGCTAGCCCTTACATAGAGGAAGGAATATTAAGTCGCACGATGATGATACATCGGACGCGGGTATCGAAAAACATATACGAAATAATCGCATTGATGACGCGTTTTCACAATTTGGCCTTCGCCTTTACCTCCCTTTCATAATCCTCCACCAACACCCGCCTCAACACCTTCCCAGTCGGCAACTTCGGAATCTGTCCAAGAGCTCAATCAACCCACCCATTTAAAATCAAATGAGATGAGAAAGAAACCTACCGTCTCCACAATCTTAATGCCCCCCCTCAACCACTTATAGCGACTTAGCCGCTCCTGCACCCACGTATCAAGCTGTGCCACGACTTCTTTTTTGCCCAGCGCCATGCCTGCCGGGGATAGCACGATCCATGCATGCGGGATACGTTCGTCTGAGGTACGCCCGCCCGAAACGCCCGCGACGGACACGTCAGTGATGAGGTTGTCCGGCTGTGCCAGGATCGTGTTCTCGATTTCGGCCGGGGAGACTTGCATTCCTGAAATTTTGAGCGTGTCCTGCGAGGATGAGGTAAGTACAACACGAAATGAGTAATATATGTGAGTGGTGCAAGCTTGCCTTGGTGCGGTCTTCGAAGCTACAACAGGGGTAGATCAGCTTGATATAATTTACCGTACACGTCAGACCAACTTACAAAAGCACTCCGTCCTCATCGATCCGTAACTGGTCACCTGTGCGCAACCACCCATCGACAAACGTTTCCCGTGTCGCCTTGTCATTTCCCCTGTATCCCAGCGCCGTAGCGCCTCCGCGGACGAGGAGCTCACCAGGCTCGTTCGGACCTGCAAGGGATCCGTCGGGACGGATAATGCAAGCTTCCACGCCAGGAACCAGAATTCCAACAGAGCCCGGCTTGTTCTTGGCGCGTCCGTTGAGCAGGCCAGGGATGGGCTTCGTGGCGATGGTCATTGTCTATCTCAAACGACGAGGTCAGAGGTCGGAAAGAGTGTAGAAAGGGGATCCCTTACGAATTCGGACATGCCATAGCCTACAAGACTTAACAGTAGTACCAGATATCCACGCACTATGTATAGAGAACGCACCTTCGGAAACTCTGTCTACGTCTTGGAAACGTGCGCAAAGCTGGTCGGCAAGCTGGGACGGGAGATACGCGGCGCCGCTGGCGACTGCCTTAACCGAGCTCATATCAGTGGTTTTGAACCGCGGATGGTGGACGATCTGGTGTATAAGTGAGGGGACGAGAAATATGGTCGTGATGTGGTATCTACATCGCGGGTCAAGCATCAGTACGAGTACTTAGCGCTATACCATGCATATACTCAATGCACTGGGTATGTACTTACTTCGGGACGCTGTCGAAGAATGAATCGATGTTCCACTTCGGCAGCATGACGATCGTGAAAGGTTTAAGGAAGTTGAAGAAAGCGGTCGTGCAGAGGCCAAGAGAGTGATAGACCGGAAGGATATTGAACGTTACTTCGAGCCCATTAGGGGTGTTCCATACTGGTGGCTGGTGAAGGATTTAGGAAGACTAAGAAAGGAGGATCGGACTGACATACGGCTCGAACTTTAGCTGTTTCCATACCGGCTACCATCGCTCCTAGGGTGGCACAGGCGATATTTCGGTGGGATATCATGATGGCTGTGCAATGAAGTCAGAAAACGTTGCGTAGGCGGTGTGTTCATGTCTCTGCGGTTCGGGACGTTGGACCAGTAAAAGAGATACGTGCCTTTTGGAGGACCACTTGTCCCACTGGAATAGATCAGGTATGCCAGAGTGTCCTTGGTTGCATGACGGACTGGCAGTCGTGGAATGTTATCCTTACGAGCAGAGGAGACGAGCTGATCGTAGCTTATGTAACCGTTGTTCTCCCCTTCTAGAAGGTAAATTCGATCAGCTGGGAGACCCGAAGTCAAAGCGAGCGGCAACAGAGAAGGACTAGTAAAAATCCTAGTCGGGTGCGCTAGCGCATTCGCGTGTTTGAACTCATACGGCGTTGAGTAGGATGAGAACAGCGCAAATGGGACTGTGATAACGAGTAATGAATGCATCAGGGCGACATAGTCCTGAGGAATGCACCATGTCACTTTACAGTCTCAACAAAAAGACGGAAACGCAACGTACTGGGCAATTCTCGCTCAGGATACCTACAAGTTCTCCATTCTCTGGGCGAAGACCTAGACCACCCTGCGCCACATCGGCACCCAGTGAGGTAGCGCCATCGCGGACACGCTCGACGAACTCCCTGAACGAACGCCGCTGGCCAGTAGCTACATTCACGAACAAGGTGTAGTCTGGCCACTCCTTCTGGTCAGGTCGATTGAAGAGCAGGTGGTGAACATTTGATTCGGGGACCTTTGGCAGGTCAGGGAAGAGTGACTTATAGTACATGCTTGACCCCCGATCGGGCCCCCAGGAATCAGGAATCAGCATTGCGTTGGCTGAGGATATGGATTCTGCAACGTCCTGTAATCGACGCACTTTTATATGATGGGACGTAACCGGACTTGTACGATTGTGGTTGGTGCCATTCGACTGTATTACTCAGGGCGGACCATGTAGCGGAACATTAATCGCTTTCCTTAACTAATAGCGGTAGTTTCAAGTGGGGAGGCAGCGATTCAAGGCACAGTCAATCAGTTAGTACTTACGTTATCTAATGGGGGGCGCATGACAGCGGAACGCATACCCACGTCACCTGTTCGCGACCTTGACTTGGTCCCCAAGTTGGACGCCATTATCTCCTGAGTTGATAGTAATACACTAGGGGTCGAGCGCTGCCCCTTGTGAAGCGAGATCTTGGTGCGAACTTTCCAAGGCATTCAAGCGTTTGCCTGCAGGGTTCAACAGAGGGTTGTTCGCACCCACCGATATTTAAGGTTTCATGCTACACGTGACCAAGATAACATGGATCAATATATATAAACCTTATTAACCCGATGAGTATTGCCAAGATTTGTAGAGTTTACGGGGTCCAGCCTTTACTAAAACACGTCATCGCAATCGTACTATCCCTTCCGGTGCAATTGGCACCCCACGGAAGTCTGCAGTCACGCTTTTTTGCAGGGTTTCGTGTGACGGAATGTGACTAACGGTGACCAATTGTAACGAATGTATCACGTTTTCGCGCTAAAATGTGTGACCTGCCGACTTCTGTGGGGTGCCGATTGTAGCGGAAGGGATAGTATAGTTTCCGCTAGATAGGGAGCCGATCTATTTCGGAATGGTAACAGGTAACACATCACCCGCTCTGATTTCATGATTTCATACAAACTTATGGACTTCAAGTCGGGACCTGCCAACTGCGTCCGAGTCGGCAGAAACCTTGCTTGCAGTATTTATAATTGTGTTTCAAAATGCTCAATACTCGTTCTGTTTTATCGCTCACACTCAAACGTGTTTCAGCAGCTGGTCGCGTTGTCACGTATGAGTTAGTGGACATGTCGTTATAAGGTATGAACCTCACGTGATATGCGTTACAGCAGGGTGGAGCATCCCTTGGCAGACACAAAACAATGTTAACGAGAATGAACCGTTGTGATTTGTTTGTTCCCGATGACGGAATCGGCTGTGATACACGCCCACAACGTATATGCGGTAATTCTGGTCCCGTTTCAGGTTCAGGTTATGGGGGCGCAGGAGCAGGAGTGATTAATCGAGGATGTCTGTATTGAGGAATCAGGATACGAGAAAGCCATGCGCTCTGTTGCGGGGCTTGGGTATGCCTATGTCAGGTTGTGGGTGTCGGATCTCCGGTATGTATAGTACGGGAGGCCAGGCTTTGCGATTTTGCCTGAGGGGAGGGGGAGATATGCGGTAGAGTATCTGAAGGAATTCATCGAGGTTCGTTCTTGTTCCACCTCCCATTTTGTAGATCTGTGGAGATTGAAAGATGCGTCGATCGCGCCTACTGTGAGCAAGAAGGGCGTGCAGGGAAGGAAGATACTTGTTAAGCATAGCGGTGGGTGTGATGGTAGCGTACGTCTGGACTCTTTGTGATACTAATTGAACATTTACTACGTTTTACAGCTTTACAGAAGTAGAGAGCTTCTGAAGGCTTCTGAAGTGGATGCAATAATGGACGAAGACTTCGTCTGCATCCCTACGTTTGCCTCAGGGGCTCTCATTTTTTTGCTGTGCCCTCGGGAGACAATACAGAATGGATGCAGAAATGACCAGTGGTTGAATGGTGTGCTTATTTTTATTCGCCGGGTCATTCAATACCATGAAATCAGGATACTATATTCAAATTTCTCCGAATTTGCTTGTGCACCATGAAATAAATCACTTTTCAATAAAGATTCACGACAATCGGAGCAGCAGTCGTCGGCGAACAATTTTTCGAAAACATCAAATCCACATGGTTGAAAATGTCGCGTTGCGGTTGTGCCAACAGCAATAAAGTAAGTGATCAGACAAGCATTCACTCCAAGTTTTATTTCTATCGCATTCCGAGTTCTCAAGAACCAAGAGCCACGAGCCAATTCATTCATACTATCAGCGAGTGACTGTTTACCAATTTAACAATTACAATCATTAACTATGGTAGATGACATGATACTAGACAGCAAGTCGCACATGATAATACATCGGGTGAGGGTATATATACGATATACATGCATTCATATCAGTTACCACCTAGCAATATCGTTCCACCAAACGAAAAAAAAAATGTATTCATGACGCGTCGTCACAGGTTTCCTGTTGCATTCGTCTTCACAGTTTCGCCTGAGCCTGAGCCTTCACCCCCTGTTCATGCTCCTCCACCAACACCCGCCTCAACACCTTCCCAGTGGGCGTCTTCGGAATCTACCCAAAAGCTCATTCAACCTATCCCCCAAGATGAAATGAGATGAGAAAGAAACCTACCGTCTCCACAATCTTGATGCCCCCCCTCAACCACTTATACCGACTCAGCCGCCCTTGCACCCATGTATGGAGCCGTGCTATGACCTCTTTCTTACCCAGCGCTACGCCCGCCGGGGATAACACGATCCATGCACGCGGGATACGTTCGTCTGAGGTACGCCCGCCCGAAACGCCCGCGACGGTCACGTCAGTAATGAGCTTGTCCGGCTGCGCCCGGATCGCGTTCTCGATTTCGGCGGGAGAAACTTGCATCCCTGATATTTTGAGCGTGTCCTGCAAGAAAACGTAAATACAGCATAAGGTGGGTGGTGCGGTCTTGCCTTGGTGCGGTCTTCGAAACTACAATAGGGGCAGATCAACTTAGCATGACTAGTGGCATACCGTGCTCATTAGACCAACTTACAAAAGCACCCCATCCTCATCGATCCGTATCTGGTCACCCGTGCGCACCCACCCATCGACAAACGTTTCCCGTGTCGCCTTGTCATTTCCCCTGTATCCCAGCGCCGTAGCGCCTCCGCGGACGAGGAGCTCACCAGGCTCGTTCGGACCTGCAAGGGATCCATCGGGACGGACAATGCAAGCTTCCACGCCGGGGACCAGAATTCCAACAGAGCCCGGCTTGTTCTTGGCGCGTCCGTTGAGCAAGCCAGGGGTAGGCTTCATGGCGATGGTCATTGTCTATCTCAAACGACGAGGTCAGAGGTCGGAAAGAGTGTAGAAAGGGGATCCCTTACGAATTCGGACATGCCATAGCCTACAAGACTTAAACAGTAGCACCAGAGATCCACGCACGATGTATAGAGAACGCACCTTCGGTGACTCTGTCTACGTCTTGGAAATGTGCGCAAAGCTGGTCGGCAAGCTGGGACGGGAGATACGCGGCGCCGCTGGCGACTGCCTTAACCGAGCTCATATCAGTGGTTTTGAACCGCGGATGGTGGACGATCTGGTGTATGAGTGAGGGGACGAGAAATATGGTCGTGATGTGGTATCTACATCGCGGGTCAAGCATCAGTACGAGTACTTAGCGCTATACCATGCATATACTCAATGCACTGGGTATGTACTTACTTCGGGACGCTGTCGAAGAATGAATCGATGTTCCACTTCGGCAGCATGACGATCGTGGAAGGTTTGAGGAAGTTGAAGAAAGCGGTCGTGCAGAGGCCAAGAGAGTGATAGACCGGAAGGATATTGAACGTTACCTCGAGCCCGTTAGGGGTGTTCCATACTGGTGGCTGGTGAAGGATTTAGGAAGACCAAGAAAGGAGGATCGGACTGACATACAGCTCGAACTTTAGCCGTTTCCATACCGCCTACCATTGCTCCTAGGGTGGCACAAGTGATATTTTGGTGGGATATCATGATGGCTGTACAATGGAGTCAGAAAACGTTGCGTGCGGTGCGTCCATGTTTCTGCGGTTCAGGACGTGTGACCATAAAAAGATACATGCCTTTGGGAGGACCGCTTGTTCCACTGGAATAGATCAGGTAGGCCAGAGTGTCCTTGGTTGCATGACGGACTGGAACCCGTGGGATATTATTCTTGCGGACAGAGGAGACGAGCTGATCGTAGCTTGTGTGGCCTTTATTGTCCCCCTCTAGGAGGTAAATTCGATCAGCTGGGAGTCCCGCAGTCAAAGCGAGTGGTAGTAACGAGGGACTGGCAAAAATTCTAGTCGCCCGCGCCAGCGAATTGGCGTGTTTAAGCTCATACGATGTTGAGTAGGATGAGAACAGTGCAAAGGGGACTGTGATAACTAGTAGCGAATGCATTAGGGCGATATAGTCCTGAGGAATATACCATGTCACTTTACAGTCTCAACTGAAAAATGGTAATGCATCATGCAACGCACTGGGCAGTTCTCGCTCAGAATGCCTACAAACTCCCCATCCTCTGGACGAAGACCTAGACCACCGTGTGCCACATCAGCACCAAGTGCAGTAGCGCCATCGCGGACACGCTCTACAAACTCCCTGAACGAACAGCGCCGACCAGTAGCCACATTCACGAACAAAGTGTAATCTGGCCACTCCTTCTGGTCAGGCCGACTGAAGAGCAGATGGTGAACATTTGATTCGGGGACCTTTGGCAGGTCAGGGAAGAGTGACTTGTAGTGCATGCCTGACCCCTGACGAGGGCCCGAAACTTCAGGGATCAGCATTGCGTTGGCTGAAGATACGAATTCTGCAACGTCCTGTGATTGACACACTTTTATACGATTGACGTACGGGCTTTTATATGATGCGATATAGCCGGACTCATAGATCAGTGACCACTACTTAGCCCCCCTAGTTGGGTCATAATAGAAGGAAGACAGTCTGATACCTTCTTGAGTATGTGAATACGTACCTGTAACATGACCACCCGGGTTCAAACACCATCACGCCGGAACTCAATATTCAACTGTCAGAGATTGTCAGCTGTTTCATGAGGCAGGACGGACCATGTATTTTTGAAGCCTTTTAACTAATAACAGGAGTGTCAAGTGGAGCGGCAAGGCTGCCAAGGCAATTGCGTTATTGTAATGAAGAACCTGCATACCCCACAGTACCCGTTCCTGACAAGGTGCGACACCCCGGCTTGAATGCAGGGTAGTACTAGTTACTTTGGCACGTTCCCAAGGTGATGGTGCCACGTCCCATTGATCCTCGACCCGCAGGAGCTACGAGAAACACACGAAGCATAGTTTTGACTTACCTACATATTCTCATCTCCGACTTCCTTCTATTCGGTCTTCCTAGGAGAAACTATCTGGATATCTGACCAATGAGATGGCGAGGTTTTTACTACATAATGAAGCTGTGACACCTGATACCTTCAGTTAGCAGTAGCGTAATCGGCCAAACAACTCAGTCTACATACCGTTTACCGGAAGAAATCACATTCCCCCGGATCAAGCGAAGGTTTGAACTGCTACTTGTCTTAGCAGTGACACGTGGTCGATACAGAGTTGCTCCACATGAGCACCCTGGGAGGATTTCCTTTCTGGAGATTCAACCCGTTGAGATATGTAGAGGGTATGAAGTTTCGTGATAGATCAGGTCTTGGAAAATTCGTCTAAGCGCCTCCGTTTCTTATACTATGGACAAATAAAAGGGACGACCCTGTTCGGTCACTAAAACTCTCAGAAAGGCAACCATGTGTACACCCTCATGTACAGGTAGGCCACAGCGATGCCTGTCCCCACTACCATGTTCTTGACCGTGGTCTCTTACAATTGGTGGTCTCAGTTCAAAAAACGAAGTCGGCAACTGTGATTCTCGACACTGCAATGTTTCTGAAAGTTGGGCTTAGCTGCCTGATCATAGTTGTGGGACCCGAAGCAGTTCGATGCCTCGATCGTGTCACTGGCGCTATCGTCCTCGAGCTCGTTCGTGCACACTACAAGGTGACCCGCTGTTGTTTAGTAACCTCTGAGTTGAGAATTTCCGAGCATAAGCTGGGTGCTGTACTTTCGAAGTAAGTGGTGCAAGGTGCGCCTCTGTTTGGTACCGCTCCAAGGTCCGCTCAAGCGAAAAATCTGAATCCTGGTCTATCGATTTGAAGATAGCTGTCATAATTTCGCCTTCGCCTTCACCTCCCTTTCATACTGCTCTACCAACAGCCGCCTCAGCACCTTCCCAGTCGGCGACTTCGGAATCTACCCAAGAGCACAATCAACCACTCCCAAAATGAACCAAAAAGACACAAAAACCTACCATCTCCACACTACCAATCCCTCCCCTTAACCACTTATATCGACTCAACCGCTCCCGTACCCACGCATCGAGCTGCGCTACGACCTCTTTCTCACCCAAGGCAGCGCCTGCCGGAGAGAGCACAACCCACGCACGCGGGATGCGTTCGTCCGAGGTACGCCCGCCTGAAACGCCCGCGACGGTTGCGTCAGTGATGAGTTTTTTCGGGTGTGCCAGGAGAGTGTCTTCGATTTCGACAGGGGAAACCTGCATGCCCGAGATTTTGAGCGTGTCCTGTGACGGGTCAGTATAGCACTATGTATACTGTGCAAGCTTGCCTTGGTACGGTCCTCAAAGCTACAAAAGGTGCAGATCAGCTTCGTATGGTGATGGGCGTGCCGTACTCATCAGACCAACTTACAAAAGCACCCCATCCTCATCGATGCGCATTTGGTCGCCCGTATGGACCCACCCATCAACGAACGTCTCCCGCGTCGCTTTGTCGTTTCCCCTGTATCCCAGCGCCGCAGCACCCCCACGTATGTGGAGTTCACCCGCCTCGTTTGGCCCCGCGAGGGACCCATCAGGACGAACAATGCGAGCTTCGACTCCAGGGACGAGAATTCCGACAGAACCAGGCTTGTTCTTGGCACGTCCATCGAGCATACCAGGGAGAGGTTTCATGGAAACGATCACTGTCTACCTCGGGCAGTGAGGTCGAAGGGGTTGTAGAGGGAAATCACTTACGAATTCGGACAAACCGTAGCCTGTGAAGGTAAATATTAGTACGGTGATCCTCGCGCAAGGGGAGTGGAGAATGCACCTTCATTAACTCTTTCCATGGCTGGGAAGCGGGCGCAAAGCTGGGCGGCGAGCTGGGGGGGAAGGTGTGCAGCGCCACAGCCGATTCCTTTAATTGAGCTCAGATCGGCAGTTTTGAAGCGGGGATGATGAACGAGCTGGTGTACAAGTGATGGGACGAAGCTTACGGACGTGATGTGGTATCTACATCGCGGCTCAAGTATGAGTACTGGTAGTACTGGTAGCATACATATATTAAAGCACTTTGTATGCACTTACTTGGGGACGCTGTCGAAGAATGAATCGATGTTCCACTTCGGGAGCATCACAATCGTGGAAGGTTTAAGGAAGTTGAAGAAACTGGTCAGGTAGAGGCCGAGAGAGTGGTAGATTGGAAGAATATTGAAGGACACTTGAAGCCCTTCAGGGGTGTCCCATATTGTTGGCTGGCGAAGGAGTCAAGGAGACCATGAAGGCAGTGTAGGATACATACATACCTCTTCGACTTTGACTATTTCCATAGCGCTTACCATCATTCCCAAGAGGACATTAATAATATTTCCGTGGGATAGCATAACGGCTGCATTTTGGAGTCAGAAATATTGCGTAGACGGCGCGTCTATGTTCCAGCGATAAGATACATGCCTTTGGGAAGACCGCTTGTCCCGCTGGAAAAGACCAGGTATGCTAGAGTGTCCATATTAGCATGGCGGACCGGCAGCCGTGGAATACCATTCTTGCGAGCAGAAGAGACGAGCGAATCATAACTTGTGTACCCTTTATTCTCTCCTTCTAGGAGATGGATCCGGTCTGGCGGGAGACCTAAGGTCAAAGCGAGTGGCAGTAACGAGGCACTGGTAAAAATCCTAGTTGCCCGCGCAAGTGAATTGGCGTGGTTGAGCTCGTACGGCGTAGAGTATGATGAAAACAGCGCAAAAGGGACTGTGATTACTAGTAGCGAATGTATCAGCGCGATATAGTCCTGAGAATTTATCATATCACTTTACAGTCTCAGCCGAAAACAACAATGCGACGCACCGGGCAGTTCTCGCTCAGGATACCCACAAGCTCGCCGTTCTGTGGACGAAGACCTAGGCCGCCCTGTGCCACATCAGTATCCAGTGCAGTAGCGCCATCGCGGACACGTTCGACAAACTCCCTGAACGAACGCCGCTGGCCAGTAGCTACATTCACGAACAAGGTGTAATCTGGCCAATCCTTCTGGTCAGGCCGGTTGAAGAGAAGGTTGTGGACGTTTGGCTTGGGGACTGTTGGTAGATCAGGGAAGAGTGACCTGTGGTACATGATAATTTAACACCACTTCAGTGCTTCAGGTGAGAACACACCAGAATCGTCATTCCTTTTATATGACGAGGTGAACCCGTGGTTATTATAACATGACCGATTTAAACTTTCATTGCCGTCGCGCCGGCGTGAGCTTGAATCATTGAGGCTATCGATCCTTACTCAGGGCGGACTATCACGTGAAGCGCTTCTCAGTGAGCTGGCAGCCTGGCACCTAATACCACGGACTCGGCAGCTGATCTTCTCAAGGGGAGTTACGTTGGAGTTACACGATCACCGGCCGCGTGGTCCTGGGGGATTGTGCCAAGTGTTGATCAAAGATAGACAAAGGAATAAGATAGCTTCCGGTATAATCCCGTCTATGTCAAAATTCTGTCGGATAGTGATAGAATAAGTATTGTTTGTCTAGACCTAGAGCTTGGCCTTAATTGCCTTCTGCCCGTTCTCGTATTTTTCGACCAACTGTCTTCTTAGTACCTTTCCTGTAGGTGATTTTGGAATCTGTAAAGATTCTGCATAAACACATCAACGCCTTCGAGAAGAAACTAGAGACGCACTATATCAACCACTTCGATGCCTCCGCGGAGCCATTTATATTTACTCAACGACTCGCGAACCCATGCGTCGAGCTTTGCAATCGTTGCAGAAGCTCCCAATTTGTGGCCCTCAGAAGACAAAACGACCCATGCCCGGGGTATCCGCTCGTCAAGAGTGCGTCCGCCACTCACGCCTGCGACTGAGGCGTCAACAATAAGTTTATCTGGGTGCACCAGGAGTGTATTTTCGATTTCTACAGGAGAAACCTGCAATCCCGAGACCTTGAGCGTGTCCTATGACCATGGGAAATAGGTAAGTAAGGGTAGTTTTTCTCCCTCAGTAACTCATACCTTTGCTCTATCCTCGTAGCTGCGCCGCAATCAGAGAAGCCGTCATCGCTGTTTCAAGAAACTCACAATAAAACGCCATCTTCATCTATTCGTATCCGATCTCCAGTATGAAGCCATCCATCGACGAACGTTTCCTTGGTTGCTTTCGTGTTATTACGGTACCCAAGTGCAACGCATCCTGCTCGGACGTGCAGCTCTCCGGGCTCGTTCACGGCGGCCAGCGTTCCGTCATCACGTACCACCCGAACCTCAATGCCAGGAAGCAAGACACCTGTAGAGCCTGGCTTGTTCTTCGCTCGCCCATTAAGCACGCCAGGATAGGGTTTGTTAGCAATAGCTATTGTCTGACAAATGAAGAGCCGAACGTCATTGCCACATATGTGATTCACTGGGCGACAAAACTCACGCTTTCAGACATGCCATAGCCTACGAAAGATTAACAACGTGCCAAAATAAATGTTTGCAGCCTACCTTCACCTATCCGCTCGACGGCGCCCTTGAAACGAGACAGCAGTGCTTCAGAAAGTGGCACAGGCAAGTAAGCGGCTCCGCAAAGCACGGTTTGGACAGTACTGAGGTCAGCGGCCTGGAATTCAGGGCGATGAACGAGTTGATGGACCAAGGAAGGAACAAGGTATATAGTGGTGGCGCGGTATCTGAAACGATTGAGCTATCACTGCAGATGTGCGTTGAGGGATTTGCACACTTAGGAATAGCGTCAAGGTAAGCATTGATGTCCCATTTCGGAAGCAAGACGACAGTGATTGGCGAAAAGAACACCCGAAAACACGACACATGCAATCCGTACGTGTGGTGTATTGGGAGAACGTTAAATAGCACCTGCATACCATTGGGACCATTCCAAACGGGTGGCTGACTGCCAGTTAAGCATATTGCCACACAAGCGAAAACGGACACCTACTTTCTGGACTTTGGCCGCTTCTTCTCCCACCACCTTGATCTGAAGGATCGAATTCGTCAAGTTTCCATGAGATATCATAACAGCTGTTGAAGGAGCGATGAGGTGGATTTCCAATATGATTATAGCATGAAAAATAATGCAGAACAAATACCTTTTGGAAGCCCACTTGTTCCGCTCGAGAAAACTAGGTATGCTAAAGTGTCTCGTGAGGCATGTTTTACAGGCAATCGAGGGATCCGGTTGTGCCGAGCGCGACTGACAAGATCTTCATAACTCAAGCGACCTTCGTCGTGACCTTCCAGGATGTATATCCGATCATTCGGGAGACCTGAGGTCAAAGCGAGGGGGAGTAATGAGTGGCTGACAAAAATTCGGGTCGCCTGCGATAGTGACACCGCGTGTTTGAATTCGAAAGAAGTTGAATACGCAGAAATCAAAGCAAAAGGTACTGTAATTGCCAAAAGAGAATGCAATAGCGCAATATAGTCCTAAGGTTCCATGAATTGATAGTATATGGTTGGCTGGGATAGAAGCGTACCAGGCAGTTGTCGCTCAGGATCCCGACGATCTCACCATTCGCAGGAGAGATGCCGAGACCACCTTGCTCGATGTCAGTTCCTAGAGCGGTAGCCCCATCGCGCACACGCTCTACGAATTGACGGAAAGACCACCGTTTATCGGTGGTCGCATTCACGTACAACGTGTAATCCGGCCAGGTTTGCTGGTCCGGGCGGTTAAGGAGCAAGTGATGGACATTACCCTCTGGCACATCAGGGAGGTCGGGGTACATGGACTTGTAGTACATCATGCCAAGTCACTTGGGTGAGTAGGAAAAGGCTAGTAAGTGCAGAAAACGATCCATCAGACGAAACATATATATGGCTTTTATTAGTGAGTGAATTGGAGTCTCGAGGCATGCGGAATGGCTATTGCTATAGCCGGTCGTGGGGCCCTGGGAAGGTTCGAAATCAATTGAAACTTGACATTGATTTTACACGTCACTCACCTCACTAATACTAACATCTAGTAGAAGTACTTACATAGTGCCATTAATCTCTCTTCTTGAAGGTTCGATATCCAGAAGCAATATCATCTATAAATCCTAATACGATCCCTTGCGGATGGATTAGTGACAATGGAGATGAGTCATGGTGGTGGTAGTAAGTAGAACCGGGTACACGATCTTTTTTTTAGATGTCTTTAGCCGGTCGACCTTCTCCTTGTGGGGGGCTGTCAAACATTTGTTCCCTTAAGTCCACTTCTGCACCCGCTCTTTGGGAAGTATGTATGATCTCTTCCTATGACAATACTGCACCCTCTTATTGCTCGATAAGACCTCTGCAAATCAAAGCATCGTATCCATCGGTTAGCATTGCAGAGTAGATCATTCCCGCGGGGTTGTCAGTTCTCTTACCGTCAAACCGCCACGGCGGCCGCTGGGCATTGGCGGCTCAGCGATGGCCGGTGGCATGCTTCGATGCGAGATACTTGATATCCGCAGGTGAGCGCAATGATGTCACGGCGCCCAACCAGTTGTATGAGTGTTCCGTGGCACCAGAATCCACCATCAAATCTCCGAAAGTTCCATCGGTGTGTCTTTTCTCTGAATCGTTTTCATATCGATCATGAGATTTTATCCCGGTTTGGCTATGTCCTCAGACATGTCATGTTTGACGCTGAGTGATATCACTGCGACGAGAAGGAAGTTTAACTTCTTGCACTGCCTATCGACCGGTTTGAGACCGCTTCCTCTTCACCCGGGCCTGTCCGGGTCACGCTGCTCAAGCTGGTCAGTCTTTCTTCTTCACTTCTTAGAATACGGCCGCTTATCGGTGTGTATGTTGTAACTAGATATACATACATGGCTGTCGAGTGCTGCCCGGGCCTAACATGCCGAAGATAACATCTAAGCAAAAAGCATACAGACCATCGGAATGTCGGTTCACGAAACACGTTCCAATCTTGATCATCGATTACGCACATTTCGGTTGCGCTATTCCGGAGAAACAGCTGGCAGATTGAACCGACAAGTTATAGCATGAACCCATTCTCGTCATGTTACAGCCACCAGACTGCCAAGATCAGACTACCAAGTTTGAATGACTCCTTACCCCCGCCTGATGAATATTCTCCGCAATGTGTCCCCCTTATCCTATTCGAGTGATATAGAAGGTCAGGTTCCGGAGATATCCAAATTTCTTGAAGTCCTTCTGCAGGTCAAACGATGCAAACACTCGGTGTCAGCCGATCAGTGTTCCGTTGTTCGAGTCGATTCATGGACGTAACGTGTTGCTCGCGCACTTATCAATCATCAAGTCTAATGCACTGGCAATTATCACCATCGAGGCGAGTAGAATGTCAACACTATCACAATAACAAGGTCCAAAATCAAAGCAATTTGTAAGTAGTCAAGACTGTCGTCCCTTAACCGTTACGCTAAAAGGCAGTGATAATGAAAGCTCACGCTTCATTATCTCGGACAGCATTTATGCTGATTATGGGAACTCAGGTAAGCCAACGGGCTTACACAATTGCTCTCATGTGGGCAGTGGCAGGAAAGGTGTGTACTCCCTGATAGAGCAGACTATCGCTGACATACTGCCCATGCTCTCGCCCCAACCCCCCTATGTTGCCTTGTGTAACGAGTTGGCTTCCTTTTGAACCTGAATCCATGTCCTACCAGACGGTCGCTGTTATAGCTCCCCGTACCTCGGGGTATCCTTCCATATAATGCAGAGTTTCTTGCCGTTTGACCTTTTCCTGACAATCCATGGCGCGTTGTAGGTTGCCATTTCTTCCTCTAGAGTATGGGACCACTCTTCGATCCATCTACATGTGGCAGCTTTGTCGTTCGCGTGCCAATCTGCTCCGTTTACTATGGAGGTCAGCAACCAAAAGACCAACCTTTGACGCATCCCTGCGGAGGAACTGCTTCCCCTGGACCTAATGCTTCAAGTATTGAACTACGAGGCGATACGGGATAGAAGTGACGTCGGATCATGCCGAGCTCCGTCTCGACGCGCTGAGATTAAGTGTCCGTGATGTGATGGGAGCACCGTAATCGATTCGCTGTAAAGACTACCGTATTTCACCCTGCACGGCACCGCAGTGTCCAATCAAATCGCATCACTATGTAGTCAGGGTGCAGCACTGCCCGGCGGACAAGCCCGAATCGTCGCCTGAGACGAGTCAGTTCAGCAATAGAGCGTTTTTGCTAAATCCCTCGGCCAATTAGCTTGCGCGCACGTAAGCAAAATTTCCTTTCCCGTCTGATAAAATTCTTAGCAAAAACACTCTAAATGCTGAACCTGAGTATGACCCTGGCTGGACGTTTCTTGTCACTGAATACGCTGAAGCTCAACAGCTCACGTAATGCGCCCATGAAACAGCAGTGACCTTGCCTCTGCCCATCAATCTTTCTTTTCTGAAGCTAGATTGCTTTGCGCCATTAGAGTGTTTTTGCCAAGTATGATATGAAGGCCCTCAGTTCTTAGCAAAAACCACTCTATTACCACCACAGTGGCTAATTACATCCATCTGAGTCGCAGAAAGGTATTACCTGCGCCAATAGATTGCCTATCGTATACTGTAACTTAGTCGCTAAGTTTTATGTGCTTATCGTCTGATTGAATCTTATAAAGTTATTTCTGTTCTTATTCGCGAATTGGGTTGTGCTCCTGTGTACTTGTGGATTATAATAATAAAATATTAGGCACCGGGCTGTATTATGGTTACAACCTTAGCGTTGGACAGAACTTTGTTAATAGACAACACACGCCAGCCTCGTTGCAAACAAAATTGGCCAGCTGCGCCGCTGCGGTCCCTTTCGACTTCAACTTCTTCTCTGTACCATTTCATAGTTTGTACCAACGATGCCGCCCAACTTGAAGCAGAGACTCGCCGCTCTTTCACTTGCACCATCTTCTCCAACCCCTCCTCTTGGATCATCTTCAGGTCATTCTCCACTTAGTCGAAGGAAGATATTCAATCCTCCATGGAAGCGAAACCTCAATGCTACGGGAGATGAGCCCGACGCAAGGGATAAGGTGCAGGAGGTTATGGGCAAGGTCATTTTCCAGGCTGGCGTTGATTTTGAGTGAGTGCAATACATGGCTAGATGCTGTCAAGCTATTCATAGTTCGGTTCCTTCTTAGGACTAGGCCCATGTAAGTTCCAGTACTGCCTTGGGTCTTGGTTTGACGGAAACGCTCCAATTAACGGCTAACGTCGGGTGACAGGGTCATTCTGAGTGCCTCGGCGTTACCTGATCCGCATGAGGTCTCCTATGATCTCCTCTTGCAGTACGTGTCTGTGCAGAACGCAACCAGTTATTATCCTCACCCCGTGTCAGGCGAATTTTATCCTACCTCGACCTCTTTGGTTTGTCTCTAGTGCCATCACTGTCTGCTTGTCTCACCTCCTTGTTTTCTCTAGTTGAATCCGATTATACTTTAGTGTTCTTCGCAGCAGGTGGTCGCTACGCTCCCAACTGGAGCTGGGTTTGGAAGGCATACCGAAGCCTGAGTAGGAAGTACCGCAAGAATTTGAAGCGCCTGGTCAGGGATACTTCACTTACTCATGATGCAAGCAACTGAATGTTCAGCGCAGCTCATTGTACACTCTTCTTTTTTTTCCAAAAGTAGGTGAAATTATCCATTCAGTCATGCCTTCCTTTTACGTGCGCTCCACAGTGCTTTTCTCGTTGGCAGGTGCTATCGTCAGGTCTTTCAGTTTTGCTGTCCTGGTTTCTTATCGCGCTGACTCACATTGTTACCCAGCCCAAAATTCTTTCGCAAAATAGTCTACGTCGACACTCTGTCAGAACTTGCAACCCAGGTTCCGTTGACGCAAATTGACATTCCACCTGCTGTGTACAAGTAAGCATGCTTTAGCCTGTTTGAACACGTCCGATAACACATCTACAGAGAGAATATGAAACTGGAGCAGCAAATCGTACTACCGAGCCCTGTTCGCTCTAGCGTCTTTGGAGTACCCCTGGAAGAACTTATGGGCCATGACGGTGAAAAGGGTAGCATTCCGCGAGTTCTAAAAGACGCTATCCAGGATCTTCTGAGCTCTGGTGGGCGTCAAGGATGTTTGCTTCGGCTGCCTGAACTCATCAAACATACATAGGACTGAACGAGGAAGGACTTTTCAGGCGCTCGCCGAGCTCTGTGCTGCTCAAACAGGTTCAACAGGCCTATGATAGAGGTATTTTTCTACTTTGACGCTGAATTGCGTAGTTTGACACTCGACCAGGCCAAGTCGTTTCCCTCCAAAGCTTCGACGATCCTCATCTCGCAGCTGTGCTATTAAAGAAGTATCTCCGCGACCTTCCCAACCCCCCATTCTCAGAATCTCTCTATCCCGATATACGTCGATGTCCGACACCATCGAATGACCCCGCCGACATCACAGCTACGGCATATATCCGCGACACACTTCTACCGCAACTTATGCCATGCATGTACATCCTATTGAGCAATATATTTCGTGAGCCTCGCTGTCCTTTGACATACCAGAAAATATGCACTAAACGCCGATTTAGACCTGATGCACGAAGTTTCTCTACGATCAAGTGTAAATCGCATGGACGCACACAATCTTGCTATCGTGATCTGTCCCAATCTCGTCAAAAGCTCGAACCCCCTGCAAGATGTAATGATATGTTCTGTACCAAGCGGACCGTCGATGTCCAGTATACCTTCCACTAGTGCAACGCCCACGCCAGCGGTACTGACGCCCCCCACCGACTCTTCAAACGGCGGTACTACGCTGGGATCTATCGTCAAGCTCTGTATCCAGCGCTATTATGAAATATTTGACGAGGTCCATGATCGCTCGGAGGCGGTGCCCCCATCTACTCGAAGGTCAACTTCCCCACCATCATCGGAAGATTCATCAGGCTCACTGCCCAAGCAGGCACGACCAATGAGTTTACGGAGCGACGACGAGGAGATTGATGATGCGGTATTGGTCATGCCGATTGGACCCGGTGGGTCGGGGATTGCTTCTACGAATGAGAATTTGGCCAGCGTATGGGGCGGTGGTGGTGCAGATACAAATGCACATGCCGTCCCATACCAGCCGCGGCGGCGAAAGGTTCCCGGAAGCGCTGGCGGCAATGGAAACGGGGGCAATGAAAGTGGGGTACGCTCAATTAGTGACGATAACCACAACAGTGCAGGGCGCCGAAATCGAAGTAAAGCGCGTTCGACCCTCAGCATAGAGCGTGCAGGGAGTGTGCTTGGTTCAGGGAAAGGCTCGATATCCATTGGTCGTGGGACGCTTCGCAAGGCTAGTGGTTCGGGGGTAGAAGCAACGGGAATCACTGCTGGCGGGTTTTTCACTGCACCCTCTCCTCCCTCGATGCCTCCAATTTCTAGTCCAAACGAGCGTCAAGCATGGGTATAATAAAGATGGATGTTCGATAGAGGTTTATGAGGTTCGTTACGGATGTTTTGCCGTCCGTTATCTATTCACTGGCTCTACTTATGAATCTGATCCGGGAGTGTTCGTTCTCTGGTTTAATATATATCTCATACTCCCAATATCATACGTGTACATGTAGGATAGTCTTGCAGTTCCAAATTGTACTGTCTGATGGGTTTCAACCAAACTACTAGTCGGCAAGACTTCAGGTAATGGTCTCTCCATGCTAAGCATATGCATGTTCCGCTCAGCGAGTGCTACATACGTAATGAGCAGGTGGGATTGATACCTCTTCCATAAGAACTCCCGCGACTGATTGATCATATATCATACAACAGTCGGCCTTGGCTGCAATACGGGCCGTATGATGATGACATAGGGTCAACCTGAGAACTAGTGCCAGGACTCAGGCCTCAGTCGACAGGGCCAACGACAATTGATAACCCTTCATACTACCCTTCAGTACTCAGTACTAGTGTTGCAGTTGTCGTTGTCCTTGGCAGAGGCTTGGCCTGGCAAATTGAAACTGAAATGGCAGTACGGGCGCTTAAACTGTACAGTTACAGTTACAACCTCGGTAGTTTCCGATTATGTGATAATCGGAATTCTAATTTCCTTTTGTCTGTCTCACTCTTTTCCTCCCTTTCATGACCTGACTGTCTCGCTGTTCTTCTTCCCCTTCATGTTCATGTACATGATGCGCACCCTCTACGCCCGAGTCTCTGGCTTGTGTTCATGATCAGCCTCGAGTCGGAAGCACGAGGGAGTGGCAAGGCAAGCCCTCTTATCGGCTTCCTCTGATTATTTCGCAGCGAGGCACCGATCCAGATAGGCAAATGCCTCATGGCAGTCGCCGTTTCACTCACCGTCCAGGATTGCGCCAAAGCTATCTCAGCATCCATGCGATATTGTTTCATATTTGACTTGATGTTCGACGATGCCTATTGCCACTTGTATCGAAGCTTAACCCGCCTCACACACATAACAAAGACACAAACACATAACAATTGTTATTATCACGAACCATATGATACCCATGAACCAAGGGTCAAGTGGCTCTGTCTTTTGCATACGAGGACTGTTCGCCTCGATACGTCGGGCGTGGTTTTTCGGTGCATTCGCGCGTCCGCGTGCGGCATTGCCCTCCTTGACCCGCCAATGCAGACATTGATAAGCTCATATCATTGACCAGATCAGTGCATACACACACAAACGCGCATACCCTGCAGTCATCATTGACGAGTGCATACCCCACGCAGAAATGCGCATACCACGCAGCCATATACATGATGCGTTGCTCACGGGACAAGTCATGGTCAAAGCATACGAGGATGACCTTGCGGGAGTCTAGCGGTGCTTCCGTGCTTTGCGCGGTGTGACTCAAGTCTCCCTGAGCTTTTGAACTATTACATGGACCTATGACCGGGACATGAACTTATAACCTATGATTCACAGACTGTTGCCATATCCAAAGCTCTGTCGTGATGTCAAGCTGCTATTGCATGCTGTCGATCTGACGAGGCTAGCTTCGAGTCAGATCTCACGTTACCCTGAGTTTTTTTCGGGTGTATGTGGATCTCTGTGTGCTCGCATGCAGCGAAGTGGAAGCCTGTCGGGAAAATATCCTGCCGATTTTCGGTGGCGGAAGTTTAATAAAATTCGTCCTTCCATTGGGAGAGTATCATCACTGTTTCACGGTGATTGTTATATAACGTACATGTTGCTTATGGGGCCTTCATGGTTTGCGTGGTCGTAAGTTGCTATTCATTTGTACCGTACATTGACGCTCATAGACTTCGCAGGGGCACTTTGATGGCGGTTCTTTCCGTCAACACGAGGCAGATCCCATGGCTTGTGCCTGGATCCGCCGTCTTCAACTGGAGCCCTCGGGCCTGTTGATGATTATCGCATAATTTTTTGCTTCTTCCCTTCTTCGTGAAGGATGTTCGTCCTGGACTACGTTTTCGTGGGTTGGATCGAACAAATATAGGTCTCATGGTCATACTATTCCTTGATCCATTTCTTTGTATGTATATACGACTCCATATCCATCCCCCCGAATCCTCGCCTGTCTACATGCTGCATGTTCTGTCGAGCTAGTTGTACAGTCTGTACTACGTTTGCTTTTATATTTGATAGCACAGCCATATGTGGTTGACTTTGCGTGTGAATTGCGAGCAGACGTCTCTTTTCGACATCGTTCATCAAATTGCTCACGATTCAACATCTCATCGGACTTCCATCGAACGGTGCACGCTACAAACTGTAGCCTTGGCGAGTAACATGCTGTGGTGCTCGTTCTCTGATACCCTTAGCTGATAGCCACCTTGATCGAAGGCGGATCCAGTACTCCATAGCCTTGTGCAGCGCCTTGCAACATGCACTTTCTAGATGTGTCGAAGAACGTTTTGAGCAGTTCGTAAAAGACAGGGAACTCAGGAGGTGTACTTTGCGAGAAGGTTCAACTGTGAACCTACCATCGATTGGAACCTCGAAAGATTTGTACGTGTTCCGTCCCTCTACTTGTTCACCGATCATGCTCAGCATCTTCAGCGAGGGGGGCTTGGGACTCTTCGACGATTTATGTGTTGCGACTTCGCATCTTTGAACACAAGAAATAACGCATATCTCAAGCTGTAAGTACTATGCTGGGACATATCGTTTATTTATAGAGTTCGGATCTGCACCTCAGCCTGCCCCAGCTCTCTACTGGATGTGTGGCGCTCGCGCCTATCAAGCGCCCGCTCTGCTAGACTATCATGCTTCTATATACGATAACATTCTGTTTTGAACAGTTTGGATACATCCAAGGTTGCCGTGTACACGAGGTGAGCGGCGCTTGAGTTTCTTGTTTCTTCCCCACTATGTTGTGTCGATATCATTTCCAAGGTCGCTGTCGCTACGGTGCGAAATGCAAGTTTATCCACGAAATTCAGGTAATCTTTCGGTCAGAAATTCTGGGTAATGTACTGAAGCTTGTCATTATTAGGGTGGCACATCAGCGTGCACTCAGCACGTTGAAGGTACCGAGTTGAGTCCTAATCTCAACCGCCCATCCAACCACAAGGGTCGTCGTCAGCACAACGACCAGAAAAATGCTGGTCAGCCCAGGGCAGCTAAGCCACAAGTGCAGCGCACTATCTCTCAAAGGCCTCCCTCGGAAAATTTCGGCCATGCGTCTGTTGGGCCATCCCGAGGTTCCAAGAGTGGCGAAGTGTGTCACGCTTGGAAGGCCGGGACGTGCACAAAAGGCGCCAAATGCCGGTTTCCGCATAATATCGAAGTACGTGAATCTTTCGGGGGCCTTTGTCCTTTGTATTTAGCTTGGCGACTATCAGGCGCCCGTTGAAGTAGATGTTCATCGCGAACAAGCTGAAACAGAGCCAAAGTCAGCCGCGCAGACTCGTGCGACCGAGATTGCTAAAGAAGCCGCTGCGAAGACGGTCCAGAGCATTGTGCTTGGGTCCATCGTAACGTTCGGCGCGGGCCTTGAATTATCTCACCTGATCACCGGATTCGAGTGCTGTACCTTGCATATTGCAAATCTGCCTCCCAACGTGCAAGAAGACGACATCAATGCGCTGTTCGTAGACCACGGCCTTGACCGAGGACGCTTCCACCTTGCCAGCGCCAAGCCGATGCCCAGTGGTGGAAAGCTGAGCGCTGAAATTATCACAGACGCTGAGTCCGCACAGACACTCTCGCTTGACCTCGATGGCCTTGAATTTCGGGACGAATTTCTGACTATCGAAGTATCAGACTACAACAGTCCCGGCAGTATGTGCGCGGCAACTGAACGTGACAGCGATGTCCTTACAATATCCTGGCGTGCCCCTTTCGTGCGCTATGTCGCAGAATACCCTGTTACGGTCAATGCTAGTGCAAAGGCGCGGGAACTGAACCGCCGTATGTGCTCTGGGCGCCGGGTCATAGTTGAGGTGAACACCATGCCACCTGGGCGCTTCGTCCGAAGTTTCCATGACAACTCAGTCAAGATCAGTTATCTTTCGCCAACTGTCACTGACGTAGAAGTTAGAGCATTCTCTGGCTCAGATGTTGTCAGGCGTCTCCCGGTGAAGGACTCGGTTTCCAGTGAAGATGTCGGTCATATTACTACCACATTACAGGATGATATCGAGTGCATCTCTCCTGGAACACTGAGATCGCTAGAGCCTATGCTGCCGACTCCAAGCCCTGAAGGGATCGTTCTAGTTCGTGCGCGGTTTTCATCTTGGGATGACGTGCACACGATGCATACCCGTCTCCTTAACCATCGCATCGGGAACGTGTCTTTCCGGTTCCGCCTCTCCAATCCCACACAACACTCAATTACAATCTCTGCTGAGCAGTTCCGCGCACAAAAATCTTTGTGGGATGCCTTGATCGATGGTATCAAGGACAAAGACGCGTGTATGCTGCACATTCATGAGCAGGGCGCCGTTGTCCGGATGCGCTTGTCTGGCTCAAAGAAAGAGGCTATAGGCGCACTTAAAGTTAGAGCGGAAAGCCTGATTGCAGGTGAGAAGGTGGAAGGGTGGCACGTGACACTTGGATATCCGCACAACAAATTCGCGCGCTCAGTTTTTGATAACACGGGCGCGTTCTTCCGTGCGGATTGGAGACGACGAGTTTTGAGAGTTTATGGAGAGCCAAAAGCTGTTGAACAGGCTCGTGAGCTGATCAAGTCCAAGCTGGACCAGCTCTCGTCCATGGAGTATACCAAAGTACTCGCAAAGCAGTCCATTCGATTTTTCGTTGAACATGGAGTCCCGGAGCTGAAGGAAACCTTTGGAGAAGACAACGTCAAATTCGTTGTATCTGCACGAAGGATCACAATTTCTGGTGGCGACGAAGCTCGACACGCTCTCGAGCGCTTGATCCAAGACTCGCTCAGTGGATCCCAGATCCTCAGGCCAGACCTATCAGGACAGCAGTCCTGCCCCATATGCTATGACAACATATCTTCCCCACTTCGCCTTGGCTGTGGGCACGTCTACTGTGCTGCATGCATGCGTCATTTCTTGACATCCGCTTTGGACTCGGATCAGTTTCCGCTCGTCTGCATGGGTAATGAGTCCCAGTGTAAAGTCCCCATTCCCATTCCCACTATCCAGAAATTCCTCCCTCCAACTTCCTTCAACCACCTACTGGAAGTAGCATTCAACGCGCATATATCTCGGCGTCCACAGGAATTCAAATATTGCAAGACGCCAGACTGTAATCAGATCTACCGTTCCACCGACCCCAGCACTACGACTGTTGGCCAGTGTCCGTCGTGTTTCTCAAATATCTGCACATCGTGCCACGAGAACGTCCACGACGGCATGAGCTGTGCCGAGTACAAGCGAACTGGACGCCTTGCTGAGGAGGAGCGACAAACTGAGGCATGGATCGCAGCTCAGGGCGGGCGCGTGAAGAGATGCCCGTCCTGTCAAGTGCTGATTGAGAAAGTGAAGGGCTGCAACCACATGACTTGCATAGTGTAAGTTATCCTGAACGCACTCCACCACTTTTTTGCATTTAATTGATTCGCTCGGGTACAGGTGCCACAATCATATTTGCTGGCAATGCACTGGCGTCTTTACAGCTGACACCATCTACGTCCATATGCGCAATGATCATGGCACGATCTACGACGAAAACCAGGGCTGGCGTTGCACCATCATGTAGCATGGAGGGCATGTTTCTAGTTAAGATCCTCATCACACAGGACGAGTTTGTTCCCTATTTGACATGTCCCCCATTGTAATTTGGGCGGTCTGTTCAAGTGAAGGCCTCAGATTACACTATGTAGAGGGTGTAAGCGTCTTAAATATGTTGGGGATGGGCGCCCCGCAGCACCGAGATCTTGATCTGGCGTCTCTGCTTTTTGTGAGTGGGCAACCGGTCGCAGGTGATTTGGCTCGGACTGGCGCAGCTCTTCCATGACAGATTTGCATTAGATGATGAACTGATTGTACATCTATCGGGTATACAAGTGACAGTGCACTGTGTGATAATTGTGCTATGTCGATGGTAAAAAAGAGTGATTGGTGGCAAAATTGATGCCACAAAAACGAAGGTGTTTCAGAAGATGAGCAAATTAGAGATGGTCAGAGAAGGAAAAAAATTACTTGCGCTTTCCGGCAACAATCCAATCTCTCCATGCCAAGAACATCATCAGTCCAAACGCTTATGACTCTGTATTCAGCGATCCTGGTTGAGTCCAATCCAAGGGGTCGACTATGGGCTGCATGGTACCGAGGTTCGTGACATTGCTCACGACCGCATTTCGTATTTTCGCAGCCACATTTGTGTAGTTTGTGCCGAACTGCTGTGGGTATAAATATGCCACCCGATATGCCACAGAGGCAAGGGCAGCGGAGGACGCTGCATCAGGGAAGGAAGGACCTCCAGTGATATAGTCCGGGACCAAAGTTTCTGATGTCTGCGTCAAGAGAATGATGTTAGTCATGAAGGGGTAATCACAAAGGTAGAGTTCAACTCAGCCTTACCAGGGCAGCAAACTCGCCGTCCACAATTTCCTTTACCCATGAGGTGAGATCAACAATCTGAGAGGCCATCTCTGAACAGTGCTCAGTCGTCTGAATTGTCGCAGTAACACGTAGTATGCCAAGTGCTGCCTATGCATTACCTGCATCAATGTCGTGCGATCGTAAGCTTATTTCGTCTGTGTGGACCACGGATGTACTCACCGGTTCCCAAGATACCTTCATCTATCCACTCTTTAGTGTCGTCGGAGTAAATATGTCCCCAGAGTTTTCCAGTTGGGCCGTCCAGAATCAGAGCATCACGGTACAAGCGACATTGATCGTATGCTATCTGGAGGAGAGTTGCATTGGTGGTGACTGCGCCAAAGTAGGCAATGAAGGGGAACCCCATGTAGACGTCATCTGCCCTGTCCAGGCATGTTGAGCAGTTTCAAACATAATGCAGACGGCAGACATCGAACCAATATCGGCGTGAGTCAACGCGGTGGGAAATAACTCCAGTAGAGGTACGAGGAGCTACGTTGAGTATCTAGAAGCATAAGCAGTGGTAAGACCAAGAAGCAAGAAGCAGTTGCAGAACACACAAAGTCTAGTTGGGCATCAGCCGCGTTCCACCAGTAGTCGTGCCGAGATGAATCAGTAAAGCTGCCTGTCTCGGGAGCTGAAACTTGAATTTTCCGGCACCAAAAAGTGACGTCTGCCAAGCAAAACTGCAAAACCAGCGGAAGCACCGTCCAACGCAGCACCATCCTGCGCATCACCGATTTGTTGGCTGAGGCGACCATCAGAACTTTGCCTTACAGCAGCGCCGTAAGTCAGTTGCAGACTTGAAAGGGGAAATTGTTCATCAGAAACAAAAGGGAAAAATCCAGAGACAGAGTATTCTGGGTCATCGAATTCGAGCATGCCGCCCGCTGCGGTTCCTTGTTCACAGCTAAACTTCTGCATGAGCCAACGGATCTCAGTTGAACTTGCACAATTCCACGTTTTAACCGCATCAAAACCGCATGTTGAAAACCGCTCTAATCTCACGAGGCCGGCCTAAGTACAGCCCAAAGCTCGGCGTGGACCCCTCAACATCCTGAACGGGACTTTACGGTACATGCAATGACTTCTCAATCTGAACACTCGTCTCGACCGTTGGCACCATCTACGATACGAAGGAAAAGAAGTACAGCGTTAGTGAACCACCTATTGCAGTATTCACTCTTAGCACCCTGTTAAGAGATCAATGCCCTCTAATCCAGCCAAGTGAATCACTCTCATCTTCAGAAAACACTTCCAGGACCTTTTCAGGATGATGAGTAAGTTTATGGGTCCACACAAACACTTTATTCTGATCTAGCATATACATATTGTAGACTGTCTGGACTCACCACCGGTTGGACCAGGATACGACATCCGGAATATGGCTCTTACTACTTTCACGAGGAGATGGTGAGTTATAACGTGCATCACTTGGCATGCTAACCCAAAATGCAGAGAGTTTGCAGCACTGTAAAGCATGAAATGAGCGCCCTATGTAGCGCTATCACTCGACTATTTCACGATTTGAAGGAAAGCGCTCCTCCTGATGCCGACTCCGACATAACTCTCGTTCTGGACAAATTTTTCGTCGGCACAGACCAAAAACTCACATTCGGGTATTATTTTGTTTCTCATACCCATAAGCGAGTCTTTTGGTTGGAGGATTTCGACCTTCCTTGCTTGTCAGAAGAATGTGACGGATCTATGGGGTCGACTTCCGGATGTAAGAATGTTCAGTTCATACTCGAGCATGTATACGAATGATCATGTCTTGTAGGTGTTGAAGCACAGTACTGGTGCGTCACCGACAACGTGCCAAATAATTTCAAGTTCGTGACTTCGCACAGGAAGCATTGCGAGCTCTTTCCGAATACACTCAACGTCACAGAAGTTGTCATCCGTGAACTCAAGAGTATCTTAGTCCAAGCATCTGCAGGTAATTATGCCACTTGGTGTCAGATACTGTCACTGACAACTCGAAACAGATCGCGTCACTTCAAAATTCTCGACATCGCCCTATGCTGCAGAAAACCTCTCAACTATGTTAGAACTTGTGAATAATATCGAGCGTACGTGACTCAATTCCACTCATTTGTCAACGCTCAACTCCTTGAAGCTCAAGGTAAGAGTAAGGATGGGCGCTCAGCATGGACAATAGGTACGATTTTTCATATTTTTTTGGCTCCCTGTATTGACTCACGACATCCTGTAGCCAAATTCATGGTTCTATATTGTTCGTATCCGATTTGCTGGGATCAACTGTTCTGTTGACTTCTCGCCGCCGTTCATGGATCAGATATCGGCATATTGCGGAGTTCATATGGCCAAAATGACGACTTTTTCGACATCGACTACTCTGAGCCAAATTCAGAACCTTACCAGCGCTCGATGTTGATGGCACTATTGTCTCCATTAATGCTAAAGTCCACGGAAGTCTACGCAGAAGAATTACACAGTTTTCGAGACAATTTCTCACTTTCGGGGTGGAGGGGGTTTGTGCGCAAGGTCGATATCAGCATCCGCGATTCCAATTTGCTGGTATGATTCACAGAGGCGCTACTGTTTTACGCAGCTCATCTATATAACAGGCAACTGTCCTGCTCAGCACGAACGTTGGCTTTTTGGCAATTGGAAGTGTAGATGCAAGCAGTGCTGATAGTTCAAGGTCAGGGGCGCAGATTGTCATATACTGCTCCGTCATCTGCAGCATTGGGAGTATCATCATTGGTCTCGTTATTTTCAAGCAATACCGCGCAAAGGGTGCTGATACTCCTGTGAAAGCGGTAAGAATTTGACACTACTTTCTTATTAGACTACTAATACTTATTACAAATGATACAGGTCACAATCTTGAAGCGCATCTTCCGCGAACAATATGGTCTAGAGAGGCTGGCTGTTATCTGCAGCCTGCCGTATATCTTGCTGATGTGGAGGTGAGATTGTTTGTCTCTAGTTCGTCTATATCTGGTAGTCATCCCACTCGCTAGCCTTATTTTTTTCTCGATCGCATTTTGCGAGATGTGTTTCGCAAAGACAGATGTGAAGGCTCGCGTGCCCGTCGCAGTTGCAGTCTCCTTGGTTTTATTGTTCGTGTTTGGGTCTATGTTCACCGCTGGACCGCCGAACAAAGAGAAGGTCGTGGATCCCTCCAAAGTCTCGAGGTGGAGAAGAGTGGGTCGGCAAATCACAGGGTTCGTTCCGTCTGTGTGCAAGCGATTGTGGAAGCGGGACGATCCAATGGAGTACGACATCCAGGGTGGTGCGTGAGATAGAGATAGGTCGCTGGACGTTTTGATTCTCCTTGTTCTGGACGATCCGTTGTGCATATGACTATGTAATTATCACGAAGCATTTTGAATCCCCTCTAGCTATTTACACTGTTGTATACGCCCCTTGGATAATATCACTGCGCACCGTCATTCACATTCAGATATATGGAGAGTTATTTTAATAGGGATGCCTGATGATTCTGCCTGCCACGGGGACGGTCCAAAGAGTTCGTCAACTTTCACCATTCCAATATCAGGCCCACGCCAGTCAGACAGCTTCACAAATTGTACGTCAGGCGTGAATACATCGACAGCAGATCATTATCTATTGGTATGATCATGAAACCTTCAAACTCATCCAACTGTGTCCTTCCCCATCTGGGGGCATACTTGTCGAGTCCGTGAAGCCCATCTTTTGATAAAGGGCACGACCACTCGCATTATCGTCCCCGACCAGTAATAAGACCATTTTATCTCTCCTCCCCTCTACATCATTTTTCGGGTCCATATTCGTCCGCACCCATTCCACCCCTTCTTTCACTAGACGCGTTCCTAGACCCCTTCCCCTGTGCTCTGGGTGCACCCACATTCCGACTAGAATATACATATCCCAGTCTGACCCTACCCCCACCCTCTCGAATAGTTCCAGCATGGAAGGAATCAATTCAGAAGGCCCGAGTACCGAAACCATTCCGATCCATGTTTCGCTGATGCTCCCCTCGTCCTTCGTAGACGTGATGAACGTGCGCTTAAAGCGCGATGTGAGCCGTTGTGCCCAGATCTCGGGCGTGAATGCAATCTCGCGTTCGTATGTGGAGCTGAATGAAGAAGGATCGATTTTGAGGGAAGTCAAGCGGAGTGCTTTGTAGTTCTCGATGTCTTCGTGTGTCACTGGTTCGGTGATGGGGAAAAGTCTGTAAGTCATGGCTCTAAAATGGCTACAACCGCGGAACGTATGTATATGATGTTAACGTGCATGTCCGAGTGAGAAAGTCTATTAAAATAGGTATCAGTCCCGTGCTGGTCTACTGTGTCTATCTAGCCGCCAGGACTTAGCGTCAGTCTGACTAGGTCTGACTCAGTCATCCATCTGACTAAGTGCCAGTTCTAAGTTAGGTGACGATAAAGGAACTGGACAATCGCATCAAACGATCCTTCGTATTCCAGCTCTGCGCCTGGTTGATAATCGAATGAATGCTCTCGACCAGGTAACTCTTCTGATATGACTTCTACACCAGCCTTTGCGAGTAAGGAATGCAAAGTACGAGACTCCCGTAGAAGGACAGCCGTGTCATTGGTTCCGTGGATGAGATATGTCGCTGGCCAATCCGACGTAACATTGAACTGGGGAAAAATCATCTTGTGATCAGCAATGAGCGCCTCATCCAAGGGGCCCTCGATATGGATGGCCTCGCGCAACGTAGCACTGAGACTTGGTTCATGCTGGCCTGTGATATAGTCTAAGGCAACTCCGAGTTGCAGGTATAATCGTGTGATTAGCATTCGTGGGTTTGCGGGATATCCTGGGATATGATATGACTGTGGATGGTATGCGAGTGGTGAGTCTGATGTGCTTGGGAGGCTGTCGAACGGATACATATATTCGGAGAAATCGGCGGGATCTAGCATTTCCCTTCCCCGGAGGAAAGATTGCTTCTTGAGTGCGAGATATTGGTCGGTCTGAGGCACCAGAGTGTTGATACAATCAAACTTTTGGAGGTGGAAAGATAGGGCTTACTAGGAAATCACCTCCCATACCATACAAGCTGAGAAGTACTTTCGGTTTCGGGACTGCATGAATAGCACACAGATATGCACAGTACCCGCCCGCACTACTTCCAGCCACACCGATTGACGCGGGATCTACGCGGAAACGTGAACCAAAGCTAAGACCAGCCAGCTCCTGATCAATTTGAACATTCAAATCTCCTGCGACAAATGCGATAGCATCTTTCACATCAGCGAGGACATCGTATCCGGTCCCCGGAGGAAGAAGACGATAATCTGCACTGATGAATATGATACCGCGTGCAGACAACCGGCCTTGGGGGATTACGTTAGTACCAGAAATTAAATTATTATGATTAGCGTGAGGGAAAGATGGCGAGGTCAGACTTAAAGCAAAGCTGAAACTGACTTTTCAGCCAAGTAGGGAACCAGCTTTGTTTATTTCCTACGGTGAGTCCCCCTCCGTGGAAGTAGACGACGGCCGGGCAATGCTTCACCTGTTGGGAACATTGCTGGTCGACGTTGCCGTCTGGTGGAAGATAAACATCGAGCGAGACGCGGATTCCGTCGATCTCCTTATATATAAAGGTCAAAGGACTACCAACGTCGTATTGATTTTCTGTCATCGTCAGTGCTGAGTACTGAGTGAGCGATGCACAGAAGTATGAGTAAAGGACTTAAGGTGCACGTGACCTTGACCGTAGGAATTAGTCTGGACTGCATCTGAGGTCAACGTCCGTCGTCGATCACGATGAGCAAACCCAAAGCGAAAGCTGCTCAGACGCATCAAACTGGGATATACAAGTCAGACTCGGTCAGAGTATGCATAACAACAGTGTCAATTTATGCGACGAGATGAAGCCGACATTTGCAGGACGTCGCCGAGTCGCTGGGCATCGCCAACCTATCAGAGACAGTAGCTTCCTCCCTCGCTAGTGATGTCGAATATCGCATTCATCAAGGTCATAGAGGTGCACGATTTGCATCTAACTGTACTCAGTAGAAAGCTAATAAAATAACAGGAAGCTTCGCGGTTTATGCGCCATGCCCGACGAACCACGATAACGACTTCAGACATTGACCAAGCCCTTCGAGTTCTGAACATCGAACCCCTTTATGGTCACAATCCACATAATCCCCCAGCATTCAGACGCGCTTTGCCGTTTCCGAATGCGGCTAATGTTGGCCCTGTCTACTTTGTGGATGACGAAGAGATCGATTTCGACCGCGTACTTCGAGAGGAGAAAATCACCCTGCCAAAAGGTGTTAGCTGGACCGCTCACTGGCTTGCAGTCGAAGGCGTTCAGCCTCTTATTCCAGAAAACCCGCCGGCAATACCGAAGGATGTCGATCAAGAAATTACCAAGTCGCCACCCCAAGCAAACGGCGCATTCCCAATGACCCCGCCGTCAGAAAGTCGCGTCAAGAAGCAGCAACAGCAGCAGCAACAGCTCGTAAAACAAGTGTTGTCACGGGAGCTACAACTGTATTACACGCGTCTCACGGCGTCATTATTACCGCCTACTGCTGATTCTGCCAAACGGACAGCAGCCCTTGCAAGCTTGCGCAATGATGCAGGACTACAGGCGCTCTTACCTTACCTTATTCGCTGGGTTGGAGAGGGTGTTGTGACTGCGCTAAAAGAGGGCGCTCAGACTGAAGCGGATGGTCGGTCGTTGGAAGTTTTATTGGACGTCGTTAGCGCCATTCTCGAGAACAATACGCTGTTCATTGAGCCTTATGTGAGTAATACTCTAAACCCATTAAAGTTCAGCCAATCAATTTTGTACAGCTCCACCAATTATTACCAGCTATCCTTTCAACTCTTCTCCATTCCACCCTTCCGCCATCGCATGCCACCCACTTGCGCACGTCTGCTGCTCAGACGCTCTCCCGTTTGCTTACGCAACATTCTACAACGTATCCATCCCTCTCACCACGGATTATGAAAACACTTCTTGTTGCTCTCATATCGTCAGACAAATCCAAGGGCACGCGGGAAGGTGCCATCCGCGGTCTGGTGGGAATTGGAAAGGAGGCGGTAAGGAAAGGGCTCGTGGAGGGTGGCGGTGTCAAAGTTGTGGCAAGTGAATGCACGCCAGGGGAGACCGGCCCTCTCGTCGATTCCGTTATGGTCAGTATTCCTTTGCTTTGGGTGATCACACATTCTGAGTATCCGACAGACCGCTTTGCATGTTCTGCATCCTCCGTCGGACATGCCCGAGTCGTTGTATACAGAGGACGAGGGTGATGCTATGATTATGGGGCAGTTACAAGAAGTTTTAGGTAGCTTCTTTGCCGAGAAGCTGTATGGTGACAAGGGTTGGGCATTGGGCATTCTGGGTAGCATAAAACAGCAAAGTTGACTCTAATGGTTCTATGTCTATTGCCAATTTATCCTGCTGTGCGCTATAAACAATATATGGTCAATAACTGATGGGGAGGTGTAGATCATCGGCTATTGCTCTAGCTCAGGGGCTCATAAAACCATGGACCGCCCATTCATAGACCCCGAGGAAAACAGCTCCTCCAGCAGATATCCACATCGTCCTCGGTACTACACCTGCAAAAAGAACCTTTCCGCCTTCTTGTACGTAGATTTGCCGAAGCCGTGTGGTAATACTTGGCACTTGCTGCTTGGAAGGGTCCTGAATACGTCTTAGGAATATCATCAATACTCATAACAGAGACCTACTCTAAGATCGAGCATGACGCGTGTCTTAAGAACGTCGAGTGGAGTTGTCAGCGCAGCTGCAGTCCCCCCGGCTATGCTTCCACAGACAGCAGCCTCGTGTGCATATAGGGGTTTCCTGTTCAGATGTATTGATAGTCGATACTTGAGGAACTCATATAGCGGGAATTGAAGTGAGGTAAAGGGTATCTTGGAAGCACAAGCACTGGATTAGTTGGACATCATACAGAGTGTGAGAACATATTCATGTACCTCGCGCATGATAGTAGTCAAAAAACCACGATAGAAGCCTCGGATGCCATCATGTTTCAGGACAAGGGTTGCAGCCTTAAACGAAGATGTCGAAGCACCATACATCGAAGTTTGCATCCTGGTCTTGATGACTTCAGTAGGAACGCGTATCAAACAAGCAGCCTGAGCGGGTAAAGATTCATTTACGGAAGATAATTTTTGCAAGTAAGGAACTTGCCACTTCTGCCACAGATGCAGATATCATATGGTTCACAGGTGCAAGCTGGCCATGAAGAGGAAGCGAGTGCTTCATAGTTTCATATGTAGAGAAGAATGCAGCAGCTGTAATCTCCGCATGAGAACGACTACCGTTCGAACATAGATTTCACGCATACCTCCCGGGGCGCTTCCAACTACCACACTGCCCACGCCTTTGTAAATGCCGCGAAAGCCGCCAGCCTTTACGAATCCTTGCGCAGACTGCAGACGTGTCTTGACGGTGTCTATCGGGAAGAAAAGAAGGTCGACCGCTGTTCCTGCCAGTCCGCCAGCCTGTGAGGGGGGTCACGTTTGCACAGAACATATTCTCGGCTTGCAAGGAACTTTGCGCACAGCGAGAGACTGGAAGAACGTTGGTTTCCGTTCTACTGCCATTGTATTTTGTGGTCGGCGAAAGAACTAGAGTTTCGTCAAGGTTTCGCACCAAAATGTCCGCGTGACTGCCTAAAAAGTAACGTAATGAAGGCTATTTCCCGATTTGAATTTTGATGATCATGGAGAGTATGACTATTTCACTCGACCGTTACTGCAAATAAACGACGTTAATATGGACGATGCGCTAGAAAGGCCACGTCCTCAACCTGCAACACCAACTCGGGATCCAGCTGAGGACGAACAATCTTCGGGGGATGAAGATGGAGGTCTGGATTGGACAAAGTTGCCGTGAGCCGTGAGCATCGTATATGTATACATCACATACTAAGCGCAGCAGAAAGATTGGTACTGTGCGTCCAGTAATCCCAAAACGCGGAGAGAAAGACTTTGAGCCCGCTCCAGGAGGAGGGTCAGGTCTTCAGGTTCATGTTCTGGATCGAGCACGCGCTGCGATGTTTGACGCCCTCAGAGCTGATCGCACTATATCTAGGTATTTTTTCTATGTTCATATTGCGATAGAGGTTGCTGAATACAGCGTAGTAAATCTGCCAGCTATGGAATCTGGTATCCGGGGATATCTCGCGTTCATGTTACCGTCGCCAGAGGTATTCACTTTTCTGTCATGGGTCATTCAGCAGCACGGCCTACACACACGGAAAATGGGTCATCGAAGCTGCAGAAGAGACTAGAGTTGCTGCCAGAAGAGGCGCTTTATCTGATTGAAAGGGGCGCTCTGTTCTGCTGGAAGGACATTCAAGCAGATTTGACTGGTTTGGGTGACGTTGAGGGTTCTCCCATGTCTGTTCAACAGGCTTTCGCAGAAATAGTTGGAAAGGAAGACTTGACGCTCGAAAAATATCAGGTGATAGAAACAAGTGGATTTTCTTGCAAGCAATGCTTAATTTTGTTTGTAGGTCTTTGCGTACTTGAGGCGTTTGGGGTATGTCGTCACCCGAACAGATCCACCCAGCCCTAGCTACCCAGTGCCGCCACCCCGCCTGGCGAATGGTGGAGTACCTTTCACATTCTTTCGAAGATTGTCATCGATTTTCTCACTGTTTTCAACGAGACTTGTGAGATTTTGGAGAGGAACGCTGAATTGGTGGAGGCCGCTGAGGATAAGTCGGTGGATACATCACAATAAATCATATGGTTGGGACCATCTACTTTACTTGAGCCCTTAAATAACGAGTCTTGTCCAGGCGAAGTCTTCAAGTCTCTGCGTATCATACCTACAGGTCACTCCGTCGCACCTCATTCAAGTTGTGTGACGCCTGTCGCACCGTCATCTCCATACAAAATATTCTACAACATGTACAAGCCCTCGACCAACTTCCGGAAAACATCTCCGCCACAACCAGATTTCCAAATTGTCGTTGTCGAGTAAGATCGAACTGGTTGTCGAGGCTTGCCAGCTGACCTTTGTGTAACAGCGCGCGAACTGCGTTTGTTCCTTCTCTGTACGAAATGACGGAGTTATTCAGTGTTCTCCCGGAAACTCCCCCGCCTCTCCCACGAAAGCGCGGTGCACCTCCAGGAGTTCAACCACCTCCAGCAGCGGCCACGTCGCCCGCCCACACATCAACATTCCGACGCCTTTTCCTGTGGCTGTTGCCGTCGTTAACACCACCGCCTACATCGTCTCAACAACGGCCTCATCCGTTTGCAGCACTCAAGGCTGGCAAAAAGAACATAGTCATTGCGGCTGTTGACTCGGGCAACATTAGTTTCTTCCGATTCAGTCAAGGGGCTTTTGAAGAATGGCCAACTCTATAGCATTTCGGGCACTCGATCTCTGGTCTTTTGCCGCCATTCAAGTACATTGTTGCGTATAACATGCATTTCATATGACACAGAATCGCAGAACTTCCAGCTCAGCCGCTCCAAATTGCATTTCTTACTATGCAGATTCATCCCACTTGTACGAGAGCACTCGGGTTGAGTGCTGTTTGTTAGCTTCCACTTGGCTTCAGACGTCCGTACTTCCTTTTATCCTTATGTCACAGACAGTGCTCACGACAGGGTGGTAGATATCTGGATACTAGTCATAACATCAATTTTTTCTACGCTTTACCCACTGGTAACGATACAATGCTCTTAATCAGTGTCACGGTATCGTCGTGAGAAACGGGTTCAAGGGAGAAAAGGTAGCGAAGCAATCTGAGGACCGCCGTATAACGATGCGAATGGAAAGGAATGGACCGTTCCAATTTGTTATTGAATGATCAACCACTTGCATGCACAAGAATATGAATGTGTCAGGTGGAGGCTGGATTCAGGGCCTTTCTTGCTCAGGCTTCGCTCTAAGTCCCCGTTCGAATAACACATCCGATGTATTTGCGATATATCATCTCCCGACTCCACTTTCAGTGATTTTCGAGGATTGAGCACAACACGACGCTACAGTACTCGAGATTTGAGGGCCAATAGGTGTAGGGTAAGTACCTAGAGAGCGGTGTGGAGCTTGTCAGGGGCCCGGAATTCAACGTACCGACTACCTGAAGATGTTGATCAATCGATTGTTCGGACAACTGCGTCAGATCTGTCCTGCAAGCCGGATGTCAGTGCAGACGCTGACAGATTTTGATCTGCCCGCGTGCTGCAGCTGGCTGCCGCGAAGCCCATCTTCGGTCGCTTCCACACTGCACAGCCAACTCAGCTTCTAAGCTCTGTGACTTGCCTAGCAAAGTATAGGCAGGTATATACGCAGTACATCTTGTTATCCTGTGGCTTCCTTAGTCATACCGACTCGTATCGTTAAGCACCCATAACAGAAATAGTCACAGAGTATCCACCAGGCTTTTCAGAACAGTATTTCCCCCCCCCTTCCTGATCTTCACAGCTGCCCTCCCCATGCTCAACTCCTCAGTGAACCAGTCCAGACTTCTCCATCGAGCGCCGTCTCTTTCTCCAAGGCCATCGTGATATTCGTAAGACGCGTGAACGCTGTCAGCCGTCTCACTGTCCGTAGCCGTGACAATGTACGACCAGACGTGATAATTATGCATACCGAGCGATACCGCAAAACCCTCGCCGGTGATTGTGTGACGGTAGAGTACCGTGCCAAAATTTCCACTGCTGTCCATCCTCAGGATAAGCCTACTTTCCTCCTCCTGCCACCACTCAACCGGCGCATATCCGACCATAGCAAATCCGTTTGCTACCACCCCATCGGTTTTTACGAAGAAGTTATATTCATTGGGGATAGGGTCGCGCCTAGCATCGAGTATCATGAATAGGGACGGGTCATCTTCTTGAACGTAAAGTTCTTTGAAGGTGAAGCCTGATGATACATCCAGTGCGTCATCAAGCCTGTCGGAGTACGTCCTAAGATACTGGTCCGGTTGGTCCGGTTGACCTTCGACTGGTTGGAGGCGTAAGCCAATTGGGGCGTTCGGTGTTTGTTGATGGTAGCAGCTGAGAGACGCATGATAGTGGTCTCCACATCAGCAAATCACTTTGCCTCTGTGGGCTCTGTACAGCTCTGTACAGAAGGGACCAAGCTGTGGCCAGCCATTTTTTGGTGGTGGGAAAAAAAGTGTTTTGCTGATGCAGTAGGCTTGATAGGTAGGTGAATATTCACCCCACGATTCGTCACTGAATACTGGTGTCTGACGGATGGTGCAGCACTTGGAAAAAGCTTTACGAACGAATTCGAGGGAATCCTAGCGATGTCGAAGGACGATGCGAAATAATCCGGGGAGGAAGCGAGTAAACCAGTTTTGTATCCATGGGGAGATTTCCATGCGAAAATGCTTTGGTCGTTGGAGCTCTTCATGATTTCGATCTGAAGTTTGACGAATGCATTTTCCCCCTCCCCATATATCGTAGGCATGTATACCCCAAACAAACCAAGGAGCGAATATGCCCTATCCTCTACTCGGGTCGTCTCCCTGTGCGCAGCCCAGGACATCCTTTTTGCTACACTGATTTCCCCCGGGTGGTTCGTCAGCAGGACAGGACGTTCGATCCCCGTGATGCGCTCGATCAAGTGAGCCAAGCTAGATTTACTTCCTATTTCCTCCCACTCGCGCGAAAAAAAGATGACATTGCTGGGGGCAATGAGCTCTTGGAGAGTCCACCCTCTTTTGAACCACGCGCTCTTAGCGAAGGTAGAGTCCTCTGTATCCAGAGTATCCAACCTGGACACGTCGTCTAGGTATGTGTAGCAGATTTGGGCCTTCTTGTACCACATATACATCGAGTTGATGGCTTCAGAGAGTTCGGAGCTGCTGCTCTTATTGATGCAGCAAGTGTCTATCCAGACATAGCGATACCCGTCTTCGTGAGCCTGGATACAACAACCTTCAATCTTGGAATAGCCTCGCATATTGCGGGCGTGAGGCTGGTCGATATCAGAGAACTGTACCTCGCCATCACGCCATCGATGCGAGAGTATTGCATATTGTGGGACCTGACCTAGAAACTCTTCGAGTTTTCTGGTCTCCGTGTTCAATAACCGCATGCTGTCTCGTTGACAACGTGAGACGACTCAAAAGACTAGAACATACAAGGGACTACTTACTTATGCGCGCCTAGAGTCAAATTAGAAATCAGAATCCAGGTCGGCGTCACACGTTCGATGAGGGATCAACCTGCTGAGTTTGAGCATCAACCATCGATGTACATTCCAGCAGAACACACTCACCCACGTCAGTCGGAGTGACTTGGAAAGTGACCTTGCTGAGCGTTCCGCCGCGGTGAAACTATTTATCGATCGCCAAGCTGGGTTGAGGGGAGGCATAGACTACGTGCGTAGTGTAGGGTCGTCCCGGATTGGCAGGCCAGCGTCAATCGATATGAATCAGAAGTATACCTGATATGTATGGTCTTCAGATGGCCGTCAATCAGGACTGTGTTGGTTGAATATTCATGGGCGTCTGGGAGGCTCCGCCACTGCCGATTTGGAATAGTTGAGACGATCAAGATTCGTTATCGGCCTCGCCCTATTGCGAGACATCATGACCTAAATGTAACTAGATGTGCAGCTCACTGACATTAGTATTGTGATTGAAATCCAGGCTATAGACCGACCGTAGCAAATCCGTTTCCACCCCATCGGTTTTGGCAAAGAAAAGAAATTTAAGAAGTTCGCGAGGGATAAGGTCGCGCCTACATCGAGTATCAGTGATGGGCCCTCTTCTTGAACTTAAAGTTCTTAGAATGCAAAGCCGGATGATACATCTACCGCGTCATCGAGAAAGCAGGGTTGTGTCGCGAGATACGACTGGATGAAGGCGCAAGCAAATTGGACTGCGTTTGGTGCCCATTGATGGCAGCAGCTAAGAGACCTTTGATAATAGTATCAGACTTCAGTGGAGACGAAGGGTGTACGTGCCATCTTGCTCCATCATCTATGCAACCCATAACGTGAACTATCACTCTAGTTGGACTTCATAGACAAGCAGAAGGCGAAGCATGATGGTGAGTATGACAAATCTTACTTATGACGCTCGAGTTAATTGCTCTGCAGCCAAGAAAGGAGGTCTGATTATTGGTCGCCGCTAGGAGCACCTAACCAGCACGCTTGATAGGTGGGTGAATATACACCCCAAGATTCATCACTGAATGCTGGTGTCCGACGAGTGGAATGGAGCTTGCAAAAGCTTTACGAATGATTCTGAGGGAATGCTGGCGGTGTCGTAGGACCATGCAAAGTCCCGTCCGGGAAGGGGTAAGTGGACTAGCTTTGTATCCTCGAGGAGATTTCCACGCGAAAATGTTTTGGCCATTGGAGCTCTTCATGATTTCGATCTGAATACTGACGAGGGTATTCCCTCCCTCCGTATATCGTAGGCAAGTATACCCCAAACAAACCAAGGAGATAACCTACCCCCGTCAATGGTCGTCCGAGTGCACGCAGCCAGGAACATTCCTCTTGCTATGATGGGTCTCTCCTTGGTGGTTCGAAAGTAGCACAAGACATTTGATCCCCGCGAGATGTTCAATCAAGGGAGCGAAGCTAGATTTTCTTCCTATTTCCTCCCACTCGCCGTCAGCAAAGCTAGAGCGCTCTGTATCTAGGGTCACATCCGGACAGATCGTCCAGATATGGGTAACAAGTTTTTGCCTTCTGCTGCCACATGCCCATCGAGTTGATCGCTTCAGGAAGTTCGGGGTTGCTGCTCTTATCGACACAGCACATGTCTGCCCAGACACGGTGATACCCGTCTTCGTGAGCCTGGATGCAACACCCTTCAATCTGGCCTGAGGTCGATCGATATGAGAGAACCGTACCCCGTCATCGCGCTACCAATGCGGACGTATTGCATATTGTGGAGCCTGACGGTGAAACCCTTCGATAGACTATGTACATCGGGTACGATCGTCCTGGATTGGCAGGTAAAGTCCATCAATCGATATGAATAAGAAGCATACCTGATATGTATAGGACCCTGTTGATGAATATGCATCCGCGTCTGCGAAACTCCATAGCCGTCCATTTTGGAATAGTTGAAATGCTCAAGATTTGCTATCAACCTCGTCCTATTGCAAGATGTCGTCGCCTAAATTTAAACCAGATACGCAGCCCACCGATTTACTGAGGTACGATAGTCGAGCCTCAATCGCCGATGAAAACTCGTCAAGAAAGGGCTCTGACAGGAAGAGTAATATCCTTAGCACGGGGGAAGTACTACTGATTTGAAGCAACCTTTGGTTGGTGCGCGTTACTTCACTCGCGCCTGTACAACCGTAATCAGACTATCCTCCTTGGAAGTAGCAGCGAGAGTGCCTGAAACCAGACCCTCGTATGTTTAACCGCCATCCGTCACTACAGAAACGTTGTACCAGGTATTTGGACGTCCCAGTTCGATATATTGGTGATGTAGAACGCCTTTGCCATTGTAAACTGTGAGTGACTTGAGTTGAGTCCACGGTTTGACAAAAGCTTCAGAGCTGGTGAGTAAGGAAAGGCAGACTTGACAATGAGGTTAGAGCACTCTTACTTCAGCGAACGAGATAAACGAACTGTGGATCTGGCCGTCATCTGTTGAAGCTCCCAAACTAAGTCAAGCTGCTTCAGCGTTGCAGCTGAGGCCAACGACCTAGGACCGACCTTCAGGGTGTTGTCAGCATCGCCATTCTTCATACACGAGAGTTCAAAGAGAGTGGTGTTTGCGTTTTGCCGCACATTTGCTACGAGAGCCCTCCGCATCTAACCTGATATGTAACGATAAGCAGAGGCTTGGTATCAAACACCGCAGAGCCCGACTTTGGAGACCTAGGTGCTGCGACTGTGCAACATGCTTGAACCGTAGATTCTATTATGATATAGAAATCAGATGTTACCCAGATACTACGTCGCGGCAATATATACCATATAGTAGTCGCTGCACTTACCAAAGCACAACCATGCCGGCAGAATGATATATCAATGCCTGCGAGCTAAGTGATGATCGCACACAGAGATATATCACATGCACTGGAGGCTTTTACAATAAGTCTGAGTAGGCCAGATATTGTATTCTCAATGCAAAAGAGAAAATATGAGGCTGTGAGGAAATATTAGTGACCAACGAAATTTGAGAAAAGGAGGGAGCACCTGGACAAGGTCATGTCGCACTCCCAAGACTCCGCCCCGGCAGGCAGCAGCTGGGACTAGTTCTTTATAGTAGTCCTCTGATCTGCCAGTCTGGTGTGATTTTCTTCCCAGAATCACGTTGGACCGGCACAAGACTCAGGATCGATGCATGTACAAGTGGGAGGCTGATGCATGTGTGGATCAACTTGATCAAGATATTCAAGATGGCTAGCGAAGACGGCTCCCATTGACAGGACTCCGGCCACTCCTCCAGGACCTCCAACACTTCGGAGTCAGCCGTGACCTGCTACAACCCGAACGTCTCAACAAATTGAGCATCTTCCATCGTGTACGCAATCATGAGTCTCTCATCATTCCTACTAGGAGGGAAAGCTACGAGCAAGCAAAAAGCTATCGATACGGAACTGGATGCCCTTTTTCAGACTCAAGTGCGTCTTTCATACTTTTTGTGGTGGTCTACATTGAATTATCTAGTAGGTCCAAGATGATGGCAGTCCTGCAGCATCCAATGACAAAAAGCGTAAATCAGAGGGAGACGGGCAGAAGCATGGTTCGAAAAAGCACAAGTCCGCACCCAAAGAATCTCAACAACCCGATTCCCCTCCTCCAAAACGCGACAAGCAGCGGGATAAAAAGGGAGAAAAGGTTGAGAAGAAAAAATTAAAAGTTCAAGAAACGAAGGCAATTTCAGCCGTGGAAAACAGCATTGTCGAACTCCGAGGGGCTGATCCTGTTGACAATTCGGATTCCGAGGGGGAGAGCGGTCCATCTACGCTCGTCCACGAGTCGCTGCTCAGTAGCGGTGCAAAGTCCAATCAACGCACGCCCGCGCGCAAGGAGAAATACGCACCACCAGACGAATCCGAGGAACAGCGTAACTTGCGGACGATCTTCGTGGGCAATCTCTCGTCCGAAGTTGCTCAGAAGCGGGTGAGGATTCGAATCCTAATCAATCATGGCATGAGTACTGAATATGTGACAGCCTTTGCAAAAACAGCTCCATAGGCACATTATATCGCTGGTTCCCACCGCAAAAATCGAATCTACACGATTCCGCTCTGTCGCATTCCAAAACCCCACCAGCAAACTTCCCGATGATGACGGGAAAGAAAAGATCGTCCCGCGGCAGCACGATCGAGATCGAGCATCGTCATGGCGGAAAACTAATCCCACAGCAGACGAACCAAAGAAAGACGAGAAGAAGTTTCTTACTCCAAGTCAGAAAAAAAAGGTTGCGTTCATCAATCATGAACTTCATCCCAGCGCCGATTCGGTCAATGCATACGTTGTCTTCGCATATGCCCCTCCTGCGAAAGAGCGGCCTTCGAATTTGCCTCCCCCTCCACCAGTCATGGACCCACACGAAGCAGCACGTCTCGCTGTCGAGAAGTGCAATGGGACCGTTTTCATGGACCGCACGATCCGTGTGGATTCTTTAGGCAGGCCTGCGGACAGCATTGGAAAGCAAGCCGCTCTCTTAGGCACTTTCGCGGGAGACCCTAAGTCATCGGTTTTCATAGGTAACCTTGACTTTGCGAGCAAAGAGGAAGATCTACGCATGTTCTTCGAAACTCTCATCACTGCCGAACGTGGGTCTCCTAGTCACACTTCAGATGCACCTGACCATTGGGTCTCACGAGTGAGAATCGTGCGGGATAAGGAGACACAGCTCGGGAAGGGCTTCGCGTATGTGCAATTTACGGTTGGTCTTCAATTATTACCTGTGGGTGACATTCTGAGGATTTGTTCAAGGATCGCGTTTGCGTGGACGAAGTTCTCGCAATGGAAGAGTCCAAACTCAAGTTTGCAAAGCGCAAACTACGCGTTCAACGCTGCAAAATGCTCCCTAAGGGCTCAGTGACTGACAAAGCCGCTGCTTCGAAGACTGCAAGTACCGGTAATGCCGCAGGTGCGGCCTCACCCATCAACGTACCAAAGGGTGATCCTTCTCTCGGTGACAAACTGGCGACCCTCTCCAAAGAGGAGCGGAAACAGATAAAGGCGGCGGACGCTGACCGGCTAGCGCGGAGAATGGCAAAGAAGAAAGCGAGGATGACGCTTGTAAAGCAGGGCGTGCCTGTACGTGGCAAGGAGAAGGAGAGGGAACGAGCGAGGAAGACGGGCACTACGAAGAAGGCCACTGTTGCGCCTCGGAAACAGGGCAGGGTCCGGAGCGAGAAGAGTATGTCAAAACGAAATATGAAGAAATGAGACATCTTCCTTTTTCTTCAAGGCAAAACATTGCCTTGAAGAGAAAGACTGACATCGCTCGTTGTGGTAGTTTGAGTATTTGTTTGATTCTGGATTGTTAAATGAGCTTTCTCATTTTGCGATCTTTGGGGTTACGGAGCAAGCTGTTCCCTAAACCCATATTCAGATCGAACACTTTGATGGATTTCTCCACGCATTCTGGATACCATTACAATTGCATACACCCCAACTGAGCTGACGTATTCGTCACACTCTTTGCACTCTCAGAGTGTACTGCGCAGAATTACAGTGGTTGTTGACTTACCGCAAATCACAGCGGCGCCGCTCAGACGTGCGACGAAGATGGTGGGTCAGAAGGCGTGTTGGATTTGACATCCGCGGATGCCTCCTGTTTCTTGAGCTCAGATCTCCAAAGTAGTCGTGAACGATGCAGGCGCCGATTCCAGACCTCATATTTCATTGAGCGATACGACCTTGACCCAATGGCGTATTCCCATCACCACGAGAATTGCTCAAGACATGAGGAACAGTGTAACAAAGAACTCTGGAGAATGAGTGGTTCACGCTATGGCGTGTACATGAGTGGAGGGCACCAGCGGCAGAAATCCCTACCTGGGATGATGACAACATTGATGACATCTCGCATGCATGCGCGAAACGATGCCGCAGTAGGGCTGACCCCTTTTTCAATGATTCTACAATGATGTGCAAACGGATCAGCGCGTATATGGTGCAGGCGACTCTAAATGAAACTCGCCCGCGGTCGATATGGTGTGGTGATAGTAATTTTTGGAGCGGAACACTTGGTGGTATGCGACATAAGGCATTTGCTCCACCGATAAGTCAATGATAAGCTTTCCGCTGCTTCTGCCGCCCGGCGTCTTCGTGATGAACCCCATATTCATACAAAAAATACGCAGTCAACCACGTTGGAAAGTACTGCCGGCCGCCGGTAATTATCGAGATAACACACCGAAAGAACACGCACCTAGACGCCAGATCGGTTTACATAAAAACTCGGGCCAGGGCGAATCCTTGAACTGCCTCACGACCAGGCGCGAAATTTAGCTCTGTGTGGATAAACGGTAACTATAGGGGTGAGTGAGTAAGATGGTCCCTGAGTCAGGGATAGACGAGCTTGACGTCGGGCTAGCTGATGCGGCGTACTTGGCTATGCGGGTTGCCCTATACTTGTGCAGGGATATACGGACACCTCCGAAAGCCCGAAATACACGCGATCGAAGATAGGCCAAACTTGAAATACCGAGCGAGCTGCAAATCTTGAATTTCCGAAGACATTTCCCCCTGCCAATCATAGGAGGGTTCGTGGCACCCTGCGGCGGGCACGCTGGTGGTGCAAAATGTGCGATACGGCTGGCCCATCGGAGAAGTATGGATGTCCTAACGCCTCGAGAGACCAAACTCACTATATACCACGATGCGACGGCTATCGACAGGATACTCCACGTCAGGGGATTCGTGAGGTCACGACTGACAAAAAACCGCCTAGCGTGCAACGATGTTACCCAAATTATACGTAGGGTGCATAACGCAATCGCGTGCTTTAAGCGGCGGGGGTGGAGATGAATGTCCATTCGGACAACATTCGGACCTTCAAGTTAAGTTCATGAGAGAAAAAAAAATTGCGCCGCACACATACCATAAAGATTGAGCGGTCCGTGGGTGCAAGAAGCTTGTTCTGTGGCTCCAGTGATTGTTATCGAGTTGCAAATGATTGTAGTCTAGAGCTTGATCTAGAGTCAAGGAATCAACTGGCAACCGAGGTCGATGTCAGATTTGAAGGGTTGAGGGGTGGAAAGATTGACCTGAACCGTTGCTGAGCCGAAAATTAAATCATAAAGGACGTCAATGTTGAACATGTGTTCTTGCGAGTCATCCGTCACCTGCCAGCATCCCAAGCGCTGCTGTATAAAAGTGGAATGGCGTTTATGGACCTCGACTCGTATCCTTGGTTTTCAAAAACTTGGCAAAGCTAATTGGCTGACATAACAGGATACATAGTCTCGGCAACTCCACGGACACTGCCAGTGCCAGTCTATCTTCTCCTCACGCAAACGACCCCGGTGACCGACAAACCGCGTCCCATTTTATGACCCCAGTGGGCCTGATTACTGCCCAACTGCACGCATTGTCTACCTTAATTTCAGTTTAACACTGTTCCTTCGGCACCGCACGTCATGCTATTCCGGCCGGTAAGCCTTTATTCCCGCACCCGACTGCTGCAACGCTCATTAATCATCTCAGCTTGCATTGACCATACCGCATATTGCCTATGCATGTCTTGGAGGTTTTGTCGTCGTGGTATGTACAGCGTACCACTCTCTCCACTTCTGCAGCGTCTCAACGTGCTATTCATTGTAGTTTGGCATGTTCTCTTTGTTTATTCGAGAGAAGGTAACATATTTTGTTGTATATATCACTCCTCATGCTCATTATATCTACTCCCGATAGCTTTATATTGGCGAGGCATGCTGGGCATTTCTTTTCGGCGTCATCATTGGTGAGCTCAGAGCGGATCAGTCTTCCAATCACGTTGCCTTAACTTATTCTTTTAGGCCCTTACGGTGCCGGCATATTTGATCCTCGTAGCTGGGGTGACAATCAGACCGAGGATACCGTGAATGAAATTACGCTCGAGTTTACTCGCGTTGTCCTTGCCATAGGAGTCTTCGCCATTGGCGTCGAGCTTCCAAAAGCTTATATGAAGCGTCACTGGAAAAGTTTATTATTCCTTTTATTCCCTGTCATGACATGGGTGGGTAACGTCATAAACGTGTGTCCTTTGACGTATTTGCTAATGCATCACCAGGGTTGGTTTGTGTCGGCAGGCTTGATTTACGCTTTGATACCTGATCTCAACTTCTTGTCGAGCCTTGCTGTTGCTGCATGTTTAACCCCTACCGATCCGATTCTTGCCGCTGCAGTTGTGGGTGGCAAATATGCCGACAAGCATGTTCCTGCTCATCTTCGCCATCTCCTGGCAGCGGAAAGCGGTTGCAACGACGGAGCAGCATATCCCTTCTTGTATATCGCATTGTACCTCATCTTGGATTCCAGCACAGGTCGTGCAATTGAAGACTGGTTCCTTCTACTCTGGCTTTGTAAGACAATGAATTCAGTGACGGTCCCTCAGCTGATTCCGTTATGACAGATCAAGTTATCTTGGGTGTGGTGTTTGGCGCCTTGCTAGGATGGGGCTTCAGGCACCTTATGATATTCTGCCAGCGCAACGACTTCGTCGACCGGCAGTCCTACGTTGCACAGTACATATCCTTGGCCTTGCTAACCATCGGTATCATGACCATGCTAGGTTCTGATGACCTCCTGGCAGCGTTCTCTTGCGGGACGGCATTTGCTTGGGACGGTTTCTTCAACCGCCAGACTGAGGAATCAGTGTTCAGTTCCGTTATCGACTTATTATTCAACGTCGCTGCCTTCGTTTATGTTGGCGCATGGATGCCGTTTGACAGTTTCAGCAACGAGACCCTCTCACTTAGCGTGTGGAGACTCGTCGTTATTGCCATTTTAGTGTTGACCTTAAAAAGGCTGCCAATAATGATTGGGCTCTATAGATTCATACCCGACGTAAAGACTTTCCGGGAAGCCGTTTTCAGTGGTCATTTCGGGCCCATAGGCATTGGTGCGTAGTGTCTCTGTCATGATCACTCCAACCTGCGATATGAAGTATATTACCATTTCAGGCGCTGTGTATATCTCCACAGTAGCAGCCCAGCAGCTTCCAAAACCTAACAACCCTCCAGCCAACCAGTCTGAATACCTGGCATCCACCATTCAACCAATCGTCGCATTCATGGTACTCTGCAGCGTCGCTATCCACGGTCTGTCCATCCCGTTCTCGCTCCTAGGCCGCCGCGTGCATTCAGTGTCTCGTACGTGGTCCCGCCACACTACACCCGCCACACCGGATTGGGCAACGCATACGCGGCACGTCACGCGTGCGGAAGATGTCATCATCAACCGTGACCCCGCTGGACTCGAGCGTGGCGAGGGCGGGTTGACAGAGGATGAGAAGTCGGCACTTGAGAGCAAGCGTGCAAGCACGATCACTGCGTCGCCGCTGAGTCCCGACGACGTGGAAGAGATTGGTGAGGGAAGCAGTGTGGAGACGCGCGCAGAAGCTGCACTGGCGAAGGACGAGGAAGATATGAGGGAGGAGATACCCCCTGATGGGAAGGATACGACTGCAGAATGGAAAGAAGGCCCGCATAAGATTATTGAGCGACGAGGTGGTCCTGGTGAAGAGGTGCGTGGGTTGATTGACGCTGCTGCTGCTGATGTTGATTTCGTTATAGGTCGATGTTGAGGTTATTTATAACGCGTTCAAGCGCTCGGAGGGAGTCACGCATTCGCGGTTCCCTGCAGGAGCAGCCGGCGCCCTGCATGCAGGTCGCACATATCTTCGCAGGTTACATCATGCGCCTGAAGAAATTCACCGGGGAGCTGAACACGTCGAAGAAAACATTAAGCATGATATACATGCCTTAGAATCAAAGACCCGAGAAGTTCTTCACATTGGTGGCTCGAGCGATGAAAACACCGGGGCATGTGCCGAAGGTGATGAAGACGAAGAGGGATGGGCGTCGGACAAAAGCGGAGATGGCGATGGGCCTGCGTACTCATCTGGGGAACTGCCTGGCGGTCACAGGAAGCGTCTAAGGTCATGGAAAACGAAGGGCGCGACCCATCCCGCTGCCGCGAGAAGTGCGAGGAACAATCGACGAAGACAATCAACGGGTGACGGAACGTTCTCCAGCCATGCTAGGCAACTTCTGGAACAGGACCCACCGTTCGCCTCAGCGACTGACCCGAGCGAGAACGTGCCGTTGGATGATGATGACCAGCGTGGGAGAAGCCATGCGCCTCACCGACAGGGATCAGGGCACACTTCCCGTCGCTCCATCCAACATCGACGATTGGAATCTCTGAAAAGCAGCGAACATAACTCGCGTGATGTCTCACCTGCTCGGTCGGTCCGATTCGTCGACGAAGAGCCTTGGAATGGTGCAAGTACTCCCCGGACGATGCTTGACCAGACGGCCCAGGGCAGTTCTGTCGAACCGCCTTCGACTGACGACTCGGAGTCGAGAGGGAAAGTCACATTCGGCCTCACCCCTGTGAGACGCGTGTCTGAAGACTAATATTATATATATATCTCTATCTCGATGCGTTTTGGGTCGCCTAGTCGCGACATTAAAATCATTCGAATATTGCTTTCGTCATACCATAACCTCATAACTTGTCGTCAATGTAGCATTAATGGCTTTGAACATGATGTATAGCTATAGATACTTATATCGTCTCCAAGTTACCACTGTATATGAAAGACATTTTGATATGACTGCACGATAGATCTGATAAGGAGGAGCACCAATTTCAAAGCTGTGCCGACTACAGCGCGTATACCAGTAACTTCCAATAACTTGAAGAACGGGGCAACGAAGACAGCACACGGTTCGCGATCAGCACAAGCTATCTCGAATGGAAGCTGAACGCCATCGATATGCTCTGTGACGGCACGCAAACCAGACGTAAACCCGTCTTCATGAAATCCATACCCAAGCCACGCTCCCGCGAACATAACACCGCCGCGCCCCTGGATATTCGGCATTACCTTTTGTGCGATGATCGCCTGACAAAAGGGGAATGTGAGTAAGTAGGTGTATGGGCAATGGGCATAAAGACGTAACGAAACGCACCTTGGTGTCGAGGATGGGGTGGTTGTAGGCGAATCGTGCGGCGGTCTTAGTGACGTCTGGATCTGCTGGTGGGTTGAGGGTAACTAGCACTGGGCAGTGAAGATCCTCTGGCAGATGCTGCAATTCGTTCATGTAGTCTCAGAGGTGCCGTTCATTAGTATTATTGAAGATGATGACGCGGTATTCCATCGGCTTACATGTTCTGGAAAGTGGATTTCAGAATAGAATACTGACAAGGGGATCATGACTTACAGGGCGACTTTGTCTACGTTAGCCTTATATCCACCATCGTCGTTTGAAGTTGCCAGTGGAGAACGTGAGGTAGTTCCAGCAAGACCACGCAGTCCTGGCTTTTGGCATCAACTGGAGGAGAATGAACGGCGAGACGTGATATAAGGCGCAGGAATACCTACATTAATGTCACTGTGCAGCACTACGACATTCTTGTTCCATGTGAAACACTTGAGGATCTCTTCCTCGTCATCACGAAGATCGCGTCCGCCTTTCAGAATTGACATGCATGCGTCCGAATGACAAGCCATAATAACCCGGTCGTACACTGTGACAGCCTCCTCGTTGCCCGTCTTCAGAAGGACGGTGTTATGGCCTTCGCCTTGGGATGTTCTGCATATCGATGTGACAGGAGAGGACAAGTGTAACCTTTCCTTGGGAAGTTTTGACAATATCGTATTAACGTAGTTGCGACTAGGAAATGAAGTCAGATTCGATGGCCTCTATCGTTAAACTGCGTTACGTTACCTGCCACCTTCGATAGTAAGCCATGACGGTTTACCTGTAACCTGTAGCAGGTGGTGATTACTCATAAACTGTACCTGCAAATTTTGTGAAGGCTGTCAAAATTCGACCGAGTATACGTGAAATAGTTACTAAAGTCCGAGCGGGGAAGTTCATGAGGCACTTCTCAGGTGGCGTACTCCAAATCGCAGCTGTCATAGGCTCCAAAACTATCAGTAAAAAATCTCTTTCTGGTTAAAGAAATAGACGATACAATCAAATAATTGTCCCTGAAAGATGGAGAGTATCCTTCGCGATCGAGGTAATCTCCTATCGACAAATTTGGATCGTCGGAAGGGGCCTTGCTAGAGACGAGGCGTCGTGCACAGGCGTTGAACCTAAGCACATCGTAGACTAGTCGCCACATGTCGGGATCCAGAAGACGTGACGGCTGGCAGAACAAGGTCGCCAAATTTTTGCCAGCCCATTCAAAGAGGCCCCAGTCCCTGCAGACGCTGAACGTCATCTCAGTTTGAAGAATGCGAATTTTGGGAGTGCGTTGTAGAAATCGCAAGAAATTGGGGTATGTGGTTGGATTGAAGACGATCTTTGCATGACGGTAGATCAATCATACAGCGCGGGATATGGGAAAGCGAGATGACCAGCACGTACGAATCCTCTGGCAACAAAGGGTTAACTAGAATTCAACCAACTAAAGTGAAAAGGACACCTACGTGTCCACATCAACTGCGTCATCGTCTGATTTGCCTGGAGGTACGTATCTGACGGTATTCGCATGTCCTCCCGCACGATCGTCAGCTTCATACAGGTGAACTTCATGAGGACTATGTTCGTTTAACGCCTGGAACATGCCCCAGTTGTCAATCGTCACATTCCGGAAACTATCATAGCATTAGGCGCACCCATGTCGCGGCTAAGCCAGAAACGCCCGACCCTACGACAGCGATTTTCATCGACGGCCTACCGGTTGCGCGAAGATAAACAGAAAGAAGGTTATGATAATGCAGGCAGATAGAGGTCGGAATCGAACACTCGTGTTATCATGGCCATCGCATATGCATAGTATATGAAGTAATCGACACGCTCCCTCCGTCTGGCTCGGGGGACTTACGACCTTGCGGAGACTATTAATCAATCGCACGATGGCCCCCCAAGCAGAAGTGCATCCGCCTTCTTCTAGAGTTCGCAAATTTTAACGGGGATGATGGAATGCTTAATGAGTCAGTTGTGGGTCGATAAAAGAAGGACTTGGTTCGTCTTTCTTCGAATTCTTTGGTGGTGTAGTTCGGAGAGACTGTTATGACAATCGGCTGGTTATTTCGAGGTTCCAATTCACTTGCGGGGAATCAAATCCAGGCAAGGCATAACTCATATGTTTGCCTTTCGTTCAGCGCTCCCCGCACACTTTGTGTTGAGACTGCAGCTGCTGTGTCCGCATAGATCGACGAAATGGACTTGCCGGAAAAGGAGCACGTGCTTCGTGCATCTGGCAACTTTACCCTGGACCCTCCGTTCACCGAAGTTACTTCTATTAAGCACGAAGCCGCGGATGCCGCGAGGGGACTTCTCTTGACTTCACAAGAGCAACTAAAATTGCCATCAGCATCAGGATCGCTTCCGTCTGAATTCAGTATGTGGCTTACGGCCCGACTCGTCGAAGCCCGGATTCTCCTACATCTAGAATCGGCAGCAATGTCGGTCTTTTGAGAACACGAGAACCCCGAGGCCTGACATCAATCCTTTGTCCGTACAGCAAGGATCAGGGAGGAACTTGCCGTCCGTTTATTTCGTGGTTGTGGTCGCTGGTGTTAGCGCCACCTTTAAACTGCACACCTGTGATCATCAGTTGCTTTCCGTAGAACGTGTCAAGCAACACAGCGCTCACCCAAAGGAGCAGCGGCAATGTTTTGTAATTAGTATTCAGATATCAGATATAACAACACCCACCTTCACCGCCGCTGATGGAAATATTGTCAGACTGTATTTTCTGTGACATTGTAGTGCACACGGAAAAGATCACTGTTCTCGCAGCTGTTGGTCAAACATGAAGGCACAGATCTTGGCTGACCATTCGCAGTCACGGTCAAAATAACGCTCCCGTCTCCGCAGTAGGCTTGAAGGGTATGATCGTGGTGGTGTGGTTTACAAGGTCCAGTTGGCGTTAGAGATAATAGAATCCACTTTGGGCTCCTGGTAAACTGTCCGTATATCCCCATTCCGTAAACGCGGGGTGGAAATGCAGACACCGCAGATGGGCCGCAGCTGGGATGGGAATTCCGTTCCGTTTTCAAGTCATATCAGTGTAAGGCGAACACTTTCATTCAAGTCATCAGAAAAGGGCAAGCGATGATCGTATGATTGTAGCTTTGCGAGCTAAGTCAGGACCTCCACACAGAATGAAACTGTCAATAGTTTGCAAACTCGATGGAACTATTATTGACGGGGATTCCTTTGGTGCGCCTTCCAAAAACGTCGGTTCGAGACTACCCCGGGGCTAGCTCCACATACTTGACAGCTAGCTCTCGGTTCTCCGCAGTAGACCTCCCATAATCATGCGAAGCTGGGAAGAGCTGGGAGTATAATGACTAGCAAACCAACTGTAATGGGGATAAAACGTTTCAGGAAATGGAAGCGCACCCCTGGAAGTTACTCTGTAGATATGTTAAGCTTTCCACTGTCGAGTACAAGAATGAGGGACTCGCCCGTAAAGTATACATTGGACACTCAAAGATTAAGGTTGAAGGCAAGCACGAAATTGCCCGTCACTACGCGGTATTGATTGCAACCGATTTGCCTGCTTTTACCTGGTGGTTTTGGACCTATTTTTTGAAAAAAGGACCGAGAACCTCCCTGTGACCCCAAGGGTCCGCAGGAGTCCGGATCTGCTAGGATCGACAGCTGAATGATACTTGGCCTGTCAGAAAGAAGAGGTACTTGAGAAAACACGCACTAGCTCATAGTAACAGTACAGATAATCCGCGACAACTGGTCCACTCATCTGATTTGAAATAGTGGAAGCCTTGTGGGCACGAATGCCTTACAATATATAATGAACGAGCTCGAGTTTTCAAAATCAGTACCCGTAGAGGAAGCTCTACATAGAGCATACTACGCGCAGAACCTCGCAGAACCATGAACATTTGTAATTTATTTCGGCTCACCGTCCCGCTGATCCAGTCCCGTCGTACTTCTCCCGCGGCATGACTACAATCATGAAGCGCAGTTTGCTCCATGAAAAGTGGGGGAAAGTCCAAGGCAGGTCCCTTTTGAGTTTTGCACGTAGTCTTGCCAATGATTATGATGCCTGTCCGAAGTTCGCCTGAACCTTGTGATGACCCTATTGCCATGTGCAATGCCTCCAGCAGTCGACTGAGCATGTATATGAGTGCAGTGATCATTGAAGTCGACGACGCCAGGGAATGGGCTGGGTGGGTGAAACAAGCAACCTTAACTTTCTGCAGGATGTCAATCCGACTCAAGTCGTAACCAGGCACCCGGCAATTCCAATACTATATGGCAGGGCAAGATTGAAAGTGCCTAGGAGCAGCATATCTGACTGCAGCCTCGAACCACCATCCTTACCGCTAGTAACCAGAGAATTAATGGAAGCCTAGCATTAACGAGAACGATTGTTGTGATGATGAGCGGGACCGAGTGTGGAGAAACGGTGTACGTCATGAGGGCCTTGTTAATTAATTCCCACCGTCTCGTCGAGTGATCGGGGAACCTTACACGGAGGGCTTATAATACTAGTAATCATAGACGTTGGACGTCGAGGCAATGGTAGCCTCAACCTCGTGACACAATTGGGGAGAGTTCAATACAGATCACGAGGCCTGGGATCGAGTACATTCACAATCCAAAAAGTAAGTCTAGTGCATTCACAAAGATCGCAGTGATAAACCAGTCGCTGAGAAAACAAATACAACATGCTAATGCCTTTTATTGTGGCGGTATACAACTTCCTTCCAAATCCAAGTTACGGTTGTGTCTACGTTAGGTGCCAGGTACGAGTACTGCAGTAGGCGCTGCACTTGAAGATAAAAAGATCAACGGCAGAGCCAGATTCGATGAGAAGGCGCGATCCGTGCGTAGAGTTTGGGGTGGCCGAGGTGTCACGAGGGGTGTTATGAATAGTAATCGGAAGCTGTTACCAGTCTAAATTGTAGTTATACGGTGCCTAGATGACCAGATTATCGCACAGCTAGTGATCGAGGGGGAAAGTACATACCACTAAACTTGTTGTTGAGAATTTCGTGTCAAGCCTCCGATTGAAGTCCTGTCATAGTGAATCCTCAGGATGCATTCCAGCAGAAGTAGATAAGGATGACCACCGCACCCGCCAATCTTCCTCTCGAATGGTTGGCATCGGCTCCTGCATTGGTATCCGTACTGACTGCCGCATGGATTCGGTAACGATACTGAAAGTCGCCGACTTTCCTCCTTCACGGTCTGTGCCCCGACCTCGTATTATTTTTCGGGTGTTGAGTCTAAGCACCAATATAAGTAAGATACTAAGAACAGCCTCATTATCCGCTTACGTAGCCAGGAATGATATCGCATACACTGGAGAAGACTATCTTAGCTTGATGCAAGAGTGGCTTGCTGATGACTTACATTTGCTCAGAACGAAGTACATGCATATAAACACAAAGTTCATTGGCATGGCGTTGAACTTTACATACAGATCAGTCTGTGAGACCCGCAACATAATATGATTACACACCAGAATAAGGGTCGACAGGCTGACAGTGCTGTGTATTATATCAGGCTTTAAACTTTGGAGAGCGATGATGAGACACACCTGGTAAGAATACCGGTGTTCACTGCATAGATTGACAACTTATTAATCAGGGAGTCCGCACTAGAATAGCTGATTTGTCAGAATACATGGCAATGAAAAGTTGTGAGACGCACCCCGAATAACTTGAGCGCATTCGCTGAAGGTAAAAGCACAGCGCAGCAGCTATGCTCATGTCCGTAAGGACTCCGATGCCCAAGGAAAAGCTTCCCACCAACTACTACCGGTGAGAATGGATAACAGATCAAAACGAATTTACGCACCCGCACACGAGTCATGTACGAGAAAGAAGGAACCTGGAAGCTGTTTCGTACACTACATCAATATACTTGACGACGCTCAATATAAGGAATAGATGGACCATTTTACAGTGAATGCTGGTGAAGGCGAAAATTAAGAATAGTCTTGACCCTAGAATCTATGTACTCACTGATTGCTGTACCTGACATTGATACACATTTCATCAGTCTGACGTTCGGCAAGGACACTAGCACAATACCCTTACCAAGTTGTGAAAAGACCAACAAGAACTTCGAAAGGAACCTTATCAGTACGGCGAAATGCGAAATCAAGGGAACAAAATTCGACCCACCAAAAATCCCGTAAGCCACCAATTTCTATAGCTGACTGTGCGACCATCAATATAAAAATCTAGAGTGACGTGAAAACAGCTGCCTACATCTCCAGACTCGTATTGTGAAGCACCTATAAAAAGGAAGGTCAATTATATATTCACCCCGGTAGAATCTTTGCACTAACGCCTTCACAACGGCGCCAACGACAGCCTGAGCGCTTCAATTAGATACGTCCACCACAATTAGCTCACAGGAGAAACTCACTCCCAAAGTCATTTGTAACTGTTACACGAAAGAAGTTCAGTTTATGTCAATGCCCAGTGAAAGTATGACTTTACTATAAGAGTCCTAACACACGCGTTAAAACAAATAATTCATTACGTGAAACAGAGGGGCTCACCACTGAGGTCTTCCCACAGCCAATGGGAGTGGGTTCAAATAGTTACTAGTGGGTCATTGAGCGGCGTGAGGCGAGGATGACAGGCTACTCACGTGATGGTATAATAATATACGGCGTATCCAATAAAGGCTTGATCGATAAGAGAAAGGAACCTTTGGTGATATGAGCCTTGTTTTCAGCAGGGCAAACATTCACCTCACCATATTGAGGCAGCCTAGCCAGATTTCGTTTTATTATAAGCCTGAGCATAACCCGGGACCATTGCTGCACTTACGAGAACTTTATATGCAGCCTTGTCCTGGGGGAAACGCCTATAGTAGATGAACACCTGAATGGTCAACATTCCAAATGCACTGTAACGCAAGGTCAGATTCAGCCCGACAGGGCAAAGCCATAAGTACTTACGTCGCAGAGACAGCGAAGCCTATAAGCAAAGCACCGAGGGTGTTATCGAAACGCGGGACGACGAGATCTACTGTTGGCATTTTGCAGAAGAAGCCCAGTCAACCGGAAAAAACAAAGGAGTGAGTGAGGATGAAAATTGCGCTAGACAACAACTTGAGCTAGAACGCAGAATGAAATAATCGGCCGTAACGCGAGCGTTATGGTCTCGGGTATACTCCGTAAACGGATTGGATCACTATCCGAAGAAGTTATGGATGCCGACAGCCTGCTGTGGTGGGCGATGCTCCAGAGTCCGAGTACCGCGCTGGTCCGTTGAAGAAGGCGTTGATTGTGAATTAGAACAGGATTTAAAATTGCATCCCGGAAAATTTGATCAGAAGGGATCTTCCGCTTTTTTTTTCTGAAATGTCAATGCCAGTGTTCAATTGCAACAGATCATGCACATGCCCGCTACTTAAAGCAAGGGGTTCAATTTCAAATTGACCAGGTTCACTTATGTAAGGAGTGACCAAAAACGGAAGCGGAGGATTCGCGGGAGGACCTCTGCAGGTGCTCGGAGGCGAATGTCGGACAAAAAATTCCGGTGACTCTCGGGCAGCCTGTCCTTTTACCTTTACGGCCTACGTGCGCTCGTCCGTGTCACATTGTACTTCATAACCGTATCAGACCGTATCACAGAGAGTGCATGCATGACACTATGAGGTGCCGACCGTCTATTAATATATGTTATGTTCCTGAATTGGTGATCACAGCAAAGTAGCATATGCGCAATTTCTTCAGTTCAACCCAGCTCTCGGGTGTGAAACATCGATGAAGGAGAAACGATCACGACACAATGTCACCAAATGTCCAGTACGGACCGATACAAGCTTTTGCACTGATTTTGCACAAACGATTATCTGGTGCGGCGTATTGGATATCGGTGATGGACCAAACTTATCGTGACTTAGTATTGGTCTGATCTAAACTAGTCCGTCCATCGTTAATATCAACACCTTTGAAATATACTGTACTTACTGGTCAAAAACCTCGGGAGTCAATTAGACTGATAGACAAGCGCTGGACAAGCCGCAGCCCGTTATAGCAGGTAGGCACAGGGCGTGTGCCAAGTACGCGAGAGCGCATGATCCATTTATGAGCGTCACCGAGAACCGATGGTTACGCACCAAAGCAAAGATAGGATCTGAATGTCAACTGCGGCATGTGATGCATGTGACGGTCCATCATTAACATTGATGATTCACACTGCGCAAAGTGACGGAATATGCCAATGCCAATCAGAGTCAGTGGTGACCGGCGAGTCGCGACTGAAGTCACGTAGGAACCGATGTCATGACGGTGATAGTATCAATGCGATTACCATTCACTGCATCATTTCTGCTATCTATCAACTCTGTCGGGCGAGATAGCATTTTGCAAGGACGCGGCGCAGTACATCCACTAGTTAACCAATATTGTCCTGGCGTATGATAAGGCTTCGAGTCGATATGAGTACCTTGGTCTGACATGTTAAAAATTTAAGACACACTAGCATCGTGGGGCGCAATACTTGCCCGCAGCTTCAAATGACACACGCACGCCAAGTCTCGCTAAATCAAGGCGGTTCCAATTTAACTGCGTCACCTTCCCCCATCTCCCCAATTTCAACACTCCAAACCCGATCCACAATCTGATGGAGATCAACGATCACCCAAACTCCAGAGACACTCCCACTCTCGCCGAACAAAGCCCCAACACATCTTTCTCGCAGCAAGCCCACCACTTGGCGTCACACTCGATATAGTATGAACGCCAGCTGCAGGATGAGGCAACGACAGCTCTCGTAAAACATGTCCTGGAGTCAGAATAGACCCAGTACATATTGGTTACCAATCTGCAAAACGCATTCACTGCATCCTTTTGCAGCACACCATCTATCAACCAGGCACGAGGTCTGAATCTGTTCAGCGAGATAGCATTTTGCAAGGACACTGCGCCGATTGTAACACCTTCGTAACTTTCCAGCGCATGACATCGCCACATGATATGTGCATTACGCAGTACACCCATTAGTTAACCAGCGCTTGGCGTCCTAGCGTACGATAAGGCTTCGACACGAGCGACCTCGGCCTAGTGTGTGCAGTGAGAGCGGGGGTGTGCGAAGTCAATTGTGCGCGGTCCGTTTCCGGGGTGTCGTAGATTAGAGGCTTTGCAGGCAAGGTTGGGGGTCGCGCTACCGGCCACAAAGAAGTATACATATTGAATTCCGCGCATGTGTCTATCGTAGGATAAACAGGATTAAAAAATACACATGAGTAACCTGTTCCGGCAGATTGAAAGTTCAAAACACTCACTAGCCTCGTAATCGTAAGGCGCGCAACCGGTCCCGCTAGATCAAGGCGGTTCCAATTTAATGCCACCTTCCCCTATCTCCCCAATATCAGCACTCCCATCCCGATCCACAATCTGACGGAGAGAAGCACGCGTCAACGATCGTCCAAACTCCGGCGGCACGCCCACTCCCGCCAAACAAAGCCCCAACACATCTTTCAGAGCAGTCGTAGTCGTAGTCGTAGTCGTGGCGAGCCCACCACCATTGACGCCAGGATTAGGCACTGACAGCCCTCGTAAGACATGTCCTGGAGTGAGAACAGACCCTACTTTCCTCCCTCGTTTAGTCCGCGTCTTGCCTTGTCCGGCACCACCAGAACCGGCACCACCACCAGAAGCAATCGCCATATCCCGTTTTGCAACATCCACTGCAGACCGTACAAGGACAGAAATAAATGGTTTGAGCACAGCGGCTAATAGCGCTGACGGCGCAAGCGCTTCATCAACTTCTGAATTTGTGTGACGGTTGTCTAGGGAGGGGGAGGGGAGATCGGGAAAGTGTGGGAGGCGCAAAGAGCCGACGCTCATATGAATAGCAAGAGTGAGGTCTGGCGGATTTAGCGAGACGATCTGCCGGGGAGTGTACCGCCAAGGTCTGAGCACTGGAGAAGAAACCGAGGAAACCAGAGGCTGATGCGCTAGTCCTGCCGTTCCCCCAGCATAGAGGGCAGATTCGAGTCCACCTCCTAAAATCTTCGTCAAATCCACAATAGGTATTCGTAAACCCCGCTCAAGTTCCTGCCGCGGAACGATATCGCAAACCCAAACTACCGTCTCGTCAAAAGTAGGCTCCTTCTTCACTTTTGTCGTGACAGCAAGTGCAGGGTGCAAGCGTTTCTTGATGCCACAGACGACGCAGGGTTCATCGACGGGCGAAGGCGTCGATTCTTTCTCTTTCTCTTTCTCCTTTTCTTTCTTCTCTTTCCCACTCGGGACGGGAACTTCGGTCTTTGCAGAGGAACGCGGAAAAAGCCCCGAATCTTCTAGGAAGGCATAGACATCGCCTACAGTGAGTGAAATCAGTTCTGCAGAGTCCGAGGCCGAAGCGGCGTGCTGGACATAAAGTGCTTGCAGCGCTCGTGCTCTTCCCCACTACCATCAAACAATTTTCAAAACACCCAAAAACAACAATGCCTCAAAAATACGTACTTCGATAGCCTTGCGTCTCCCAGGCACAAGCGCCAGAAGATGCGCCGGCGAAGGGACAAGTTTGTACGGTACTTGCACGTGTGTACGGAACTTCATATCTATGGTCACGTCATATCAATCAGAATGGAACACGTGTAACGCTGGCTAGAAGAATAATACCTTTGAGCGTCATAGGGACCCTTGGTAATAAACTCCGCAGAACCTTCTCATATCCGAATTCATCTCCAGATTCTTGATGTTTGGCCGCAGATTGCCTTGTACTTTCTGCAGGTTCACGTTCCAAAGAAGGTAGAGGCGGTGTAGGTCCAGAGGGGGCAGGGAGGAGGCGTGTCCCTCTGTCGAGTTCGACATCGAGGACTTGTTCTGAACCGAGGACAGAGCTTCCAGAGTTAGCGGGGTCAAGCTACGTGAAGAGTGAATGCGAGTGATGCGAGCACAAAAGTAAGACATACATCAATCCAGTGTTCTACTTCCATTCTCCCGCCACCAGCCCACTCCATCACGACCTTTGCAAGAAAGGGCTCAGAAAATGAGCCTATGATGGCAAAGGGTAATTTATCCACGGTACAAGGCTGTCGTTGTGTGTTATCAGATGGTGCCACTGCCAAAACTGTCAAGCGTATCATGAATGAGGCCAGAGGTATCGACTATAAGCGAGATATATCACAAGGCTTAGAGGAGGGGAAAGGATGCACGCACGTAAGAAGGAGCAGTCACACTGAGCATCCAACGGTGAGTATGCGATGGCGGAATGCTTAGATTTACCCGCCGACCTGCGCAGATGTCAAACTCCAAAACGAAAGTGTAGAAAAACGGGAACGAACCTGGAGAGACATATAAACTTCTATCTGTGATATGGACACGAGCGGTGATATGGAAGCGAGAAGTCGTGCTTCCTGGTATTGCAGGGGCTGCCGTGTTCTCTGTATCGTTATCAACAAATGCGGGCACGTCAACAATAAGATCGAGTTCAGGACGAGCTCTATTTCGATGCGGATAAGCCATTCGCCAAGGGTGACCACCCTCTTCTCTCCTCTCAACCCCTTCCCTGCTATCCAAACTGGGAGACGGCCTAAGCGGGGCAGTGTCGATGATAAGAATGTCAACTTCCGTATCCTCCTCATAAGCATGTATGCATCTTCGTTTCGGAGTTCTGCCCAGAAATGGAGCAAGCGCAGGGGAGTCTGCATGTAAACCGAGGGTGCGTGAAAGAAGGGTGCTGGGTATCGCCGCTCCCTGCCGTTCCTCGGGAAGAAGAGGAGCAGGTAAATTAACACCAACAGCACGTTCGAACAACCGTTGTAGGCCAACAACACTACCACCCCAGGGTACTTCAACACCTTCCTCCTCGACTCGTTCCTTCTCCGCATCGTTACTGGAGGGCACCGGAACAGCGCAAGCAGTAATGCACGCGTCGTGGCTGGCCCATTCAATGCCATGGGCAAGTCGCGCATGATTCAAGAGCCCTTGCAGTGTGGTGAACTGTATGCGAGTACAAGTGGGACAAGTGAGAACGGCAATCTGCTCATCGACGTCTATCTGTGAAGGGGGGAGACGGATATAGAGCAGCTTTTTCTGCGGGTGGAGTTTCGTTGCAGTGGTACGCGTAGGCCTGACCTTTGGAGGTATTCGTTCGCGCTGAGTTGTGGCGACAGGGGAGAAAAGAACGGAGGGAGGGAGGTTCAGTGTCGTCATATAAGGGCTCTTCTCGATCAAAGAGGAATGCGCAAGGTGCCTCTACAGCGTTGAGAGCGTCTAGAGCGGCTTCTTGAAATTCGTCTGGTGCTACATCAGGAGTTGGAGTGGACAAGTCTCGAGCGAGAGCTTCTTGTAGCATAAGAGCCCATGTTATGCGAGAGTTGATGGTGTTTAGAAGACGTTGGCGGATAGCAATTTCCAGGTCGATCTCCTCAGAAATAAGCTGGCGTATTCCAAGGTCGGCTTCATCTAAGAGAAATATCAGACGCGGGTCATCAAGCTAACAATCCACCCACCTTCTATCATGGATTTAGTTTCAGGGTCAACGTCGCGGTCCTCGTAAAAGCGCCTGCGTTTGTGTGGGGGAGATTCGACCACATCATGTAGGGAAAGTGAATAGGCTCATGTACACCCATCTATCGTCGCTACTGGCAGAGGGGAACAGGACCAACCCCCGCACAAGGGGTCGAAATTCGCGTTGTGTCACATTCACGTCACGCGCAAGCTGTCACACGCCTGCTCACCACCATCCACGACGATCAAGACAACCAACAATGGGTATTAAAGGACTAACCGCGCTCATCTCCGAGCATGCCCCAAAAGCTATCACAGAACACGACATAAAAACCCTCTTCGGACGTAAAGTCGCCATAGACGCGTCAATGTCCATATACCAGTTCCTTATTGCAGTCCGTCAAAAGGACGGAGAGATGCTCACGAACGACGCGGGAGAGACGACGAGTCATTTGATGGGTTTTTTCTACCGTACTATACGTATTGTCGAGAATGGTATCAAACCTGCGTATGTATTCGATGGCAAACCTCCTGAACTCAAGTCGGGTGTGGTATGTGGCTGAGTTATATCGCTGTTCATCGTCCTCACTTTCTTATAGCTCTCGAAACGGTTTGAAAGGAGGGAGGAGGCCAAGGAAGAAGGTGAAGAGGCTAAAGAAACAGGCACTGCAGAGGACGTCGACAGGCTCTCCAGACGAACGGTCAAAGTCACAAGAGAACACAACGAAGAATGTAGAAAGCTATTGAGACTCATGGGTATCCCTGTTATCGTAGTATGTCTCTTATCTACTTCTCCGCTCAGCTGATAACACCCTCTCAGGCGCCATCCGAAGCCGAGGCACAGTGTGCAGAACTCGCTAGGGGAGGAAAGGTCTGCAACTCGTCGTTCTGTAAATGTCGGTACTCACCAAACCCAGGTATATGCGGCAGGCTCAGAAGATATGGACACCCTCACCTTCAACGCACCCATTCTCTACCGACACCTCACCTTCTCCGAGGCAAAGAAGGCACCCATAAGCGAAATAAACCTCTCGAAGGCGCTCGAAGGCCTCGAGATGGAGATGCCACAGGTCTGTTCCATAGGCACTCATTCATTCCGAAACTGAAGTTTTCCAAGTTTATCGACCTCTGTATATTACTAGGCTGCGACTACCTCGAGCCAATAAGAGGAGTCGGACCTAAAAGCGCATTAAAACTCATACGAGAGTACGGTGGACTCGCGGGCGTAGTCGAGCATTTGCGAGAGAAGTATGTGATTCCAGTTGTGAGCTTCATCATGTCTCTGACACGGTTACTTTACCCAGGCAAGTAGAGAAGGAGGAGAAAGCTGTCGACGCAGAAGACGGTGCCAAGAAGAAAAAGGGAGGCATACAGGTCCCCGATGAGTGGCCCTGGGAAGAGGCAAAGAAACTTTTCCAAAAACCAGATGTAGTCCCAGCTTCTGAGGTCGAGGTATGATCTGTCCCTCTACTAATTAGATGTCCACTTACGTTTCTTGCCAGCTCGAATGGAAAGACCCAGATATCGATGGTCTCGTACAGTTCCTGGTCACTGAGAAAGGGTTCAAGTAAGCCTGGTCTTCTACCCACCAACCGCCAACTGACGCACATAAAGTGAGGACCGAGTCCGCAAAGGTGCCGAGAAGCTACAAAAATTCTTAAACGCAAAGCAACAGGGCCGCCTCGACGGCTTCTTCTCAGTACAACCGAAAACATCGCCGAAGAAAACAAAGGCCGACGACGCAAAATCAGGATCAAAAAGCAAGACTGCAAAAGACGGAAAGGGGACAAAACGAAAGGTAAGAATTTGTACGAGATCCAACGGTCTTCATTGACGTCATTCCAGGCGGACGACAAAGCCGGGGCATCAAGCAGCAAAAAGAGCAAGACGAAGAAATAGGCGTAGCACAATTCCTCTTTCGCTTTAATTATTTGCTACGTGTTTTCCGACGTCTGCACCATCTTATTAATGTTTGTATCACAGCATGTATTTCTCCGCATTGTACAGTAACATTACGCCCATTCTTATCTGATTAACCCTGCAATCTAACGACCATCTCTTCTGAATCCTTCTATCACGCACGATGTCCCATAATCACCAAACACGTGTAGTATGCGTTTCTGCAGGAGTCAATGACCGTTTCATTCAGCGTGATCAGATCGCAAAAGGTGGAGTTAGACAGGCACGACATGCAAAAGGTCGAACGCAGGAGGCCTCGTGTTTGCCTCGGTTTCGGGCGCTGGCCGAGAGTGGCACATGCACATACACATGCCAGACTCCTGACTTTATCCTCGACATCGACAAAGGATTATCTCATCGGGGTACACCCAAAGCCCGTTGTCCATCGCGGAAAATGCGGTATCGACCGTCAGATAGCGGTGAGTATTACCTGGTTCTCTGGGAGATCCACCTTAACTCATCGATGAACATAAGATTCATCTCATGACATTATAGCCGTCAAAGCCCCCGTGGCTCGCAAACACAGACATCCCCGAGCACCAACGACAGTGCAGATCGTGGATGATGACTTTGACGCTGTGACCCATGACGACTTTGAGACTGCATCGGAGAAGCGGGGGTATGATGGCGTCACGCAGGTGCATGTCCACAAGGATGAGGTGCTTAATGGGGCCGCACGATATAGCGGCGTGTATGGAGAGTGGGCAGAGAGACATGAGGTTAACCATCGGCAGGCTCCTGATCTGCAACAGGATGAATACCTTTATGCCGAAGAACTTGCGAGGCGGATGCTTGATGCGGGGCTCAATGATCAAGAAAGCGAACATTCCTCGCAGAAGCAGCAACAACACAATGGAATCGTGCAGCGCCATACGTCCGAGGCAAGATCGGGAGACGTTGAACGTGGAGGGAAGGTCTCCATGTGGAGGGAAGATGTTGCGAGAAATGAGAAGGATGAATTTGGGAACGTGGTCGGAAACAAGGGCGGTGATACCGCCCAACGGATCCAGCAGTGGCGAAGCAAATCACCGCCAGCTTTACCCAGAGATATAGAGGTCTGTGTCTTATTATCATCAAATCGAGCATGACGTTGACCACCATAACCTGCAGAACCTGAAGCAAGGTCTCAGAAGAAGCCGCTCGAGCGTTTCTCAGACATATCGCTCAGAGAGATTGTACACACCTTCCGATCTCAATGCAAACTGGTCACCTCAGGTGAAGAAAGGAACCACGTCGAAACGCGACAAACGGGGTGGCCCCCCGAGCCCTACCCGTTCGGAACGGATATACACGATGGCTGAGCTGAAAGCGCTATCCAAGCATGCTAGAACCTCACCATTACAACCGCAGCCGACTACTTTTTTACAAGAACCACCACTGACAAGGAGTAGCAACAGCAACTCACCTCCACGCAGCGGTAAAAGCTGGCCTTCCCCACCCGTCATGGGTGTACGTTCAACTTCCACGTCATCGGTTGAAATGGTGCTTGCGTCTTGCGAGCCAACGTTGCTTCACATAGCGCCTGTACTTGCCGGTCTTGGTATTCGGCGTGAAGAGCACCTACGGGCGTTCGCCCGATTGCGAGAAGAGACGCGAGATAGGGAGATGAAGGAGGAGGTGTTGAAGAAAGGCGTGACTGTCCTTGAGTGGGCGATTTTGATGGACAAACTTCAGTCTTTCTGATGCTTACTGGCAAAGAACCGGTTTACTTTGGATAGCGTACGGTACAATATATAGCGATTCTTTCATATAGGTGGGTTCTGTGAATATTTGATTGCATTCGACCATAGTCTCCCTGTAACAGGATTTAACCAACATTCGAAATTACCGACAGGCGGACGTCACCGGACCGACAGCGTCACCCCCTCATATGGTACTCGGTCGTACAAGCGAGTTTGTCATTATTTGTTCCCGGAGACGAGCGCAATTGTTGTGCCCCTATAGTCTTATTAAAGCTTGCATGAGTCTCCTTTGCCTCTCCCTCTACAATGGCCAAATTCTTCGATGATAGCACGTCTGTCACCAATTTCAAGCCACTACCACCCTCGTATGACGCACTTTCGAGGTCTGTTTCACTGGCAGCAGATGATTCCGTCCAATGCAAACGATCTGTATTTTCCTTTCTACGATCCAACCAGAAACCGAGTACTACCGTTCCGAGTACCACAGTTCTACCTACAATTCTACCGTGAAATTGTCTCCTCTCCCGATTTCACGCCTTCCTCTGTCGCCCAAATCGTCAACTCCTGCGCTGCTGCTCTCCCAACGATAGCAGAATTCACCAACCTCTTGCAACAACCCAATATTGAGGGCCACATGGCGCTGTACTTGGCGATCGTAAATAACCAACGGGAAGTCCTTTCGGCGTTTACTAAATTCATTTCCGAATTCTCGCCTGATTGTTCTTCCGACTTGCGTCTTGCATCCATGGGAGCTAGCGATCACGGAATGTTCATGCAGCTAAATTTGGGAAGCAATCTATCGCAAGTACACGGTCTTTAATGCCCCGATGCCAATTAATTCATCGTGCACTATCAGCCAGGATGAGTCTTTGAGACGTTTTTTGGGTTGTCCACCACATGAAATTCAAGTGCATGAAGGGGGTGGACTGAGCGATAGCCACTTCGTTACTTTGTTCCACTTCAGGGTGCTTCAGAAACGCCTACGCATCACACAGAAATTGGGCGTTAAGTTTGTAGCCCGGGGTATGTGGTCCATGTTTTTCGACCTACTCCTCACGCTGATAAGTAGTACCCATGCGCTATTCCCTGCAGGTCGTATATAGATTTTGCGCTTTTATTTGGACCGGAGGGGATGTGGCGCGTTGCATATCATCTTTCTGAGCATAGCTTTCCAGTGCATCCAGACACCGTATCTCTGATAGAGGCCCAAATAGGGCCGCCTGACGCGACCTTAGCACCTCTAAGCATAAAGATGTGATGTTTATCATACACGCTCGTACCTGAGGGGTAGGTTTATTAGTTCGGCCCTTTCGAAGCTACTTAAGGTGTACTGATGGTTTTTTTTTGCTTCAGAGTGTGGTCCTTTGGGGTCATTGACCCTATGTTGGACATTGTCTCGTCATAAGCTTTCTGCCGTGTGATGCTTTTTATTATTCCTATATGGGACTATCCCTTCCCCATTCCTTGGCCAATACGCAGACCCCAATTTACACGGACATCGAACTCGGTAAGGATGCCCCCGATGTTCGGAAGTGGTTGGGTGATTGACTGATGGACAAGTAAGTCCTCTCCCATAAGCCTCCTCAGTTCGATCCGTGTTGCAGAATGTGCAGGTAGCGCTATTTTTATCCATGACATGACGTGTTTTGTGACTCTCCTCCTTGGACCAACTGCGTTGTTGCAGCAATTCTATATATGCTGACTGCGATAGCACCCTACATGCAAAGCAGGAGATGACGATTAAACATCCAGAAAACTGCTGCCAGGCCAGGTCAGTCAGGCTATCTTTTGGATCCAAACAAACGTTTAGAGTGTTGCATGCAATACGGCTGACCGTGGTATGTTGTCACAAAATAACCGGACTCGATCACCGAAGGGGCTATGTTGTCAACATTAGTCTGCCCTAGCCAGACCAATCGAAGGAAGATAGATCCTGTCGTTCCTTCGTACTTGTGGATATATTCATGTCTTCTCCGGGGTTCTTACCTTTCTGACTAGCACATTTCAGACACCTACCCAACAATCAATCCATCTATCAGCATATCAAACTGCGTTAAGTTTGCCAATCGGAGTCTGGCCACTACGATAAGCATTTCTGAATGATCGTGTCTGCATACACGTGACTTTGACGGGTGCATGTGTTGGGAAATTCCAATACATTAGCGCTAGCTCCCTCCATCTTCTTCGACATAAATTTAAGGTTTGGCATGCTGCACAGACGCAGCTTCGTGTCGCCGATCGATGATGGTATTGAACACGGTCGAGGTGGATTTGAGTGTAGGGATTGTGGATGTCTTGCTCTAAGCTGCGGAGGTGCATGGGTTGTGCATTTTATGCTGCTTCACTGTATTAACAGGTTTCATGATCTTGTCGTATGGTTGCGTGGTTGCGTATCTTGATAGAGTCGGACAGACAGACCATTGGGTCACTAGGGGACGTTCATCGTGCATGTTGTCCTTTTCGGGTCGAGCCAGTCGACATAGACAGCGAATCCCCCGAAGCACCCTTATCCCATGACCTCCCATTGTCTGATTCAGATAAGACTATGACTTTAATCCAAAAAGTGGATGGAGATACCCTTCAACCGCAACCTTACTATTTGGTATGTAATCTTGATTTTACAAACGAGAAATCGTCACAGATGAAGTATCCTACTAGTACTTAGAATTTGTACTTACGGGGACGTGGAAAAGTATGTAGACGACACAATCCAGAGGTGTGTTTGTGTAGCGGTCGAATGTGATTCGACGAGTGCCAAGTTGCTCACAAACATTCTATGGCCCTACTAATAAACGCAAGGTGAGAAGGTTAGACAAGTCCGTTCGACCAACCAATTTTGTGCTCACCTCGATGTGCCGCGACAAACTTCAAAATATCTTCACTGGACGGCCGAACACTGCGGGCGCTCCAGCAACATTCTATCATGTTCCAATGTTCTTCAGCGATCTGAGGCTCCTCCGGGCGTCTAGGTCTTTTGCCATCCACGACCATCACAATAATCTGCATCTGTTGTTTGATATAATAGTAAGGAACCTTCCCCGAGAAAACCTGAAACAGAAATACTTCAGTGGCGGCCACGCAAAGGGACTAATTGAAGCGCACCTGTAGCATTATGCTGCCGAATGAGTAAATATCAGCTTCTTTACTCGGGCGATTTGTTGAAATGCCGTCTTGAGTTTCCGGCAGGGCGAACAGCTCTGGGGCTCCCCACCGAATATTTCCGGCGATGGTAGAAGAGAAGTTTGATGAGCCAAAGAATTCGGATAATACACCAGAAAGCCCAAAGTCCGAAAGACACGCGGTGCCATTCTCCATTACCAGAACATTGGACTGAAAGGTTGTTAGTATTTTATGTGGGAAGGGCTGGTCTCTACGAACCCCACTGAGGTCTCCGTGGACGACTTGATTTGAATGTACTAACGACATGGTCAGCAGTCCAACTATCGACAAGCTGAACGGATACGGACGATAATGCAGACCACTTGCGATATCGAAAAGCTAGCAAAAAATTCATCTCAATAGCTTTTGGAGTGTCGAACATAGACTTACGAGCTGAAATCGATCAGGGATCGAAAGGTCTCGATTGGACTCGAGATACATAGTCAATGATCCATTCTTTGCCCATGGAGACACCATGGCAGTAAACGGACCAAATCCGAGGGCAACCCCATATAATGGGAGGATGTTGTCATGCACAAGTTTCTGCCAGATTCCCAATTCACGCCGCAGCTTCTGATAGAATTGATATCGTGTTTAGCTTTCCTTGAACACGAGATCCAAGTGCTTGCCTTATCTTTCTTGACCCTATCTTCTTCGTCGAAGAAGTAAGATCTAATGGCTTTGACTGCCACATTCTGTGGAGGTTACTGAGAGCCTCATATTTATCTTAAGCCATGTCGGCGAACCTCTTCAGTGATTCCATTCGGTGTAGGCAAAACTAAGACGCCTTTCCAAATATCTCCGTAGCCTCCGTGAGCAACTGGATGATTGGATTCCTTACGAATGTACTGGGTGAGGTCCAAGTCGCTGATTGGTCTGTTACTAACAGAATCAGCAGGTAGTCGACAGATGCTCAGAACTGACACTCATACCTTTGTTCCTGGGCTTGATTAGGTGCAGTAGGCGACATTGCCGCCAAAGGACCGCCTTTTGGTCGTGAGTGCAATCAGATTTGATGTAGGCCAGCGCGGAACTTTGAAGGAAAATTAGTCAGAAGAATGCATAGCAGTAGACTCAAGGCGGGCGGCTGGGCATCGCCGTGTTCAACGTGAGTATTTGAATAGGCGTGCGAGCGGGAAACTACCAAGAGTTTGGCGTTGATGCATTGTTGTGTTATTGCAATACAATAGGCTATGGAAACGATTGAATGGTACACAGTATAGGATGAACGTTGAACGTTAAGAACAAGTGTCAACACATGTGTGCCATATTACTTGCATCTAGATTTCTATATAAGATAACTCGTGTCCGCTGGCCCAATGATACAAACCACAAAACACACCGTAACTCCGTTTGCGATTCTTGACTAGTGGGGGAATGGCGGTTATCGCTGACTTCTGTTACCTGATGTGCCAGAGATAACGAGAGTCACATTCTCACCTTACTGGCATATCGGGTAACAGAAATACATCTAGACTCTGACTTTACATATCAGTTTGCCCAAACTACGTCAGTGGTTCGGTGAGGATCAGGAGTCGGATGTGCCAATGTGAACAGCTCTAGGGAACCTTCCAGACGGGGGCGAGCAGATAAGAATGACGCTGGGTCCGGTGTTGTCATGGAGACGCGTACCGGTGATAAGCATGCTCGTGGGCAATGCGAAGGAAATGCGAACTCGAACAAGGACGCCATGAAAGTTTTGGCATTTGAGTGTTGCGGTCGTAAAGGGCGTCTAGTAATACAGTTCGACGCAAGGATGAATAAGTACATAGCTTTCATTCTAGGAAGGGACAAGCGCTCGCTGCTCACCGGTTGATATTATGCTTTGCTTGAGCCAGGAAGGACCTTTCAATGTTCAAGACCGAAGCTCCATTGATAATGCAACCCTCGAGCCGGCGCCAGCTTGCGCTGAACTCACAATTTCCACAATGAAGTTCCGAAGGAGTTAATCACCTGCAACTATGTAGCTCGAAGGCGACCTGATATATAACAAGTTCAGCTGACTGGTATATCGTCAGGTCACCTTCGAGGTAGTCTATCCGTGGTTCACAATCCGGAGGATCCACCATTAATGAGGCTGCCAGGCAGTGCTGGTCGCCGACTCGCGGTGAGGAAGGAAAGAACAAAGTGCGTGTAAACTAGGGGTAAACAGAGGTAAATAACGCGCTTCACGAGCCAAGTACTACAGATGATCATCGATATCTAAGGTAAGGCTCATCTACTTTAAAATATATATTTTCATACGCAGGAGTTTAGAGGACTTCACAGTCATGAACAATATGAGCACTCAAATCGCAGCCTGTTCACCTATCAAGATAGACTCGGAAGCTGGATCCGAAGTCGACCCACTAGGAATCGGTGCTCCATTACCTGTATCTCAGGTCACCTCAAACCCACCCGAGCCATCGTCATCAAAAGCTCCACCACACGTCAAAATATACCTCCAAGATGATTGTCTGAAGCACCGCTTCATCCGCTCACGAGATACCTCAGCCATCGTGGAGCGACCCGAACGTTTGCGCGCCGTCAAGATTGGGCTCGCTGCTGCCATAGCGCGTATCGAAGAAGCCGAAGGTGCTCTGAAAAACTCAGAGTCACACGCAGACATCTCCGTAGAGGATCAGCTGGCTGCTGCACTTGACAAGATGGATATCGCTACATCCGATGGCGGGCTTATTCGAGCCCGAAGTATTTCTATCGCAAGGAGCACGGCTACGGTTGATCTGTTGGATAATGCTGCTGTGAAATACGTGCATGGAGATATAGACGGGGATGTGTATCTTCGGAACTTGAAAGCGTGGGCGAGGGATAGCGAAGATAATATTACGAAGAAGGGGTCGGAAATGCCGGAGGGTATGCCACCACTTGACCTATTTCGTGCGTGTCTGTCTTGGGGAAAATTCGGGTATGACGCTTATTTTCTGCATGCTTGCAGTATGTCCCTCCTCGATCGACGCTATCCAAGGTGCTATTGGTGCCGTGTGTCAAGCAGTGGATGCAGTCATTGCATCTACTCGCATAAGTGCTTCTGTTGTAGCTACCGGATCTCAACGAGCATTTGTAGCAGTGAGACCGCCAGGCCATCATTGCGGTGAAGATACCCCTTCCGGATTCTGTTTTGTCAACAATGTAGCGGTTGGCGCAGCTCATGGTATGCTTTTTCACTTCAGTTGATGTAAGTTGTTCATTCACTTCGTAGCACACCTCAAGCATGGGATTAAACGTGTTGTGATATTGGACATTGATTTGCATCATGGTAAGTCTTCTTTCAATGGACATTCGTTGGGGACATCACACAAAAATTTGCTAGGGAATGGCACACAATCGATAGTGTGGCAAATCAATGAGGAGACCTACCGACAAACGCTCGAGTCTGAACAATCACCTTCGGAACCGAACGCACCACCTTTCAAACACGGTCCGCAGATATTCTACGGCTCAATACACGATGTTCTCTCTTTCCCATGCGAGGTAAGGACCGTTTCTGTATTCAGTTATTGCGAATAATTGAGCAGCTAATAGGACGGTAAAGCGTCTTTTGTTCAAGCGGCGTCAACGTCAATACACGGACCGCATGGACAGCACATCGAGAACATACATCTGCAGACTTACAGCTCCGAAGCATACTTTTGGGATGTCCTCTACAAAGAACGATATTCTGTGCTGCTGAAGACAGCGTCGCAGTTCCTTGACAGTACTGGTGGACCAGGAGATGATGTCATGGTGTTCATCAGGTGCGTCCATTATATCTCGTACCCATCCCCCCATCGTCGACGGTTGAGACAGTTGTGGGTTCGACGCCTGTGAACACGAGTATCCAAGCATGTCTCGTCATAATCGAAAAGTGCCTACGAGTTTCTATCACCGACTTACTCGCGACACGTGTGCTTTTGCCGATGTGTATGCTCGTGGACGCGTCGTGAGCGTGCTGGAAGGCGGGTACAGCGATCGTGCCCTGAGTAGCGGGGCAATGGCACATGTATGTGGACTCGTTGTGGACACGATACAGGTGGATGAGAGGTGGTGGGAGTTGGAAAACCTCGTCAAGGTATTTTAGCGTTGCAATCCGTCTCTCTGTACCATGCTAAAAGGTATGATAGCTCGAGAAAGCCACAAAAGCCCGTAAACTCGGGCGCCTTTCGCTTGGAGATTCCGATTCCGAGCCGTGGCTTACACGTACCACAGAGCTCCTCTTCCATCTCGACGTCTACCGTACCCCGCCACAGCCATCACGGAATTGGGTGCTTCCAACATCGATGACCCTACGCGAGCGTAAGAAGCCTTCGAGCAACAGCAGCACAACCGAGGTGGCTCGCAACCCCAGGAAGGGTACACACACACCAGCGCCTATGTCTAGTAGTTCTTCGACTTCTACATCTGCGTCTGAGAATGAGGCTGTGAGCCCTCTCATGGCGAAGAAGGTCCCTCGAGTGATTTTGCATGTTAGGCCGCCTGCGGGCACGTCGTGATGGCGGGGTATACGATTTTGTACTTATTATTGGAAGCTTTTAATCTAATGTGTACTTGTTACTGTGATGTGAACAGTAATTTTGCTATTAATATTAGTCTCGGTCGCGCAGAAGATCATGCCAATTGTTCTTGGACCTGAATCTCAAGGCGTCAACGTCGATCACTCGTAGGCGACAGGCTCGATTGCAGGCACTTTTACACCGTTGTATTATACTTGGTCACGCATCGATAGAAAATTGGCTTTAAGCATCACCATATTTTTAGGGTAGCTAAAAATGCAGATTGCAGCACTCGTGAAGAATCTCAGATCTGAGCAGGATATGAAAACCTGTAGGCCATATCCAAACAAACTATGTATCCCAGCTTTTCTCGGGCCACCACTATGTAGTACTGTGATTCTGTGTCCAGTGCCACGGCTGCGGCTCCTTGAAAAGTTTATGGGATAATTATGTAAATGCATTGGGCGTCAATCATCCCACGTAACACAGGCTAGCTAGGTCATTTGTGTTCACCAACGTCCGCGCTAAAAGTTGTTCGCAATGTCAACGTTCGATTATGTAGAGATTCCGCCAGACGTGATTCGTCTGCAATCACCTCCAGGCTCGAGCAACCCCGTACGCCCATTTACAAAAATCAGCACGTCCTTGCCATCATCCTCTTCTTCGCCCGCGCCTCCACCTACAACCAGCACCACCTTTAGCCCGACAAAGTCTCTATCTACCCTCCTCCTTAGCAGCTCTTTTCCTGCCTCGATTCCCGCTTCTGCAACCCCTCGCAAGTCCAGCACAGCTCTGCTGAGCACGAGAGACCCGCTCAGCATTCCAATTACTACCGTCAATTTTAGGAGGTTCGTAGCTAGAGTAGGTTGTGTGTTTTGGTTGCAGGATCGACTGGAGGAGGTGCTTATGTGGAGACGTGGGTGGAAATATACGGGCGTCTGGATCACTGCCTACGCGTTCTTGTGTGCGTGCCATTTTCGTCTCATTCTTGCTTGGTACTCAGTGAACTGCAGGTTATTTCCCTCGTCTAGTGCTACTTCTCCCGCACGCTATACTAGCAGCTATAATGCTCTCGACGTATCCTACCACCTCACCATGCGAATCAACATCAACAAAGAACCCACCTGCTCCAATCGCGCCGCCACCCTCGGAGGGTAGCGTTGACTGGCAAGCAAACCTTCAAGCTATTCAAAACCTTATGGGCGCGTTGTGAGTCTCATTTCTTCCTTGGTTACTTTCTACATATTGTTTATTGCTCTTGTTGCGCAGTTCTGATGTCTACGACCTCCTCTCACCTCTTACTCCCCACCTCATCCACCGCTCCACACATACCTCGCTCATCCTAACGCTCACCCTCCTCTCATTCCTCCTCTTGCTCCCAATCCTACCTCTAATCCCGCTTCGCCTGCTATTCCTTGTCCTTGGGGTGTCACCATTTGCATGGACGCATCCAATCACGCAAGTGCGCATCATACCCCTGCTCAAAGCCGCAGTCAACGGTAGCATCATCAAGGGAAGCAACGCGGGTACTACCTTGACTACTAAATACGCCACCTTGAAAACGAAGCTCCGCCGCTGGATCGACGACGACAGACTCGAAGACAGACATTGGAGCGCTGAGATGCGGGAGGTGGAGTTGTGGGAGAATGAGAGGTGGGCTCCGGGGCCTTCGTCGTCGTCGTCGTCGTTTGGCACGCAGGATGATCTTGATACTGTGGGAGCTGGTTCGAGTTTTGGGTCGGGGTTTGATGTGGGAGCTGGGTCTGGGAGTGCATTGGTTGGTGCAGGAACTGGAACGTGGAGTAAGACACATTTGAGGTCTGCGGATCGTGCGTCGTGGACGAGGGCTAGGGATGGGTGGAGTGGAGTGGGCGGCGAAGTGAGGTGCGTGTTTCTCTTTGTATTGATGTATTTCGAACTTCAAACTGAGTCCCTACGCCCCCAGCAGCAACCTTACGTTCTCGCTCGCACCAGGCTGGGCGTTCGTGGAAACAGAGGGGTGGAAACCTGACACACTTGGGAGCTGGGTTTGTCCTAGTTCTGGTTCTGGTTTCGGCAACGGGGATCCTGTCTTTGGAGCGGACGACAGTAAGTTTGTTATCTTATCATTTGTTTCATCTACCTGACCCCACGACCAAACAGACGGATGGGTATACACCAATGACTATTGGGCCGATCCGCGTCGGACACCTCTCGAGGCATGGAAGGCATCGGGTATGACAAGGCGGAGGAGGTGGGTGCGGAGGGTGTATTTTGATCCTGCATTGGTCGAGAGTGCGTGAGGAGTTCAGGGAATTGGTACGTTCATCATTGTATTACATATGACTGTCACGACATAGTAGACTGCTAAACATAACCATTTACAATTCATTCCCCTGACTGGCGGTGATCTGGTCCAAGTGGAGATTAGCACAGCTAATCGAACGTGCACAGCAAATTACGTGAGGTGTGAGGCAATAGGCGCGAAAAGGTGTGTTGACCGTTGAATGTGACCCACCGTGTCTCTGCCTTGCGCAACGTGTATGCTAACCCATGTAAAGTTAGCTTTCAGGCTAACATGATCGATACCAGGTGGATGATTACACAATGAAAAATACCATCCTGATAGTGGACATCATGGATTACGAATAACGAACCTGCCGAAATCCTGTAAGTATAGCCACATGAACCTGTCCGGCATCGAGGATTAGCGCTGCCTCGTGGAATTCATATATCTGACACATAAAACGCTCGCCCACCTAGCTAGCTTGCCCCCAGGCGAGATACCAGTAGACCAACCGGTGAGTACTGGTCAGTCGGTCGCCCCATCACTAATCACAAACCGACAGATCGATTGACCAGACTGGGACGCCTGAGCTATGGCTTCTCGATATCCTGCAAAGCCGACCCTCGAGGAAGCTTCAACCCTGGCACAATCCGAAAGGCCAAGTCCGAAGCACGAATTCGAGGGACATAAGAACGCCATTCAGGCTTTCGTCTTCTTGCACGACGACGTCCACGTCGTGAGTGCTTCAGGGGACGGCACGTTGCGCAAATGGAACTGCGACACGGGACTTCCTGTCGGAAAACCATGGAAAGGCGAGGGAGGGATCATATATACACTGGCACTTTCACCGAACGGGAAGACGATTGCGTGCGGGAGGGAGGACGGAAGTGTTCAGCAATGGAGCACGCATGGAGAGTTTATCAAAGGCGCATGGATGGGTCATAGTGGTGGGGTGCGGTCGCTCTCGTGGTCACCCAGCGGAGGCCAGCTTGCAAGTGGGTACAGCAATGGAACAATCCTCATTCGAAACGCAGAAGGCGGAGAAGTCGAGTTGCGCCTGGAGCAGGACACCCTGGACAGGGTGTTTACTCTTGCATATTCGCCTTCGGGAGACAGAATTGCATCAGGCGGATCGGACGGAATCTGCATCTGGGACAGCAAGACCGGCGAGCCTGTTATTCGCCCTATTAGTGATTCTGAACTCATTGGAGTCAATATTGTGACCTCATTGGTGTGGTCATCGGATAGCAGCAAGCTCTATTCCACATCCGACAACTTCGCACGTGTATTGGACAGCAGCTCAGGCAAGGTACTCCATCGCTTCAAGCACGATAATATCAACTTGAATCACCTGTCGTCCGTCGCACTTTCACCCAAACACAATGTCCTAGCGTACGTGGGCCATCAAGGTATCGCACAGCTCTGGGACACAGTGTCCCATAAGCCGCTCTGTGAAGATCATAAAGACCTTCGCTGTGTGTCGTTCTCTCCAGATGGGACATACCTGGCATATGGCGGAGACAACAACACACTCACTCTGTGGATGGTCAAAGACATAGTTCCCAAGCTTCCAGGACCCATACCTCAACAAGACCACAGACAAGGGACACCTGAGCAAGGAACTGAACCCGAGTCTCCATCATCATCATCTCACCTTGACGTAAGTATTCCTGTTTGACTGTCAGTCTTGCTTTGCTCACAGGAATGTTACAGGCTGATGCTACGGGGGGTGATGGTATCATTGAGGAGGTTCACGACGACCCATATGACAATTTTTTCCAGGTAATTGAACTCGTGTTCGTCACGCAAAAGGCCCGGTAAGACTGACGACAATCATTTGTAGTCTTCCCAGAAATCTCTTCCGTTGGGATCATCTAGCCCCCACCTGTCCTCGGCTCGCCGCTTCTGGAACACCATCTCTCGACACCGCCTGCCAGCAAATGAGTCCACTCCAGAAGAACGCCCCAAGCGCAGTTTCTTCACTCGTCGCGGCCGCACAAACTCGTCCCTAGAGCCCGCAGCCATGGAACACAACCAACCAATACCAAAAGCAAAGGTTCTGGCAGGAGAAGGAGACGAGGGAGGTGAAATTGATGATGTAAGTCCTTTATTGGCTCTCGCCCACTGTCAGGCCAACATGATGGGCCGTTAGTCCAGCAAGAAGTGTAAAGGCAAGCAGCGGGAAGAATTTCTTGCCGAAGCGCAGAGCCCGCCGCACGATAATCCCGCTCCTCCTGCCGAGTTCGACAGCGAGGAAAATCGCAACCTCTGGAAACGACTCATGCGTGCTCGAGGGAAGGATACTACACCCGCCGAAATGGCTCCGGAAAAGTTGAGACGTCCCGAGGTCATTGAGGTATATGCTGTGCGTGGATTCCAGGTGAGCTTCGGTTCCATCTTCTACAAACCTTTATTCTTACTAGATGTGGAAACAACAGGGAATTGTCGCATTAACACCAAAACGCAAGAAAAAGTCGACGGCAGTGACGTGCAGCGCTCCTCTCGTTGAGGGTCCATCGTCGCAAATGGTCTGTGTACAGGCGAGGCTATCATCGCAGGCTATGGTCGGCAACGGAGCTCAATATTCGCAAGCCACTGGAGGTTCATCATCGCTCACATCCCCATCACAGTTTGTCACCACCTACCCGCCCACCCGTCAGGACTCAGATTCTGATTCGATACAAGGTTCCTGCAACAAGTTCCTCGACAAAATATGTTTTCCTCGCGGGCACTTCCACGACGACTGATAATGTTTGGATGTTTTCATGCGTGCTGCTTCGTTTGAAGCTTGTTCTTTTATTCCGCTGAATATTGCGAAACTCGTCATGCTTCATCACGTTAAGTATTCGCGTTCTTGGGTGTTCAGCCTCGTAACTACATTCGGTCCCGCCGTTACCTATACCCCCACGTCTACCTGCATATACACGCATTTTACTATGGAAATACACTACGGTCAGCTGTACTCAATCAAGTATTAACCCTCGCAGTTCAGAAGCACAAGCGATTCTTGTGTCCTCGCAATGTCCTCGTGCCATGCTTCTCGACGCTCATTAACATTGTGACCTCGATATCATATATGAACGAGAGGAAAACATTCTCGATGAGTTCACATACCAGTTTGCAGGTATGACAAGCTTATTCGTGCGTTCAGTGGATTCCTGATGTTAGTTTCTACATAGGAAGATTGGATAGGTAGATGATGTCAACACGTTTGACTATGTAAAAATTCCGCCAGACACGATCCGTCTGCAATCACTTCCCGCCTCGAGAAACCCCTCCTTAACCCTCGTACTCGTAGTTTTAGGACTTCGAATAAAACAGTCGGAAGTTTGAGGCTAGAGAACTAATTCATACTAAGTATCACTTGCCGCATACAGAACGGTAGAGGGTAAAACCAAGTGCGTAACAAGCAGTGAATAGAAGCAACAAGACCATGAGAGCGTAGACAGGGAAATTAGATAAGTGAGACATTCAGGCAGGAAAGTTGTGTGCTAGCACCATTGGCCCCGACTTTCGAGTCGGTAGCATTGGGCATGGCATGCAGTCGAGGGAGGTATGAATATTGTTCGGCATCCCAGAATCTGAGGCCCGCTCGTCTGGACTGTCAACGAGAGCGGTCGAACGATCTCTAGATGTAGTGTAAGCATGTAGTATGCCGACAAGGTATGGAATACTTACAACAAATGTGATATGTCATAATGGGTCTCAAATTAGACACCTATATGAACGAACACGATCTGCTGTTCCAGTGGAATCTTCTTGCGCAACGACTTCACAGCCTTGTGCAACGCTACCGCAGCCCGTTTGCAGTCCAATCTCCCTGAATCATCAACCATGTTGCTGTAAAAAGCAGACACGATCTGCAGTGCAACCTTGCCGTCGACAGACCACATAGAACCAATGACACTGCGAAATCCGGAGAATTGCATAGCCGCAGCGAGATGGATCAACTCGTCGTGACTAATTACATCGCCCGAGGTAGTGTGGCAGGCCGATAAGAATGCAAACTCTGGATTTTGGCAGTGAGATCGGATGATATCCTTGATCATCAAAGGCCCATCGCGCATCGCAAAGGAAGAATTGAATGGTTGCATTGGATCCGGGATTCCGTGGCAGGCTAGGTGGAGCCACTGAGCCTCGTTTAGTGCATTGAGTGCACCCTGGACTGTTGCATCGCTATCCTCGAGCGATGTGAAGGGGACGACGGACGCAAGACGCTGAGTGACGACGGCTACCTCAGAAGCAACATATTGGAGTTCCTTCATTCTTTCCGGAATCGCTTGACCAATGGCAACAAAATGTTGCATGGACGCATCTTGAGAGATTTGCTGTCTCGCCCGGATAAGAGTCGCTAAAGTTGGGGTGTAAGAGGAGGTGTAAATGCCCGACAAATCATCTCCCTTCTTCTCATAAGGTCCTGCTGCATGAAGCGGAAGCAGCATGAACTCAGCGGTAGGACACCACCAGATACGTGAGCCAGGGTGAACATTTAACTCCCTAAGAGTTTGGACCACAGGGTCAACAACATCGCTCCAAATCTTGCGGAGGATGCTGATAAGCTTGTATCGATGATCAGAAGAACCAAATTCCTTTGTGAGGGACTTGAAACTCGGAAGACAACTCGAGACTTCAGCCCGTGCGATAATCAAGTGGAACGTGGACAGGATCTTGTGCGCTCAAGATAATCAACGCATCACAGCTGTACTGACTAGCATTGACGATGATGACTGGACCATCTTCTGCCGCCTTCTGGAGGTCAGGGAACAGTGGATGTAGGAGGAAATGAGAAAAGTCGGGCAGGTTGCGGATGCGTGAGACGACATCATCCCATTGCATGGTTAGTTGCCGGATTTGCGAGGAATGATCTTCAGCAGACTGATCGAACGCGTTACGAAGATGATAAGCTGAGCTGCTTGAACTCGTCCGCCAACACTGCGCTGGTGTCACCTGACGCGTGAAGGTCGTCGAGTGGTGTGCGGAACCGTGCCAATTGGGTCCAGAATACTGCACGGCCTTGCTCCACCAGTTCCACAGCAGTCATCAGAGCACCACTGACGAACACTGCATGAGAAAGCATCCACGGCGAGAGAATGAGTGGCCCTCCTCACGGCATTGAAATCACGTGAAGAAGATGAGAAAAGAAGGACATGGTGATCCAGGAATTTCAATGCCGTCTGATAGGCAACCAATGCAGAGTCATGGTTTACCTTCTCAGCGGAGTCTGCCCATGACTTGGCAGCATTAAGATTGCGATGATATGCTGCATGTGGTAGTTGGGGGAGTTGCAAATACAGCTCAAAAGCTTCATCCTGGTCGGACAGGACGCCCCGCTGCTGGAATCTGTCCACAAGGGCGCGAGCAAGATCGTCGAGAGACGCAGATCGATCAGAATTAAAGGGGGGACGGAGTTCCAGCGCAGCCCGATGGAGGTCAATGGCCTCATCAAGGTCCGACAGGATGCTCTGCTGGTGAAATCTGTCCTGAAGGGTGATGGCAAGATTGAAGAGAGAGACGGATCGCAGAGAATGACCAGGGGGACGGAGGAGTAGTGCAGCCCGATGGAGCTTGATTGGCTCATCAAGGTCACACAGGGTATCCTTCAGCAGTAATCTGTACCGAAGGCTGAGGGCAAGATTGTTCAGAGACATGGATCGATCAGAATGACCTGGGGGACGGAGCTCCAGTGCAGCTTGATGGAGTTCAATGGCCTCCTTAATGTCAGACAGGATGTGTCTGCCTTGAAGGCTGAGGGCAAGATTGTCGAGAGATGTGCATCGATCAGAATGACCAGGGGGACGAAGGAGGAGCGCAGCCCGCTGGAGCTCGATGGCCTCATCAAGGTCAGATGAGACACCCTGCTGCTGGAATCTGACTTGAAGGCTGACAGCAAGATTGTCGAGAGACATGGATCGATCAGAATGACCAGAGGGACGGAGTAGTAGTGCAGCCCTGATGGAGGTTAATGGTCTCATCAAGGTCAGACATGATGCCCCGCTGGTGAAATCTGTCCAAAAGGCTGATGGCAAGATTGTTCAGAATTGTGGATCGACCAGAATGAATCGGGGGACAGAGCTCCAGTGCCCCCTGCTGGAGCTCAATTGTCTTATTAAGGTCAGATGGGACGCCCTGCTGCTGGAGCCTGACTCCAAGGCTGGTGGCAAGATTGATAAGAGATGCAGATCGATCAGAATGACCAGGGGGATGGAGGAGTAGTGCAGCTTTATGGTGCTCAATAGCCTCGTCAAGGTCAGACAGAATGCCCTGCTGTTCAAACCTGCCCAGAAGGCTATTTGCAAGACCATTGAGACATGTGGATCTACCAGAATGCCCAGGTGGACAAAGGGGAAGTGCAGCACGATGGAGGCTAATGGCCTCATCAAGGTCAGACATGATGCCCCGCTGGTGAAATCTGTCCCAAAGGCTGACAGCAAGACTGTTGAGAGACAGTGGATCGTTCAGAATGACCAGAGGGACAGAGGAGTAGTGCAGCCTGATGGAGGTTAATGGCCTCATCAAGGTCAGACATGATGCCCCGCTGGTGAAATCTGTCAAAAAGGCTGATGGCAAGATTGTTCAGAATTGCGGATCGACCAGAATGAATCGGGGGACAGAGCTCCAGTGCCTCCTGCTGGAGCTCAATTGCCTCATCAAGGTCAGATGAGACGCCCTGCTGCTGGAACCTGACTCTAAGGCTAGTGGCAAGATTGACAAGAGACGCAGATCGATCAGAATGACCAGAGGGACAGAGGAGTAGTGCAGCCCGATGGAAGTTAATAGCCTTATCAAGGTCAGACATGATGCCCCGCTGGTGAAATCCGTCCTGAAGGCTGGCGGCAAGATTGTTCAGATATTCATATCGACCAAAATAACCAGGGGGACAAAGCCCCAGTACTGCCTGGCGGAGCTCAATGGACTCGTCAAGGTCAGACGGGACGCCCTGCTGCTTAAATCTGTCTTGAAGGCAGATGGCAATATTGTTGAGAGACCGGCATCGGTCAGAATGACCAGGGGGACGAAGGAGGAGTGCAGCCCTATAGAGGTCAATGGCCTCATCAAGGTCAGACATGACACCCCGCTGGTGGAATCTGTCTCGAAGGCTGAGGGCAAGATTGTCGAAAGATGCGGATCGCTCATCACGTCTAGAGGGAGGGAGCTCCGCTGCCATTCGATGGAGCTCAATGCTCTCATCAAGGTCAGACAGGATGCACCGCTGTCGGAATCTGACTGCAAGACTGGTGGCAAGACGGACGAGAGACGAGCATCTACCAGAATGACCGGGGGGACAGAGCTCTAGTGCATTCCGATGGTACCCGATGGCTTCATCGAGGTCAGACGGGACATCCCGCCATTGGAACCTGTCTCGAAGGCTATTGCCAAGATTTTGGAGAGATGTCCATCGAAGAGAATGGTCGGGGGGACGGAGGCGTAATGCAGCCCGATGGAGCTTAATGGCCTCACGAAGATCAGACGGGTCGCTCCGCTGTTGGAACCTGTCTTGAAGGCTGATGGCAAGATTGTTGTAACTCATAGATCGATCAGAATGACCGCGGGGATAAAGTTGTAGTGCAGCCCGATGGAGGTCAATAGCCTCATCAAGGTCAGATGCGGCACTCCGCTGTTGGAATCTGTCTCGAAGGCTGAGGCCAAGATTGTTCAGAGACGTGATGCGCTCAAAATGACCAGGGGGGCGGAGCTTCAGTGCAGCACGATGGAGCTCAATGGACTCATCGAGGTCAGACGGGACGCCACACTGCTGGAATCTGTTCGCAAGGCTATTCGCGAGAGCGTCAAGACACTCAGACCGATCAGGATGCCCGGGGGGACAGCTCTGCAAGGCCTCTTGCCACCCCTCTACATTGTCTGCCACGAGGGCTCTCAAGAACGCAGGGTGCATCAAGTAGAAGAGCTGAACCAGGCGAAGACGCTGGTATTGCTACTGTCACACTGTGATGCGCCTCATCATTAGTATAAAACCCAGGTAAATAAGGTTGAATATGCACACGTAGAATGCAAGATTGCGAGGGAAGCTATAGTATGATACGGCGAGTTCTAGTTTCTGTAAAACCGTGTCACAAGGGGTGAGACTGGGGCACACTAGTACTACTTAGTAGTAGTACTCACTGTACATGTATACTGATCGTTGCTAAGACAGTCACATCAGCGCTAGCGCCGAGCGCTTCACCACTAGTGACTGTGAAGCAAGTTGCTGACACATCCTCATCCATTCGAGTCCGGAGTCTGCCCTCAAGTCTCTACTCAATCATTGACACAGCGGGGAAACTGACATTTTACCACCTTTTGCCGCCAGTGTAATTACATTCGAAAGGTAATCTAGAGTGCTCTGGAACGCTTTAGGCTAGGTCTGGAATGCTTTAGCCAGGTCTAGATCTGCTTTTGATTGAAGTCTTGCAAGAAGCAAAATGTTGAAACCCCCGATGTGTGAGAGTCAGATCTTCTGGAAAATCTTATGAACTATACCGACACTGGGTAGTCTTCGGCACCTCAGAGTAGGTGCCGTTGTGAGTTCGGCCACCACTTATGATGGCTTCTTGAACAGTCGGACATGTATCAAATTAGCTTGTGACTGTCGTGTAACTGAATAAAAACCGTCCAACAGAATCAAATACTCACCGCGCGCTTCGCACTTGGCCTGCAAACAAACAATTCGTCCAAGATTCTCATCTCCCTCCACTTCTCCCAAAGCATGCCAGCATCGACGGGTGAATTAGCAGCGCCCTTCAGATCCTATATCTAACAGTTCATGTGGAGACGCAGGTGGAAATATACTGGCATCTGAATTGCTGCCTACGCGTTCTTGTGTGCGTGCCACCTTCGTCATTCTTGCTTGATACTGAGTTTTTGTAGGCTGCTTTCCTCGCATATAAGGGTTACATCTTCTGCATGCTCTACTAGCAGTCATAATGCTCTGAACGTACTCTAACCCCTCGCTATCCAAATCAACGTCAACGAAGAACCCACCTGCTCCAATTGCGCCACCTCTGTCGGAGGGCAGCGTTGATTGGCAAGCGAACCTTCAACCTATTCAAAATCTTATGGGCGCGTTGTAGGTCTCATTTCTTCCTTCGTTACTTTCTACCTTAGTTCATTTCTCGTCGTGCAATTCTGATGCCTACGATGGATCTCCTCTCACCTGTCACACCCGTGGCCGCCTCATCTACCGATGCACGCATACCTCGTTCATCCCCTCCTCTTTCCTCCTTTTGCTTCCTGTGCTGCCTCTAATCGTGCTATTCTTTATCCTAGGTGTATCACCTTTTCTATGGACACATCCATTCACGCAAGTGCGGATCATACCCCTGCTCAAAGCTACAGTAAACGGTGGTATTATAAAGAGAAGTAACGCGAGTACTACCTTAGTCTGCGACGACATGTTCCAAACACGCTTCCCTCAAACTGAAGCTCCGCCGCCTGAATCGACTTCGACAGACTCGAAGACAGACATTGGGGCGCTGTGATGTGGGAGGTCGAATTGTGAGAGAATGAGAGGGGCCTCCGGGGCCTTCTTCCTCCTTCGTCGTTCGGTGCGCAGGATGATCCTGATGCTGCAGGAGCAGGTTCGGGTTTCGGGTCGGGGTTTGATGTTGGGGCTGCGTCTGGGAATACATTGGTTGGTGCGGGAACTGGGACGTGGAGCGAGATACGTTTGAGGCCTCCGGATCGTGCGCCGTGGATGAGGGCGAGGGATAGGTGGGGTGGGTGGCGAAGTGAGGTGCGCGTTTCTCTTTATACCGGTACATTTCGAACTTATAACTAACTCCATGTGCCCCCAGCAGCAACCTTACGTTTTTACTCGCACCAGGCTGGATATTCGTGGAGACAGGAGCGGAGACCGGATGTACTGGGGAGGTGGGTGTGTCTTGTTTCTGGTTCCTGTTCCGGGAGTGGTGATCCTGTCTATGGGGCGGGCAACAGTAAGTTTCATACGTTACTATCGTATCGTTCACGTTGTGATTGATGACCAGACGGCTGGATATACACGGATGACTATTGGGTCGATCTGCGCTGTATGCTTCTTTAAGCATGGAAAGCATCAGGCATGATAAGGCGGAGGAGGTTGGTGCGGAGGGTGTATTTGATCCAGCATTGGTTGAGAGTGCATGAGGAGTGCGGGGACATTGGTACGTTGATCATTGTATTACATATGACTGTCGTGACATAGTAGAATTGCTAATCATAATCATTTACAATTCATTCCTGGCCTGACTGGCGGTGATATGGTTCAAGTGGAGATAAGCACAGCTAATCGAATATAAACAGTAACAATGCTGTATCCTCTCAATCGAGGATCAGCGCCGTGTCATTGGATTCATACATCCAACACATAAAGCACTCGTCCACCTAGCCAGCTGGCCACCAAGAGAGAGCCCAGAAGATCCAACCGGTGAGTGCTTGTTAACTGTTCCCCAATAATTGATCGCATCAGAGCCAGATTGATACACCAGATGCCTTACGGTAACGAGCCATGGCTTCAGAATCTTTTGCAAAGCTCGGGGAAACTTCAACCCCTGCGCAAACCAAAGGATCAAGCCCGAAGCATACATTTAGGGGACACTGAGGACACTATACGGAGTTTCGTCTTCTTGCACGACAACGTCCACATCGTGAGTGCTTCGGAGGACGGCACGATGCGGAAGTGGAATTGCGACACAGGACTTCTTGTCGGAGAACCACGGGAAGGCATGGGGGGACGCATATGCGCGCTGGTGCTGTCGCCGGACGGGAAGACAATTGCATGCGGGAGGTATGACGAAATTGTTCAGCGATGGACCACAAACGGACAGATGATCGAAGGCCTTTGGACGGGTCATAGTTTGGTGGTGCGGTCGCTGTCGTGGTCTCCCAGCGGGGACCGTCTTGCAAGTGGGTCTAGCGGAAAACCCGACTCAAGTCCCTATCATTGTCTTGCCTCGACGTCAGCACTCTCATGTTTGACTGCCTGCTTCACCTCACTCACAGAGTCATCGCAGGTTGATGCCACAACCCCATTTTGGGCGATGGCATCATACAGGAGAGGCACATTGATCCATATGACAATTTTTTCCAGGTAAACTCGCATTTATCAGGCAAGGGCGCTAGTACTGATTATGAGTAGCAGAAGAAGCGTAAAGGCAAGCAGCGGGAAGAATCTCTTGCCAACATGCAGAAACCACCGCACGATGATACCGCTTCCCCTGCCGAGCTCGACAGTGAAGAAAATCGAAATCTCTGGAAACAATTAAATGCGTGCCCGAGGGAATTCCGTCGAAATGGCTCCAGCAGAGAAACGTCCCGAGGTGATTGAGGTATATGCTGTGCGTGGGTTCCAGGTGAGCTTCGGTTCTATCTTCTGCAAACTTTTATTCTTATTAGATGTGGAGACAACAGGGAATTTTCGAATTAACACCAAAACGCAAGAAACAGACAACGGCGGTAATGTGCAGCGCTCCTCTCGCTACAGCGCATATCATTGATTCGTCACAGCCGGGCCCATCATCGCAGGCTATAGTCGGCAGCGGAACTTAATCTTCGCAAGCCGCTGGAGGCTTATCATCGCACACGTCCCCATCACAGTTTGTCACCACCTCTCCCCACTCGTCAGGACTCAGATTTTGACTCGATACAAGGTCAAGAACGCCCCTAGCGCAATTTCGTACTCACTCAAACTCACCCACAGCGCCCGCACCCGTCACCTTCAACCAACCAGCATCAACGCCAGACGTGAAGGTCCGAGCAGGAGAAGACGAGGACGGTTGGATTCTTGGAAGTCCGGGTTCTACCCCGGTAATTTAGTATTTCACCATATGGCCAGATGCGGGGAAGGCACAGCGAGGAGGAAAATCGAGCTTACCAGGGAATCGAAGAGAGCAGCCCATGCTGCATTTCCGACGCGGGGCGTACCATATATCACGCCTAAAATTTCCAGCTGTGAGTATCCCTGCGCCCTTGCAATTGAAAGTGAGTATGGTATAACATATCCTAATTCATCACATTCTGTATGTTCTCTTATGTTTATCTTTGTGACTACATTCTGTACCGACTTGAAATGTCATCTGTCTATTTGGATCTTTGTACGCCTTGCACTATGCCGACCTACCGTGGTTGGCTTTGCACTTGACCTTCAGCTCAAAGCGGTTGTTTGAATAAATAGAAAACAAGGTTGAGTATTACCAGGAAGGCGAGTATGGAACGAGTGTGATTGTGATGGTCCTCTCGACCAGCTTTGAACGTTCCGTAAATTTCATCACTATGTCGATTTCACGACGTAGATGCTCTGCGTATACCTGTTGGGATGGTCGGTGGAAAAAACAACCTTCGAGTGGTGATAGGATCGAAAACATTATCTCGAAACCTGACGTAGAACAATAGAGAATAATGTAGACCGTCTTGGGGAGATCAAACTTGAGCGCTTGAGCTTGAAACTTGAAGCTTGAGATCTAGAAGTTGTCCATCGTTGTTTGGTCAAAGCCCTTGGATCCAAACAACGTTTCTGAGAGTTAGGCGTCACTTGCATTACAGCTGACCATGGTTAGGTTGCCACGGAAGAAAGCATGTGAACAGGGGAATAACCTAATGTCGATACCACCGGTGAATGTAGCTACGAGGCTACACATACGAGAATGTAAAGTGATGAATGCAGTTACTATGAGTTGTGAGCGGAAGTAAAAGGACCTCTACGAAGGAACGTACAAGCAAAGCATACATAAAAGTCCAGTTAACACCGCCCTAATCATCGTGGTAGTGTCCGCAAGGGAAACATATTCTGTCGAGGAATCTGTTGCAGCTGCCTTCTATGCTTGAGTCCGAGTCCTGAGCTGGCATGCTCGGTGTGATAAGTGACGACATGTGATGGGGAAGCGTGTGATGATGAACCTGCAGTGTCTTGCGGATGTTGAGCTCCGTGTACAGTTATACCTTGCGATGACGATATTGCCTGTACAGAGACAACTTGCGATGATGGACCCGCCTGTGAAGAGCTACTCGCGTGTGTTGCAGTGGCAAAGACTACTTGCGACGATGGACCCGCTTGTGATGAGGTACTGACGTATTCTGCGGCGGGAGTAGCACCGCTCGTAGCTGCCGATGCCTTTGTCTTGCGGACCCGCTTCATTGCGACGAGTCTCTGTCGTTCCCATCTTCAGCACGAACAGAATTGTAGACAAGATGGACTGAACGTTACCTGGAACCCGCGGACAGCATATACATCGACAACCTCGGGAGAGGGTTTGTATCTCCTCATTGGAGCCATTGTGGCAGACGGTGGATTCTTCCACCGACCGAGTGTCAGCCATTTCCAGCTAATGCGATTGTCTTCGCTGTCGAGCTCGGCGGGGGAAGTAGGATCATCGGGTGGTGGGGTGTGCGCATCAGTGGGAGGTTCGTCATCTTCGTCTTTGTTTGCTTTGCTCGCGTCGAGCATAGCAGTCGCAGAACACTGATGGTCCAATCATGATTAAGTGATAGTGTGAAAGCCAAGAAATAACTTGCCTGGTCGCTTTCCTCGGGATCTTCTCCTGCTCGAACCTTCCCTCCAGGTATCGGTTGGTTTGGCGTGGGATGCACAGGCGGGTTTTGATGAAGACGACGTGCAAAGAAACTGCGCTTGTTGCACTGTTCTGGAGTGGACTTGTTTGCTGGAGGGCGATGTCGAGAGATGATGTTCCGGAAGTGGTGAGCTGAGAATAGGTTGTGGAGACGGGGGCCAGATGATGCCAAAGGAGATGGTTCGGGAGACTGCGAATGATTACCGTCAGTACCAGCCTCGTTGCATGATAAAGAGTTTTACCTCAAAAAAGTTGTTGTATGGATCATCGTGCGCGTCCTCGATGATACCATCACCCCCCGTAGCATCAGCCTGTGACAAGTCCTGTGAGCAAGGCAAGAAAGGCAATGAAACATGAGAATACCGACGTCAAGGCAAGCGGATGATAGGGGTTCAGGTCGAGTGTCCTGCTGTGTGCCTTGACTGTGATCCTGTTGAAGTGTGGGAGCTGCGAGCTCAGGAGCTATATTGTCTTTGACCATCCAGAGAGTGATTTTCTTCCCTCCACCATATGCCAGGTGTGTTCCATCTCGAGAGAACGACACATAGTAAAGGTCTTGGCGCTCCTGCTGAAATGGTTGACCGAGTGGTTGATGTGACTCTGTGTCCCATAACTGTGTGACACTACCAATGCCCACGCATGCAAGGACATTGTTGTTGGGTGAAAGTGTGATGGAATACAAGAATCTGCCATGCTCGAAGCGATGGAGTAGTTCGCCTGAGGTGCTGTCGAAAACACGTGCGAATTCGTCAGAAGCAGAATAGATTTTGCTGCTGTCCAAAGACCACACCAACGACAACACCCAATATCCCAGGTCTTCGATGGGGCCGACAACAAGCTCGCCGGTCTTCGGGTCCCAGATGCAAAATGCAGCATACCCGCCTGATGCAATTCTATCTCCTGAAGGTGAATATGCAAGTGTAAGCACCCCCTTTTGCTTCGTCTTGATCGGACCCACTTCGACTTTTCCGGTTTTTGCTTCTCGAATGAGGATTCTTCCATTGTTGGACCCGCTGGCTAAATGGCCTCTGCTGGGACACCATGAGAGCGACCACACCCCATTGCTATGACCTGTCCAAACGTCTTCCATCATCTCTCCTTCAGTGTTCCATCGCTGAACACTTCCATCCTCCCTCCCGCATGCAATCATCTTCCCGTCCGGTGAAAGCGCCAGTGAATATATGCTTCCACCTTCCTCTTCCCATGGTTTCTCCAACAAGAAGTCCCGTATTGCAATTCCACTTCCGCATCGTGCCATCCTGCGAACCACTCACAATGTGGACGTTGTCGTGCAAGAAGACGAAACTCCATATATCCCCCTCATGTCCCTCAAATCCGTGCTTCGGAGTGGGTCTTTTGGATTCCGCTGGGGTTGAAGTTTCCTCAAGGGTCCGCCTTTCAGAGAATCTAGCAGCCATACTAGCTCATTACCATAAGCGTCTGGTAAATCAATCTGGCAGTTTGTGGTCAATTATGCGGGGGCGAAAAGTGACCAACACCACTGGTTGGTCTTGTAAGGCTGAGTGTGAGTTCGGTAGGGAATTGTGATCGAAACGAGATAGAAATGAGACGCGTTAGTAGGTAACACGAAGAGGGATTGGTCTAGGACTAGAGACGAGGACTTTCGAGAGGCTTTTCGGTCGTACTTGGAGCGGGGATCTCACTGTAAGATTTTGCTATCGGGATGAATGTACATGCGCGGTATATATATACGTTTTCAAATGGTTAACTAGGCCGGAATCGGCATGAAGAGCATATGGTGAGGTGAAAATACTCGGTCCAAGAAAGGGGTTGTGAAGTGTGAGCACAAGGTAAGATCGTAAAAGGAAATGAAAATGGAAGTTTGTAACTCGGATGCGAAGAGTAAAGTTGCCGGGGTGCGGTTCAGGACCGGTTCAAGGTATGACAGCCCGAACCCGAACACGAACCTGTTCATGATATCTCAAGGCCATCGAACACGAACATTAGCCAACGGTTCGGTCAAGAACCGGTCCTATATGGTGCTGTTCAGGTGCGAACCGGTTCGAACTTTTTCTACTACCAAAATTGAAAAAATAGGTATTAGAGCTACTTCACACCCAACTGCACTTCATTGACAGCGTCGTCGAGCCAACGTTGTCTCCGTGCAGCTTCCTTGGCTTCCATCTCAGCTTCGCGATGCCTCCGCTCCTTCTTGTACTTATTCTTTACAATTTGAATGTCACCAAAGTTTGCTGGAAGTAAACGTGCATGGCGTTTGGTATCTGTCAGCCCAGCATCCGAAAATGCACGCTCGCAAGGCACAGAGGAGCCTTGAATAGGGAGGTAGTCAAGGGCCATGTGGCTGAGAATCGGGTATCGCGTGACATTGGCCTTCCACCACTCGAAGATATGCTCTGCCTGGTGCTCTGGAGATGCCCGTGAGTCATTGACGACGAGTGGCTCCTCGATGTAAGATTTGAGTTCTGTGCGAGAATCCTTAGTGATGAGCTTTTCGCGGGCACACCGACCTTCAGTAACCCTGCTCATCAAACTGCCAAAACCATTGCTCGACTCAGAGCTACCGGGCTCTGTTGTTGGTATACGATTGTTACTAGTAGTAGCGATTTCCGCGCAGTGTTTCCGGCAGTACTTATCGAACTAAAAATCGTGATTAGATCTGATGTTTTCACAGAAGTCAACACATACCACTTTTTCCATAACAGCGAGGGCTTGTCATTGGCCATCTTCGGTCCATGCAACATTGAAATACTCATCCTTGATGCAGGGATTGAGATCTAAGATAAAATAGCAATCAGCCTCAAAGTCAACATAAGTGGTGTTTCAACGAACACATAGAAACAATGTATGCAGGGGAATTGTCGGTCTTATTGTAGTAGTGCTGCCGTGGTCCGGTCCAGAACCACGGTTCGAACCGAACTTTTGGTCCGGTTCTCCGTGGTTCGGTCCCATCAGCAAAACTCCCCAAGGTATATATAGATATATATACACGTGTAGCCCCTGTGACACACTGTAACGACTGTGACAAGTATCTATCATAGAGCGTACAATACATACAAATATACCGA